CACACACACACACACACACACACACACACACACACACACACACACACACCTCCCTGGCACTCTGCCCAGCCATTCTGTGGCAGTAATGCCCTTAAACTCCAGACTCCACCACACCCACAGTGAGCAGCCGTGGAGTCCCTAAAATCATCGACAACCCCCCTCCACAAAATCAAGACTTTGATGAGGACAACCTAAAAACCAGGATGGTGATGAGCCAAAGAGGAAGACGGTGACATTCTATTAGAAAGGAAAGGGAACAATAAAAAAATAAGACATTTCTCCCATTAATCTAAAACATTAGGAGCCCAAGAGGCAATACGAGGCTGAGAAAATCAGAGCCGAGTTGATTAATTGATCAGCTGGTTGACAGACTAATTAAGCAGGAACTATTTTCATAATTGATTCATTGTTTAAGACATTTTTTAGCAAAAAAAAAACCAAACATTCACTAGTTTCAGCTTCTGAATGGCGAGTTTCTGTAGCTGTTCTTTGATTTATGGGACATTAAAACGTGTTTACGTAATAATACTTGTTTGTTGGACCACACCAGATATTTAAAGAAATCTACTTGGGCTTGAGATCATCATACCAGCCAGTTTTCACCATGATTTGACATATCAGTTAATCGAGAAAATAATTGACAGATTTATCAACAATTAGAAAAATCATTAGTTGCGGCTACAGAGAAAAATACTACGGCTGCAACTACAGATTGATTCGATTGTATATAAGAGATCAGAATATAAACCCAATTCACAGTGAAAGAAACTAGCAAAACCTCACAATTAGTTTTGGGGCATTTTATGACTTGAACGATTCATTAAACGATGTATTTTCAACTGATCGATCACTAAAACTAGAGAGGCACTTGGACAGCACAGACCTCCACCAAGGCCTTTCTCCATGAGCAAAAAACGAATGAGCGTACCCGCCCCGTGATTCAGCTCCGCTCCAAAAAGTTATGGATTGTTCCTTGACCCATGCTATACCCTTCCACCAAGTATCATGAAAATTGGGCTGATAGTTTTTTTTCCGTAATCCTGCTGACAAACAAACAAATCAACAAACCAAACTGAAAACATAACCTCCTTGGCGGAGACGCAGTCAAAAAGTCCGTTGATAGACGTAGACCATGAATGAACTGAGTTGTGTCAAACAGAGTCGAAAAGAAACTCACTACTGGCTATAATTCTGATCAATGATCACAACATTAAGAGCCCGGGAGGAAATGTTAGGCTGGGAAAAAGACGAGTGATGAAAACCACCTTGATGAAGATGGACATTATCTAAAGCGCACCGCCTCAGAATATGAAACGCATGATTACGTCTTTCAATCATTCTATTCTACGAGCGTCAGACGGATACGATTACTCGTGGCAACACATTTATTAAGCTTTCCTCTATAAATGGCAACAAGACCAGTCAACACAAAACCACTAACGTTGACATGGTGCATGCTCTCTCTCTCTCTCTCTCTTTCCTCAGCACAGTGCTCCAATTGAGGGGAAATTCAAATTTTGGCAGACACACTGGCTCCCATGAAAACAATGAACTCCCAGCTGACATGTAAATAACACCCCTCGAGACCAGGGTAATCTCTTCCAGCTAATAAACAGTTACACTTTTTCTTTTTAAGACAGAAAGTTTCCCCCAGAGGAGACTCACAAATTATTTTGACAGCAGCTGTGTTTTGATGAAGCTGCAGGTTCCAGCTGAATCCTTCATCATCACACCAAACCGTACAACAGTTACTTGTTTTGGAAAACGGTCAATCCCAGAGAGCCAGAGGGGAGTCACAAGTAGTGTGCAGCACCCAAGGAAAACAAGTCAGAAGTGTAAATAGTGAGAGTGAATGAGTGTGTGGGGATTATCAAAAGCTGCATGGTCACCAATCATCACAACTGCAGAGCTCATGATGCAGATCTCATACCTAGAAAACAGCAAAGATCCGAGTGTTTGCACACAAAGTCACAACGCTGCTTCTTTGCACACGCATGAAGCACTTTGGCCGTGTCATTATGCTGTAATGTGCAATAAATACGTTCAAATACAATGTTTACAGACTGAATTTGATTATCTCTCTCGACTCTGGATCTGACAGACTCCACTGCAGGTTCATTTGGACTTTTCTAAAACTAATGTATGATTAAATGACCCAGCAATATATCTAAATGTTCATTTAAGTTACAATGCTCAGTAAGGGTTCACAAAATTAAAAACATCTTCTAGTATAAAGCAAAACAATTCCATAAGACCTTAAACTACAGTCTCTAAAATGACCACAAAGTTGAATCAACGCCTCTAAATACACATTAACTTCATGAAGGTAGATTTAATCTTCATTAGCTGCTGAAGTAGACGGCTTTACTTTCAGCTACGTGTACCAATAAACTGACAACCGTGCATCTATTTGAGTAATAAGAATGCAAAAATCGACCGCAAATCTTTCACATAGTTAACATTCATCACACAAGTACAACTGCACTATTCGTATAACTTGTAGCAGCAGACTTCCCTCTGGATGAACACTCACACATCTAGTTCAAACTTCAAAGGGGCCAAAGCTGAATGGGGACGAGCTCCAAGAAAGTGGCTGAGCCACTTTCCCTGGGTGGGTGTGTGTGTGTGTGTGTGTGTGTGTGTGTCCCAACCATCTGAAATACAGTCCTGAATAACCTCAGGCATTTACACAGTAACCCATTTTACAGCAACATCTCCCTCACAGTGGGCAGATGTGTCATTTGGTTTACCCACATATCTGTTTCCTGCTTAAATAAAAGATGTAGCTTTTTTGGGGATGACATAAATCTTAACTGTGCAAATATATACATGCAGTACTATTACGTTTGGAGAATTAAAGGGAACAAGTTCTTAGCATTATGTTTTATATTCTGGGTTCTTTGTAATGATCAGCTAGTGCATGGGTGGTCATTCATTGCTGGATTCAAGTAAAACGTCTGCACACTGATCATTTGTCAGCTTTTCCCCGACATGCTGCATGCATTTTTAGTCTGCAATCAAAAATGTGGTGGGCCTTAAACATTCATCAACTGCTGGCAGATAACGCATATTACAGAAGTTGTGTGGTCGTTGCTGGCTCTATTAGCCTTGCATGTGAGGCTTCAGGCCGCTGGCAGTGGAGACACCACCCCGCCTCTCCAGCCCAACCTGGAGAGGACAAATCTTTTCCCCCGGCGCCTTGTAGCGGCTCCTTAGCCTTTAGCAAAGCGGCCGACACTCTCCCTGATAGGTAGACTAGCTTAGCTTAGCTCCTACAAAAACCCTCGACTCAAATGGGTCTGCATGGCGGTCAACAATGTGCATGTGCGTTTCACACCCAGCAGAGCAGAATAAACACAAGGTGTGGATCTCTTTGTGTGCCTGGTTGTGGCTACAGCTACACAACGGTGCTGAGTGGTGTGGTAGACTGGAGCTAGCTAGCGGCAAATACCGATGTATGAGTGCCCAGCTAGCATAGCTCCAGAGCCAAACAGCTACGAGTTCATTAGCAGCAGGAGCATTTTTTTCTTCTTCTGGCTAGCCGAACAGAGGATTCATTCCTGCCCTGCCAGCGCGCAGCCTGCTGGCATTTTCTCCGTGAAAATTTCACATTCCACAAGGAGACACAAAAGCCACTGTACCTGGTTCTCCATGTTTCTCTGGCCTCAGTGATTGTTGTATTTATTTACAGCGGCGTTTTTGGAGCGTCTCCCCAGCCTCTGCTCCTCATTGTGTGTCAATCCAGCCCAGAAGCGGAAGGCAGACGGCTCCCTCCCCTTCCAGACGGCTGCTGGCAGGCAACCAAAACAGAAAGCTCTCTCAGCCAATCAGGAATCGGAGAATTTAAGCACCCTTGAAAGGGACCAATCAAAACACCGAAGGGGCGGGACGGGTTCTGAGCTGCAAATACAATTAAAGCATTTTCTGGTGGTTTTCTCGAGTGACAGCGAGCTTGTCCCAATGGTTACAGCTCTGTTTCAATTGTAAAATGCACATGATGCTAATTGATTAATCGGGGTTCGATTGCATGGCTTTTATAAGTTAGCTATTAGTCCGACCAATGCAATATCAATAACGTATTCTTTAATAATAACTTATCTTTTTTTCTCAACTTATTAACAATGTCCCTATGTTTACAAAAACATAATATTAATTATTCTCAGTATGCTGGATTTTATGAGAAGTTCACAAAAAAGGGAAACATAATGCTTTTTCTCTACAACAACATCATATGAAGCAGTTAAAATGTGTTCCACCTGTACCAGCTGCATCAAAATGCATCAAAAATAATGATCCAGGCATGCATAATGAGCTTGTAAGTGTTTTTTTATTGAATACATATTTCATCGCAGGTAAAAAGCAAACATTTAAATGCAGTGTAATTAGTAAAAGCCTGTAAAGTGCAGTTTCCTTCCTCCTTTTTAGTCGTACTAAATGGTAGTCTGCATTAAAAGTTAATTAATTTGTATCCTAATGTTAGTTTTTGTAACATAAATCAAAAGAAGAATCTTAAGCAATTTAAAATAAGTGTTAGGTATTGTACCATGCACTTTCTGCATCATTGAGAGTGAGGTTTTCTAAACTTGAGTATATCTGAATGAATTTATTATAATCTCTAATACCACAGGTTGATCTTACTGTTTAAAATGAAAGGAAGGCAGCACTCTTCTGATTGAAGACATCTCTCTTACTATACAGAGTCAGGCAGTGAGGGCCAGTTGCAGTCAAGTCTCTGTGGTGCTCAGACTTTGATGTGAGATTATCGGGCCTCAGCTATGGGACAGAAGGTCACCACTCTCTCACTGTGCCTCCCCTTCTTCCCCTGCCGCTCAAATTGATCCATTCTGCCTCTCAGTCAAATCTAAGTAAAAGAAGTCCCACCTGGCTTTCAAACACTAGGGTGTCCCACTGATACCGAGACATCAACCTTTAAATCCTCCCTTTCAATACGTAGGGAGAGGGGGAATACAAAATGAAGCCAGGTTTCACACACATAACAGAGGTTTGTTGTAAGTATTTGTTACCTTTCTCTTATTATATCAACTGGCTGTCACGACTCAAATATTCAAAGACTACTTTTTTTTTTAAAGCCCTGGTTGCGTTTGAATATCTCATCAACCACAGGAGGTCACTATTGAGCATTGAAGTCCAGAGAATGCTTGTGTGCATTTTCTATTGTTGTGTCTATTGTTGTGTCTATTGTTTCCTTCAGGAAGGATCATGTGAATGGAAGCACAATGTACCTGAATTTTCTCAAAACATCACCAAAATCAAGAGCTGTTTAACAAGGGCTAACAGCTCAGAGATCAATCATTCATGCAAAATAAATAGATGTACATGTGATAGTTGTGGTCAGTAATGCAAATGTACTTTAGAGGAATATGTCAGAGATCCTGAATGGGCCGACACTAGTTTTCTTGAGAAATAGACCAGACATATTTTGATATTGACAGATTTGAGTACTGAAGTGTTAAAAAATTAAGTCAGAAACGACAGCGATTTAACTCACTTTTAATGAGCTTATTATTTGTAGAAAATTGAGTGTATGACTGTGAAACCACCACATGTTGAGATATCTCTATGTAAACAACATTTCACCGTAATGCTTCACTCAAAGTAAAAACAATAGTTTTATCATAGGAAAACTTACAGTACATCAATATATTCTGCCGTGTACAGAATTAAATGTGCATTCATATCTTGAAAATGAATAACAGCAGTTAATTTATATGAACAAAAACAAACGTGCTTAAAACTCTTCAAAAATACACACAAATACTCCAATTTTCTCCGTCATCCAGGATGCCTATATACATTTTATGAAAGCTCCATTGGTCCCTGACACTTGAGTGCAAGGAATCTATTGCTTTCGATTATTATTCTACTGCACAATTGCATTTTGTTTTAGGGGCTTGAGATGCTCAAAAACACACAAAAATTGGCACATGCTTCAGAACTGGTGAAAAGTGCAAAGTTCTGCAGTCATTGGGCCCCTAATGAGTGAAAGGCCTTAGTTGGGAAACAGTTTCCCCGATATTCACGAAATTTGGTATCACATTGCTGTCATAGTATGTCACATTAGCTCTGGCCAACTGAAAGTCGGACATTTTTAATTGTATACGTTTTTCATGTATTTTATGCAAACCTTTTTGAAGTTTATCGGTTTGTCGTTTCAAATTTGGTTGGTGTGACGCCAAAATGTGAAGCAGTAGTTGATATCTTGAATGATGATGTCATAAGTCATGGGACAAAACGCTATTTATGGCAATTTACAAGTATTGTTTTTCTTCCCCCTTGACGATTTAACAGATCCACCCCAAATTTGGTCAGCAGAATCTCAAGGCCTTCACGATGCTGAATTGTGAAGCTTTCGTATTTTTGTGGAGCGGTGTTACAATGGCCAGCCGGGCAATTTGCATGTTTCGCCTGAGTTGACTTTACATTTCACATGCTGGATAAGAGTCCAGACCTGAAGTCATCTAAACGCCCACATTGAGTCACAGTCATAGCGTCACCTACAGTGAGTGGTCTACACATACTCGGCAACATGAGTACGATCGGTGCGTGTTCTCTAGCGCCACAAAGTGGACACAGGTGGTAGTAAAGAATTGGCACCACGTCATTTCCAGCCCCACGCAATCCACTCAGGAAATAACGTATAAAAGCAAGCTATTAAAAGCTATTAAAAGCATAAACCTATATGATAAAGTTTCAAAGTCATCAATGGTAACATATAAATAATGGGTATATTTAAAAATACGATGTTTTCAACTTTGATAGATAAATGATAAATAAGTATTTTGTGTTTCTCAACTAAAGATATAAGTTTGTATAAGCTCTGTGTCTACAATCATCATTGGTGTAAAACATGGAAGGATCTTAAGACGATGGGCCTAGTTCTTGCATGTTTTTGAATAATTTATATATTTAATCTTATGCTGTATTGTATATTTAAACTGTTCTGGGTTTTTAAATGGAGAGTGCCTTGGTACAATAATTGCATTGTGTAGATTCCTGTGGAACTAGTTCTGTTATAAACTGCAGAGCCTGACCGTCTAAGGGCCTCCTGGCCCCCTGGGAGCCTCTATAGGCCTGTGCCCAGTAGGCCCATTTGGTAATCCATCCACGGTGTAAACAATCATTTTACAGGATCAATCAATCTTAATTTAGATTTAGCAAGTTTTTGTCTTGTGTTAAGTTTGTGTAGTAAAAGAAAGAAAAAAAATCTATTTGGGAGTGATCAGGTCAGAGTACCGTGATTTCAGTTTGTTCTGGGTGAAGCAACTCTTTTAAATCACAGATTGTGTCTTTAAGGTTAGAAGGTAGGGCTGAATAAAGGTCACTAGTGTAAATCATTTTGATGGTTTCCCATTCCTGTACAATACAAAAGTTCTGCCAATGTTACAAATGACTTTAACTGTGTTAGCACCGTTTCTGTGTTTTGGTTGTGCCCTTCAGGACAATGTGAGGTAATCCAACAGCCCATTTATCACAGGGCCAGTACTGCAGTCCAGGCAGAGAGTACGGTATCTCATAGTTGGCATCCAGGTAAGCAATCAGGGTGCTGGCATAGGCCACAGCTATCACAATCAGAATATGCCTGGAGGACACAGATAATAGAGATCAATACACAAGCAAGGCCTTGAAAAAAAACACCCCGTCTCCTCAAATCTACATGTAGATACTACTAATTCCCTCCAGTAAATGATTAGCTCAGTTTTTGGACCACACAGAAGTTAGGGTGGTGTTCGAGGTGAATGATGGGATAGGAAACAGGGTTGGAAAGGAAAGGAAAGGAAAGGGACACAAGTAAGCCAGGACTTACCAGATACCGTGCAGGTAGCAGAAGTTTAGCCGCTGCCAGAAGCGGCAGCCAAAACGGTCACTAACCCAGCAGGAGATGGCGAGCACCCACAGAGCCACTGACAGCTTGCCCAGTCGCAGAACCTTCTGGTCAGTGCAGCTGAGGAAGAGAGAAAACTGGTTATCATAACGAAATGCACAAAAGTGCACCAATTACAGTGACAGATGACCGAAACCTCAGAGTTTTCATACCATCTCATCTCGACGACCACAACGTAAGCCAAATGGAGGCCAAAGCAGTTTAAAATATAGGCATTGGCTGTAGGTTTGACAAATGATGACACTGTGGAGATGACAGTGACCACCAGGACGAGGCTTGAAAATGTGGACCTGTGGATGACAGAGAGAGAAAATACAAGCTGTGAGGCCAGGGCTCGAAGGTTTGAAATCATTTCATGTCAGAACTGGATAGTTATCATTCATTTGAAGTTGTGTTTCGGGCCACCTGACGACTTCAGGTCCAATGTCTGCTTTGTTTTTAGCTCTGTATTTGGTCACCACCAACTCCCGAAGGAAATATATGGCTCATCAGCTGATAAATTGCTAACAATGTCTGACTGCTGTTTGGTGCTGAAGAGGTACAGTGGGATTTTAGGGCTTTTTCACTGAAAACAGCTGTCAGCTGCGGTCAAAAACAGCACCATGAGAGCGCTGAGAGTGAACCAAAACAGTAAAGATGCATAGAAAGTTGCAAAAGGGACCCCCTGACCTCTCCGGCCCCTTTGTCTGTGCCAGGTAGGCCCTTTCAGCAATCCATCATTCAGGAGGACCAACTCATGACTTTAAAAAACTTGAAAATCAACGTGAGGTTCTATTGTGAGGGATGTGTGATTCCTTTCAGGTGCTCGTCAAAATTTCATTTACCTTTCCCATCTTGTGGTGTGAAATATTTACATAGGTTGGGTGGAGCTTCATCCTTTTACAACAGTAAGAGCACGTTTCTGTCACATTCAGGTGAAGCAAGCAACACCACCATTGTGTCTTTGTGACAACAACCCGCTGCAGCTGTCGAACAGGCTCCACAACCAACAGGCTTAACGAGCCTGTGTTGGAGAGTGCCGTGCCTCAGAAACAGGCAGTCATTGTTTGTTTGTTTTAGTCTGAGTAAAGGATTATTGAGCTGCGTGTGTCCTTTGTAACACATGGAGATGAATAAATACAGAAACAAACACTTTTGGACTAACTCATATGTTCTCTGGTTGATTGCTTTACCTGTCCTTTATAAAAGAAGGGTAGTGTCTGCGGGGGAACCAGAAAGCATATCCCGCCGCCAACACCCACAGGATGGACAGCTCGTCCAACATCTGGCCAACGAAACTAAGTGTCATGTGGAAGTACGCTGAGAAGAGCCCTGCAAAAACAGAGAACGGTCATTTTTTGATGTGAAACTATTTATGTTTTCATTATATTATAGAAGACAAAACAAAGACAGAGTAGAGAGAAAAGCAGAAGGATTGAGGGGGAGAGATATAAGGCATATAAAGTAAAAAAGTTGCCAGAAGAAGCCTCTGGTACTGTAAAACAGTGGTTTATAACCTGGGGGCAGCGACCACACAAGTAGTTGCAAGATAATTTCGGTGATTAACAAGAGAGGAAAAAGATTATTGTGGCTACCATATCTATCTTCTGACAAACCTCTTTTTTCTTTGTTCCCCCCTCATAATTACTTTTCATTTACTCACATAAAGCAAGGGTAATTCCTCTTTGTTCAAAAGACATCATTATTATATATATATATATAATTTATTTACTCAGTGATTCATGTTAATATAACGAAAACAGTCTTTTCTTGAGATTTAAATGAGATAATGTATCTAAAATGGAAAAAACCCCACAAAATGTATAAATGAAGAGAAAGAGACTGACCTACAAATATCATCATGGTCCAGACCATGTGAATCGCCAAGTTTCTCTCTTTGGCATAAGGGTGCAGAAGGTAGAGCATGATGGGAGAAATGATGAAGAAAGAAAAGCTGCTCATCTGCAAGGGAAAACATCAATCAATCAATCAATCAATCAATCAACAAAACAACAAATTAAACATCCAGTCCCTCGCTTTGTCTGTGAGATCATGGATATTAGACATGTATTTTTTTTATCAAAAAGGGGAAAAAAAACAACTATATGATTATAGATATTCTGTTAACATAAATACTACTTCAGTACTGAGATACTTACGGTGTTGAAGTACTCCACTACATGTTCAGAGTGTTTGTAGTTGTCTTCACACCAGTCGATTTCTGAACTCTCATAGGAGAAAATTTCTGCCATCTTTTCACTGGAGTAGACACCTGCCAGTCAGAGAGGGGGGATCAATAACCACTGGTTTCTGAAAGCACACTTGCAGTTTTACAAACGTTTGTGTCCGTTGTGTCCACTGCAGATAAACTGGGCGTCTATCCAGGAGGCCTGTCTCGGTGTTTGTATAGATGGTTTATGGAAATCACTTTTCAGGTTTGTATTTTTACAGTACTGGTATTCAAATGTGGCTTTGCACCCTTTCTCAGAGCCTTTATGATAGACGTTTAAATGTGATTCAAGCTAGTGTATTATTTAAAGTAAAATAACAAGAATAAAACTGATCCTTTACTTAAAGGCGTATTCTAGTGATTCACATGATTACCCACATTAAATACTTCAATACTTTATGAAACACTACAGGGTTTAACTGTGTGATCATTGTGATGTGATAAAAAATGTAGTTAAACCTAACTAAAAATGCTTAATATTCATAGTGACAATGCATAATAATCAGCTCCTCCCATGTATGTAAATAGGGGGGACAAAAACACCTCTCAATACAATGCAGTCCAGTTCAACAAAACTAAAATATAGGGCGATTAAAAATCGAATTTACTCATTTCCGACCATAAACATGGTATGGCAAAACTGTTTACTGTATTGACTGTCGAGGTGTACCTAATAAAGTAGCCACATAGTATAAACAGTATAGAATACAGTGCATATGACTTGATTCAATATTGGGTTATAGTACATCACAGACATATTATTATGGGATTATGATGTTGATATATGTCACTAGGACACAATAAACTCACTACTGATCCCAACATTTGCACTCAGTCACAACAGGAACATCAACTGGAATATTCTATGATTTAAGGTGTGACAGTTTCACACCCTTAGAAAAGTTTCATGTAAGTGTAATTAATTCTTAGTAAAAAAAACCAAACACCTGTTACTTTATGGTTTTATTATCAGAAACGGATGGATCTTACCTCCCATGCTGCTGTTGCCCCAGCCTCCAGTCTGTCAGTGGTGCTCTGCTCCAGGAGGTATAACAGGTGCATCGAAACGCTGCAGATCCTGTTGCACGAGACTGTGACGTCAAAACTCAACATGCTGTACGGTTTTACAGCTCCGGGCCAACAAGTCAGACAGGTAAAATGTCTGGAATGTACCCACCTTTACCCGAATTAAGGTCAACTTTTAAAGGGAAAAACACTACTAATAAAGACACTGTTGAAAAACTATAAAGTGAGGTCAAAAGTACTTTAAACTCCAATACCAGTGCTGAAAACTCAATAATCAGTGCCGAGTAGTTTTTGCTGTTAAATTGTTATTCAAATACACAGATCAAAAGGACATGGAACAAACGGTCCGAATATAAAAACAGGTGACACAATAGCTTCAGGCTGTCTCTAGAAAAGACAATCAACCGGTCGCCTGCCGCCGCTGGCTCAGGCCAACTCAAGCTATGCAAATTTCAAAATAAAAGCACGAGCGTTCCGCGTGTGCTAAAGAGCAGGTACGGCGTGTGTGCTTGATTTTATTTTGAAAGATGACAGTTCTGCATGATATTAATCATATTTACACAATTAGACAGCGTGGAAGATGTACTCAGATGTTTTATAAGAAGCAATACCGTGTTCTGAGTTTAAAATTAACTGTGATTTGACTGTTTTTTAAACATTTTGAATAAATATCTTTATTCACACTGCAATTAATTAAACTTCTATATACAGTATATTATTTCTTATAACCCTGTCAATGTGCTACATTCAAGCTCTAAAACAACAGAAAACATATTTTGTGCATCTTCACAATACATCTGTACAGATATACACACAACTTGTATTATAACAGTCATATTTGGATTTATGCTTTATATTTTACATTAGATTCAAACGGCACTTTTCCTTTTTATTATTTTTTTTCCTTTGTAAACTAGGTTTAAAAATCATTTTTGCTGTGTCTCCTCTCTCTGTCTTCTTTATAAAAGTACTTTACAATGTAAAATAAAAGAGAAAAATTGTAAAGAGTTGTAAAACTTTTTATTTATCCATATAAAAACAAATATTGATTGACAGTGAGGGAATTAAATTGATTTACAAAATCAACCACACATTAAAAAAGAAAAATGCAAAATGTAAAGTTAATAAGTCACCGCTCTCTTGTTATTCAGAAATATTTTATAACTTACTGATGAAAGCACCAAACCAGTCCAAAAGTCCTTGAGGTAAAAAAATGAAAATATATTTATTTTACTGAGGTGAAGAAATATCAATAATGATATTAGTAATAATAATCATAACTTTTTTCAGTGAGGTCCAAAGTATTGTCTCTGCCAATGTCTTTGATTGGTCTGAAGCAGGTGTGTTAAGGTGCAAACATAACAGTCAAGTTCGATACATTTTCAAATGTCTATTACTACTTGATTTCATGGCGTTGTCTTAATCACATATACTGAGCAGTATTCGACATTGCTCTGGAGAACAGGGAAAATATAGACTCTGTAGACAACAAAAAGCAATGCCGTATTTTCAGGTCACTTTTCTGTAACTTTAACTTTGACATTTTCTTAGGAAAGTAACGGCTCAAAGAAAGGTGTTGTGGGAGTAACAGTGAAGTCAAAGAGATATTTTTGCTATCATTCAGAACGACAACAGATGAAACCCGAGCAGCTCTTTGCGGTGGACCTGTGTTTTAACAGTCGTGACCATAACAATAATGTCTTCTGTGCTCTGCTCCTACAAACAATATATACGTGTCCCTAATATCAGCGAGGTCCAAACAGTTTCCATTATGGATGAACGTCTAACATGCAACCATGAAGAATTCCCAGGCAGTTTCTTTAGCAAACAGTATTTGCTACTTTCAACAAAATACACATATTTCTCAACAGACGCAAAGTCCAGCGGGACAGACCGAGCCCCGTTCAGATCTTTTCCACATAGTTACCGGGGAAGAGACCTTCCTTTCCTTGAATCCTGCCAGTCCACCAGCCTGATGCATCTACAGAGAAAATCAATAATTAGAGATAAACATCATGAATCACTGTTTCAAATCTATCAGATCAATACTTTTAGAGCGTACTGATGATTTATATTGATCTCTATTCACGCTTCATCTTGCTTTCTTATCACGCACACACCTTCTTTGATGAGGTTGAACACGTCGTCGGCATTAAAGCTGATCTCGTCCGTGTCCTGGCCGATGTACTGATATAGCGCCCTGCAGCGGGGCCCCTGGAGTTGAGGCTGAGGTTTAGGAGCCGGAGGAGGTTGACGACTGATGCTCCTTCTCCTCTGCTTCCTGTTACAAAGAGAGAGCAAGTTGGCAAAGGAATAAAAAGAGCCGGTTAAGAGACGGACTCGTGAAGTTTCTTTGGGGCTAAATGGTCAGACAGGGAGAGTCAACCACAGAGAACATTTTTAGGTTTGTATATCTTCATCAGGGAACTCTTTAAATGCTTTATGTTAATAGTTTCTTATTAAGTTGTAAATGAAATAAATAGAGAGCTGAGTCAGACCAGAACTTTGGATTTAAAAACACACACACTTAAGATCACATCAACATTTGTAATAACACAAATTACTAAAAATCCAGCCTGGGAACAAAACCTTGCTCAAGACACTTCATATTTCTAGATAAGGATAGTAAAATGATCTCAAGTCATTCAATTAATATTTCTGATACAGGGGACTTTAACAAACACCATTTCCCTAAAGACCTTTAGCTCATAATAAATGAGGGGTCTGACAATTATCAGTAACCTTCAGAAACCAACAACATCTATGCCACTTCAAGCATCGATTAGCCAGGTGAACAATCTGAACTCAAGCTCTCTTTTTTAATTCTTCACACAACTTGTTACCTTTCGTGTAAAAACGAGTGCAATACCATGAATGCCTTCCAGGAGAGACCGTCTGTAAATGATCCTTACATTTAAGGCATAGAAATCATAGTAGGGCCTACTTACTAAACAAACCACTTAGTTTGAAGCATACCCTGGCCAAACTTCAACTCTTTATAAACAGGTTTATTTCTCTCACAATGAAATTCATTCATTTGTTTGGGCTCAGTATGTGTCGAGCCTCACCCTGACATGCCTTGACAACTCATGAAGCTTCTGTGCACTGATTTTGTTGTGACTAATCAGCTCCACCCACACATGCTGTGATCATGCCTTCCTTCCCCTTCCCCTTTTTTCATATGTCACGAGGTGATATTTCCTTACCCTGACATGCCCTGGTCAGGCACATTGAGGAAGTCCAAGTTCCCCGGGTTGTGCTGGTTGTGGGCCGGGACTCTGGGGGCCCTCTGGGAGCCCAGTTTGGGCGGAGCTGTGCTGGGTGGCTGCCCGTGTTTTTGCGGGGAGGAATATGTGACATTTGAATGTTGGTTGGGGGCGGCTCTGGACAATTTGGGTGCACCATTCTGGTGCGCTAAGGAGCGGGAAAGTGTAATAAAAGTAAAGATTAAACCCAAACGACCTCCAGACTTATTAAACCTCGCAGAAATATTAATCAGATATCATCTTAAGAATTTTAAATTCTATAGTGGGTTTGTAATTGTCAGTGATGGAAGAATTATTCAGATAGTTTACTTAAGTAAGGAGCTATAAATTAAGTCAAAAGTAAACAGTACTCTTAATCCAGGCAGAATGACTCCAGTCAGTTGTTCATTACTGGATTGTTACCGATGATGCATTAATGTGTATGCTGCAATTTAGTTGTAGCTGGTTGAAGTAAAGTTCATTTCTACCACTTTATATACTGTTGGGTAGTTTAATCTATTATAACAATCCTTCATATTTTACAAGATCTTTTACATTCGTTTTCTATGTAAAACCTTAACCTTCAAAGCAACTAGTAACCATCGCTGTCAAATAAATGTCGAGGAGTAAAAGTTCAACATTTTAATATAAAAGTGTGTTTAAAGTATAAAGCATAAAATGCAAATAGTCAAAGAACAACAAATTGTACTTGAGTAGATGTACTTACTTACTTTTTAGTCTAAAGGGTCATGTAAATTATCACTTCAAGTAAGATATACAGATAATATACTGAACATAACAATGAAATAAAGTTAGAATTGTGACTTTACCTCTGCTGCCAACATTACTTCTCCCTCCACCACGAGACTGTGGAGCACTCTTCCTGCTCGGCTCTGATGAAATACATGCTTGGTTACAATTAACATTCAAATGAACAAGAATCTCTACACAACTACATTTTCTGTAAAGTTTTGCCTTGCTTCTCTTTATGTAAAGGCTCTGCAGTGTCACGATTATTTCGTTTAACTCACTGGAGGACTTGGGTAGACCGTCCCCTACTGTGATGGTGAGGGTCTTCCCTCCAGGTTTGAGCTGGGACAGGTCCCCTTGCCCCCTCTGAAACACCACCACCCTGTTGCCTCCTCCACCCCAGCCCTCCTTCTTCACTCTGAACTCCAACCTGTGTGGGAACAAAGTGGGTTAGTGATTCCAGTTTGTTTTGCAAATATACTGTATGTTGTCTGGGCATATGGGTTTCTCTACCTGTCAGTGAAAGAGATTGTCAGTTTTCTCTTGGTCACGTCCTCGTAGCGTTTCAAGAGCAGACTGAGGAACTCAGTCTTAAAGTTGGACTCCAGCAGACTGTCGTACTGGGACTCATGTATGATGAAGAAATCATCCTGCCTCGTACTGAAGACAAAAATACAGACCATTAAGAGCTGCCAAGGCTGCCATGTTGAACTTTTGAAGTGTCTTTCAATGGCAGTAATAGCTAAAGTTAAACATGTTAAAGATGTGTCAAGCTGTACTTAAGTTGAAGTTATAATGGCTGTACTAAAAGAGTTTAGGTTTCAGTTTTAAAATCCTACTTTAGAAATTATCAGCTACATTTACTTTACATACGTAAACAAGGAAAAGTACTCGTTTCGTAGGGTCATTTTATTAGCTTTGTATATAGTTTTGTAATCTGAAAGGTATTTTATAACCTTGCAGGTCAATGTAATAGATAAACAATACTATGCTCCGTTTGTGGTGTAGTAGAGGTATAAAGTAGCATAAAATGGGAATATTGAAATAAAGTAAAAATTACCTAAAAATGTATGTTTGTGAAAGTTTTTAGCTGATAAAGAAATACAAAGAAGACACAGTTCTGTGACTTCTCAGGTCAGCAGAATATGTTTATCTGCTATATTTACTCTTGCAGCAACAGTGACTTATCACGCAGTGGTTACTGACTGAGAACGCAACATGCTAGTTCTCTTATTTTACACAACCTCAAATGTTACTATTGCCAGTTGTGGTTAATGTATCTCTATGAAACTGGAGACCTACCTGAGAGAGACACCAGTGATGCTTCCAAACTCCAGCTTTCGTTTCAGCACCTCCTTTATCAGTCCTTTCTCAGGTCCTTTCTTCACCTTCTCTCGACCAATCAGATAGATGCCCTTGGGGGTCAGGATCAAGTCTCTCTTAATAGACTGGAAAAAAACAGAAGTGAGAACTTCATGCAATGCCAGAAAGGAGAAGTCCACAAAGGGCAGTCTTACTTATAACTGTTTTAAAGGGGAAAGACTTTTACACATCTTTAACATCAGTCATTTTCTTGTTGGTCAAATGTTTATGAAACTAAACTTAAGCTTCATGAAGCTTCACCTTGAACCTGCGATCAAACTTGTTGACAGAATCAGTGAAGTCGACACGCTCCCTTTTGGCAAGAAACTGTCGCAGCTCAGGCCTCTGCTCCAGGCCGAGGTAGTCCCCGACAAAGTTTCTGTTGATGCTGTTCTTCCTCCGCTCCTTTGAGTTGTACAGGATGTCTGAGGCTGTGTTGTAATGATGGAAAAACATTCAGAATCACAGCGCCACATGTGTACTTTGAGAGCAACGGCATTTTGTCCTTGTAACTCACCCTCCTCTCTCATCTGTTCATACTTCTTCCTGGCAATGTATCTTCTCCAGGATTTCTGAATGATCCTGGCAAAAGTGTCAAACTTCCTCTCCCTCATTTCCTCCAGCAGGAAAAGCTGTGGAGCATTGGGCACGACAGACATTCAGAAATGAACGACAAATATGAAGTCCTTTTATATTTGTCATTTATTTCGGAATATCTTCATTTTCTATAGTATTGCTGAAGTTTAATTAGCAAGTTTAACGATCTTTGTTCGTTGTTAAAAAAACAGAAATGAAGTGAAGCTGATTTTAACTACATTATATATTGTTAAGTACTGTAAGTAAATGTTATAATTTATTTTATAAGCTCATCATATTTTCTAAGTAAGATCTTAATTTGTAAATTATTGTTGTCAAGTAAAATGTACAATATTTCCCTCTGAATTGAAGTGGAACTATAAAGTAGCATTAAATGGAAACACTCAAGTACTTGCAAGTACAAGTAGATCAAATATGTACTAAAGTACAGCACTTAAGTAAATGTATTTAATTACGTTATATGGAGGCAAAATACAACGCAGACTGAAGTACATAAAAAGTTTGCTACCGATTCAGGGTTCTTGACAAAGACCTTGGTGCGTCCCATCTGGTACTGGTCGTTATCCATGTTGACAGACCGGAGGAGGTGAAGGACCCCCTGCTGCTCTGGACCCCTCCAACATGGCCATGTCTCAGCTGTCAGAATAGCATACCTAGATACGACAAGTCGTATGTTGAACTGTGTCCTTCTTCCAGTACAAACGCAAGGAAAAAAATGCATCCTTTCAACAAGGATTAAACTCACCTATTCAGAAACTTATTGAAGAGTCTGCGGTACGCAAATCCAGCTCTTCTTACACGTATGTTTTCCCGCAGTCCGAGATATTCAACCTGATGTCTAGCTCTAAAAACAGATGGAATACCACCATTCATCAAGAAGTGTGGTTTGAGTGTAATCATATTCATTTGTCACAGTGAGGATGCTGACCTGCTCTCCTCCCAGTCTTTCGGTCTCTTTGTCTCATTGGGTTTGATGCAGCGGATATAGTGCGGAGTACATTTCATCAGCGTGTTCACCAGATCATTAGCTTGTCTCTGTTGGAAACACCAGTGCACGATCAATGCATTGCTACACCCAAAATTCATTGCATCTTGATCAAAGGACATTAAGCTTTTAGTTCATGGTTAATCTCACTTTAAAGTCTCACCTTGATCTTTGAGCTGGCTGTGGTTGGCCGGCTTTTCTTATCTGTGTTGATGTTTTCAGGGAACAAGCTACGGATGAAGTTACTGTAGAGACAAATTCAAAGGATTTTTATTAAACATTCCATAAGTGACCCCAGAAAAGGTGCATGGCAGCTATCCACTGTTGGGCCTCAGAGCACCATCTAGTGTACTGCATAGGTACTTCCAAATGGTTAGATTCAATTTTACATTGGGTCATTTACAAAGCTAGTTGTGTTTATATCTTATTGTGCTCACACGACACATCATCAGTGTCACCACTGTCAGCTAGCTAACATTCTAACATTTGGGTCATTAAAGCTGATGGTGACATCACATATTTACAGCCCGGTTTACATTTAATCCTTCTTCTTTTGTCATGTTGGTTTTTTTCTAATTTATTTGGGAAGGTTTTCAACAATCAGAAGTTGGCCTTAAATTACAAAAGGTTGAGAACTCCTGATGTAAGAAACTTACTGTTCGCTGCTTTGCATGAGCTCGATGAGGTCAGGGAACAGCACATCCCGGTTTCTCTCACAGAAACCAGCGATATCGTACGACACCTGAGACGACATTATAACATTATAACTGCTATATAAACGTAATACACCAGGCAAACATTATTATTTAGTAGATGGTGTTGTCAGATTATTTGCTTCACATGTGTTTATGCAGCAACAAACATGTCTACTTCCTCTTTGTGTCACTAAAACCTTAATCATAACACATCTACCAACAATTAGAGGCAGCAGCACTACTGTTTCAAATAAATCCAATACATAATCTATCTATAGTATTTCTGCTGCTGGAGAGTCAGTTTGACATATTTCATGTTCCTACCTTGCCAGCGTAGTGATGTATGACGAAGCCCGAGTTCCAGCTGTTGAAATGTTCATGTGTTCCCACTGCGGACTGCAGTTTCTGCAGCAGAGTGCCATCTGCACCCTCTCCTTTGGCATGCATGGTGGCGCACACATCATCCAGCACGCTCATTACGCCGGGAGGGTTCTGCAAGGAGAGGATGGTTTGGACGAAGTTTACTATAAACAATCACCACTTGCAACTGATTTGAAAGTGTCTGGGAATAACAAGAAAGACCTTTCATCAAACATACATAATAGAGAGTCATTATTTGGTGTGAAGTAGATAATACAAGAACAATATATTGATTATGTCCTATTTAAAATATAGACAAAACCATTAAAGTCAGATAAAAACATTCGTCTATGTTTCACAAAAACAGAGTAACAAAACAAACATTTCACATGGTATTTCACATGAGGTGATATTCTTTGCTGTTTTTGACCTTGGGAGTACTGCCTTTTTTCCTGACTTTGTTTTTGGGAATCATAGACATGCTACTTTTTATAGGCAGAGCCCCGAGTTAGTGCTGGTCCCTTGCAGGAGAAGCACACTTCTTTCTTGTTTGAACCGCTTCAAATTGTATTTATTTATTTGTTGGCCTCTTGGTTAGGATGACGCTTACCAATTTATTTTCAATGAGGTCGCACACAATCTTGTTGTTGAAGTACTCAATGGGAGTCCACTTGATGCCCTCTTGAACGTACTCGTCCTGAGAGAAATTTAGCAGACATAGAAAGAAAAGAGCATAGAGGAGAACAGACTGAAATACATTTTAAAGACAGTGGATTTTAAATATTCACAACCATATTTAGCCTAAATCAAATAAAACAGAACCCCATTTACCCAGCATAGTGTCGAGGTTAAGAGACAAGGAAGACAAAAGGAAGTTACCTGCTCAGCCTTCAGAGTCAGTTCAATAAAGATCTGTTGCAGTTTCTCATTGACAAAGTTGATACAGAACTGCTCAAAGCCATTTCTCTGCCAGGGGAAGAGTCATTCCAGTCAAAATCACATTATCACCACAGTAAAACAAATCCTGCTGTGCTGCACCGTCTATAAAACTAACATCTGTTATTTTCGCGGCAGCCTATAAATATTATGGAACTGCAAGTTATCAGGAGACTAACCTGGAATATCTCAAAGCCATAAATGTCAAGTACTCCGATACTGAATTCCTCATGTGGTTTTTGAATGGCTTTATTTATGGCCTGGAGAAGACAGACAGGGTAAAAGCAGAAGGGAAATAAAAAAAATACAGATTTATCTCAACTTGTGTAGGTATCTCAGTAAAAACAGGATGCTTCTTCATTTCATTTTTTTTCATTTATTTTTTTACTACTGAGATAAAAGGTTTGACTACCTCCACCAGGTAGTCAAAGAGTCGTGCATAGAGGGCTTTGGCCAGGGCATCTCGCGTGTAGGTGGCCTGCTCCTGGTTCAGGGTCACATTAATGGACTCATTCTTCCCTGCCCACTTCCGGCCGGTGAGCTTGTCCTGCAGACGGCTGGGATCAATGCCCAGCAGATAGGCGGGAAAGGCAAGCACTAGAGCAAACAAAAGCAAACTATTTTTAATCCACACAAATGTATTATGCCTAAATGGGGCTAATAATAAAGATTCAGATATGTTGCGCTTCAAAATTGAAAGTGCACATATTGCCTGAGAATGTGTCTTTCTGCAGTAGATGTAGACGTAACTGAATGAAGTCTGCAGTAGCTTAAATTGTACAATACTGGAGAGGTGTAAACACCAATTATCTACACTGTAGGGAATCCCCAGGCAGCAAGCACAGGTGATGATAATCAAGGTAGTACTGATGTGCACAGACTATCAATTATCAGTGTCATGTCTGCCATGGGAGTGCTTTGTCATGGTGAGCTCTAATTTACTCACATCCATTTGGGAGAAAATGGGGCATTTTATACGTCAGGTGGGAATGTTTGTGCACCTTCATGTGTGAGTGAATCCATGTGTGCCTGATGTCTGTGCGTGTGTGGCACTCACAGTCTGTGCTCTCCACCTGCCCATAGTTGCCTGCCTCTATGAAGCTGATATTTCCCAGGTGGAGGATGCCTGCGACGATTTGCAGGACCTGAGTCTGGATGTCGCCTGGGATCCCAACCACCTGCATGGCTTCCTGGAGACCACAACACAAAAGCAGACAGTGACGGCAGCACTTTGTAGCAAGTTCATCAACATTCAGTGCAAATATTTGATGATCATAAGCAAATTAAAGTCCTGTGTCCTTAAGGTCCTGTGTCACAACCAGTCATTACAAAATATGATTATTTCAGCTCCTAATACAGATTTTCTCCAGTATACTGCATATGTACCATAGTCTCTTGGAAATCTTTGCTGTCGTTGGTCCCATCCACCTTGTAGGTCCCAGACTGGTTGAGGTAGCAGTAGTAGTCTGGGGTCATGATGCCCAGGGCCTCTTTCTGCCGATCGTTGGCGCCCTCTATCATCTGGAAGACAACAGTGCAGGTAGAAGAGCAGTTAAACATGAATCCCAATGGGCACTAACAATATGAGGAATAGTTCCATTTCATCAGCATGTTATTGATTGACATTGACTGGACAGTATGGATGGCTGGTTTTCTGTGACTAATCTGTGACTGTGCACGCCTCTCTTCAGCCTCTGACCTGATAGTATATGTGGAAGTTCCTCTCGTTCTCATTCTGGCTCACCCCCCTCGACTTCTCCAGCAGGAAGTTTGAGATTTTACCACCGTCTGGCTCTCCTCCTCTGCTGAACTGAATCTCAAAGTATTTCCCCTGGTAGATGCAAAAATCATAGGTGTCAGTAGATAAATATGTCAACGCAGGTGCAAAGTACAAGGGTAAGCAGAGTAATTTCCCCTCGTTGCCGATGATCCTGACACACTGCTAAAGCCTTTTTAAACAAGAAATACAAGCAAATAAAGACATCATAGATAAAATCAAAATGTCCTAAACTGCTGCTCTGGCTGAGCTCAAACAATGCAACAGTTTTTAAATGTGACTTCCATCATTGCTACATCTGTAGCTACAAAATAGTCTGCAGACATCTAACTGCATTGACCCGAACACAAAACCACTCAACGCTACGTCAACAGTGACAGGAAACTCTAAAGCTAAACGCATGCACGGTGATGTGGTTTATAAGTGTGAAATTAAAGCCTCAGAACCCCACTGGTGACAAAGTGCATTCTGAAGTGCATTGAACCACCATAATCACACACCAGTTGGCTCCTAAATAATTTTATATATAACATTATATACCCTTTTCACTGCATACTTTCAACACTCAAAGTAGTTTATATTTCTATTTTTGATCTTTGGATCTACAATCTCTTTGGATAACATAAACTGTATTTGTTATTTCTTATTAGTTACTTAAAACACAGGTAATCAGAGTTGAGTAGTTGAGTCATTAATATATTTCTGGTGTTTATTTACTGGGCATTCAGTATTACGGACGTCCACATTGTTGGTGAGATGGTGTTTTCATCTCGGTTGGTCTATGTTGTCAGATTTCTTCTGTTGTTCCTGAATTATTCTCTCTCTTTGAAAGAAAACAACAGCAATAGTCTACAGTCATGCAATCAGCCCTGCGACCTTGTGGTGGCGCTAATGGAAGAGTCAGTAGATGTTGTGATTAATCCTCTGGGCTCCATGAATATCTGTGCAAAATGACAATCCATCCAGTGGTTGTTGAGATAGTTCAGTGTGGACCAAAGCACATTTCCAAATATATTTCAATCATGTCGCGTCTGCATGCTGGGAAGTAAAGATCTCACTCACAAAACGACTGGAGTTGTTGTTGCGGACAGTCTTGGCGTTACCAAAGGCTTCCAGCAGAGGATTTGACTGTAGAATGATGTCTTTTACATGCTGCAACACACATACAACAACACAGTGACAGTGTGAGACACAACAAAAGCACCAACAGTACACAGCACACTGCAGGAAGTCATTGCTTTCTGTCTCTACCTGAACTTTCGATCCTCCTCCAGATACTTTGGAAATGTAACCCATGATGTATTTGGCAGCCACTGTCTTTCCAGCACCACTCTCACCGCTACCACAATACCATGAAATAAAAAGACACAACACACCAGAAACCAACTAAAAGTTACTCAAACTACCAACACTAAGTAAGACACAATATCAAAACAGTGAGAAGAAAAACAGGGCTGTTGTGATCACCTAATGATGACACACTGATTCTCTCCATCAATCATCATGTTTCTGTACATGAAATCAGACAAGGCGTAGATGTGGGGTGGATTTTCATATTGGGCCTACAGAGACGAAGGAGAGAAAGTTACAGTAATGGAGTAAACAACAACAAGGCAAACCATAATATTGTTACAGGACATGGCGATAAAATGCTGAAGAATTTTACTTACAGCTCCTTGGTACATTTCGATCTCTCTGTCAGTGAAATAGGGCATCTGTTTGAACGGGTTAATTGATATCAATACAGGGCCGATGTATGTCTGAGTGGCAAAGTTCAGGAACATGGTGGAAACATAGGCTTGTGAATCACTGCTGGTACCAAAGGATGGTACGTTTCCAATAGTTATTGTGCTTTTTAGACCAATAAGAATATCAATATTTGATACTTAAAGATTGATATATAATATATTCTGTTGTTTTTCCTACATAAATGAATTACATTAACAAACATTGTTGATCAACAAGAAAAATACAGAGATAAATAGCCGCAACAGATGAAATTAAAAACACCTTTTGTCATTATATTAATCAATTGAGTCGGCTCTACATTTATCATCTTAATTTATAGGTTAAAATTAGCTAATTAGCACTAAATACAAAGTACAGCTGAAGTTGATGGGAATGTCTTTCATTTTGCAAGAATTTGGCCATAAACAAAATAATTTTGACCTGATGATGGCACAAGATTAAAAGTCAAAGGATCACCAAAATGATTACGAAAATGAACTTCATCCTGGTGAGGACATGAATGTGTGTACCAAATTTCTTGGCAAATATCCAACAGTTGTCTTGACATTTCACTCAAAACCCTGAATATCAACCTCATGGTGGCGCTAGATAAAACTCGGAGGATCACCAAAGTCATCAGGATTCATCCTCTATGAACTTTAAATGTCAAACCAAATTTCTTGCTTCTCCATCAAATAGTTGTTGAGATATGAACCAAAGTGGTGGGACTGATCAACAGACATCCGCATCTGGGCAATGCTGCTGGCTGATACATTGCAAACTATTTAGTCAATACTTAGGTCATGAGTCCACCATGACTTACGTCCAACAGCTCTAAAGTTGTTTTTATCTATGCAGGGAAATTGTCTAACTAGTAGTTAATGATTGATGATCCACCAATAGTCGTTCCTTAAAATTATACATCCTGTGAAATCATGACTTGTGGCTGCAGTGGAGTCTGACTTGAGGTGAAATCAGCTGCTCTTGCTTGCATATTTGATGTGAACTTGTTTCCCCGAGTCTAAATATGGGTTTGAAGTTCAGCTGTGTTCTAAGAAGACGGAAGTGAGCGATTGAGTCACACAGTGAATGCAGAAGAGGAAGAGTGCGTTCATTATATTTATGCCCTTGTTTGGTTGATAGTTTGACTGTATTTTTGTGTTTTGTTTCGGGAATTTATGTGAAGAGGGATGTTGTATTATTTTAGTGTAGGACATTGGTGGACTATGGACAAAAAATGTATTTGACATAAATGGAAATGGGTAATCATTTTTTTTTTTCTGGTGCCTTTAAGTTACACAAGGTTAAGTCAGACATGAGGCCGAGATCTGATGACAGGCTCACATTATTGACACATAATGGCAAAAACTCTTGTCCCACAAACAGTATTACTTCCTCCCCACAAGGATCTCTAAACAATACTCTCAACTTGTTTTGGTGCCAATTAGTTTCCGTTGTAGCCAAGCTTGCTAATGTCCCAGCAGTTAAATTGTTAGAATTCTAAATCAATATTTGTGACTACAACCAATTTCAAGACTGGGCAGAAATAAAAAAAAACTAAATAAAGAAAATACAAAATGTAAACGTCAGCTTGTGGGATACAAAGATGTAGTCGTCCAGGTATCTTTTCTTGAGGTTGTCCACAATGGCGTCCTCAGTGATCTTGGATAGGAGGACCATGTCGTCCACTCCGCTTTGCTTCACATTTTGACTCTGCCAGTGGTACTTTGCCTGAATCACACAAAAGTGGAGAGAAAGAAAGAAATTCACTATGGGGGTTGAGATACCGCTTTTCTTTGAATTCATTATTTATTTATACATCCATTCTAGTTACTGTAAGTTGAATAATAGAATGGAAATATAACCAAGTTTAAAGGGGCACACCACCGATTTTACACATTGACTGTTTATTTACTCGCCATGAGGAGTATGTTTGAAAAAGCTTGGCTTGGGGACTGCAATTTTGTTTTCTTTCATATAAGGAAGGCCAAAAGAAAAATGCTATCGTGAATCCAGTGTTTTGGGGTTTGACCTACTTGATACTAATCATTATATCTCAGGCTCTGCTGGTTGAATTTATTTTTTTCCTAAATCTGTGTCTTAAAATGTAAGTGCCTTTAGGTTAAAGTGCACACTCCAAAATAAGCTCTTAAAACTAGAAAGGTGCACGCAATAGTGTGCAGATCTCCGGCAGGTGTGTCTGCAACGACCACTGTTGCGTGATTGAATGAATACAACTCACAATTGGCTAACCCCCCCCCCCGTCGAGAAACCAATGGTCTGTAAGGCGCCGTAAAACACACTTGAACAAGCGGAGATGAACGCAGGCAATCGGCTCGAAGTCGTCGTAAACGAGACGTCATACAATCTTGCCAAAAACAAAATTAAACTCACCAGGCTGTCTGCCAGCTTAGTAGCAGCTGTGTTGCGATGAAGTACAGCAGTATGTTGGTAGTTTAGTTAGCGATTAGGCGAACACACCGTCCAAAACAATAAAAGTGAGCCACAGAGCGGCGGCCGAGAGGTACGTAGATGTGTGTGTGCTAATAGTTACGTTAGCAGTTAGCCAAACACAGCTGTTCTACCCCAACAGTAGCAGACAGGGGTCAGAGATGCACTTAGATGTGCTATCACTAGCGTCCACTACCGGTCGACGGGCCGGTTAAGAGTAGTAAGTGAGGAGTCAATGGCAGTATAAAACACGCAATAAAAGGTGTTTTAAAAAGTGTTAGTCACCACAATCACCAGAGGTTCTTGAGCATGCAGCCATAATTGGGCAACCAAAATATAATGTAGTTATCTGCAGCAGAATGCGAGATTAGCCGTGGACAGACACAGAGGTACACACTCACGCACACACGCGACCAATCGCATGATCCTACTGGCGAAGTTATGTAATGGAACTGAAGTGAGACAGACAGACAGACAGATAGTCTCTCTAATAAAGAAGGTAAATGACAAAGACACGTTTGGCATCAGCACAGATGTTTTAACAACGTAACAAACCGTGGTTGCCATTACAGGAAGCTGGGGCTGGTTGCCATGCGACAGGTCACAGATGAGGTGAGCTGATTTTGTAAGTTCGACACTTTAGAGAAGCACCACCAAACTCTGTGATCTGTCTGACTATACGTCAATATGAACAGTACCTGATCACAACAACAACGGCTTTAAGTTAATGATTGATATGTTGTGAAACGATGTCTTTATTATTCGGAGGGCATTATTGTCGCCGCAGACTGTTTTCCGTTGACACCTTCTCACAGAGCCCTGAAGTGATCTCGTACCCTGCGGCTTGGTTTTCCCTAAAAGACGCTGGTCTGTTTGATGTGTGTCTAACAGGTCTTGTCAATGGCATGGTGGTTGGGCTGTGGTCTGGGGCTTCAACTTAGTGCACAGGGAGAAGCCTACATGTACGCTTCAATGTTGCACCTCAGACCGACAGTCACCAGAAGGAAAACATACTGATACTGATAGAGCTGAGAGAGAGTTTTCTTTCACTTAATTCCCATTTTTTTCAATTTGTTGCTTTGTTATATTCTGCACTAAATCGAATTAAAAGTATTCAATAACAGTAATATGAAACCACTAATCTCAAAAAATCTGGAAAATCAAAAGCTTTTATTACTGGAATATCATAACCTAATTAAAACCTGTGAAATCAAAAGCAGTCACGCTATCAGTCTGTTATAAATATCCTTATTTTCACTCTCTTTGATCTGAATTATATAAAGTGTATATTACAGACTTAAAGGATAAATTACTCCTATCAAGCGGGGATTCGTGATATTCATTCAGACAGAAAGCTGAACGTCGTTCCCGTGGATTTGAACACTGGACCGACGCACGGACCGAATCTTTCCATTGACTTTGTATGCAATTGTGCTGCTTCTAAAATTCACTTTGCATAGTGTTTGAACCATTGACTGCATACAAGAAGAACAAACAGACCTGATTCTTGGACCAGATGGTGTCTACCACTCACCTATTTGTGTGTAAGGACCATAGGCATGAAATCAACTGTGTAGGAATAAAATCAGTTTTTCGTAAATGTTTCAACTTTTGTTCCCGATCATCTCAGCACTCATCCACGACTACATTTTCTACTCTAGACCTAAAACAGTCATGACCTCTGAACAGCCTCCCTGTTGAAATCCTTAAAATCTAAAATATTTTTAGTAAAGCATGTCTGGCAAAGTGGTGTCCTAATTGTCCAAACAAATTATTTTATTGTTTTACTTCATTTAATAAAAACATAAAATGATTGCACAAAGTTTACTGCAGGGCATTTTGGTGAAAAATGTTTGTTCGACTGTGACATATATGAAAAAAAGCCACCTATACCTGTAGCCATTTTGTTTGTGGCACTCAAAAGCATCAAACATGCAGCAACGACTTCTTCCAGACAAAACAGTTTTTTATGTTGTGTTGTGGTAATTCATTCATAATATAGTGGGAAGCTCCACTAATGTCACTGTGACCAGTTTTCCTTTTAGAAACACTTTCTACTCTTAAAAAACTCTAAACAGTTACTAGAGAAACTTTGCCAATGAGTTCAAACATGTTGATGCCTTGAGAACCACAAACAAAATTCCTGTTAACAACATATTGCGGTTTTGGCAAAAGCCACACCAGTCGAGGTCTCAAAAATCTCGCTGCATAAAACCGGAACTTTCTGCACAAAATACAAAACAAATCTGTGTGAGCTGATCCTTTAGCATCCATATTTCTGCCTGAGACGCTGCCTCTGCTACTTCACTGTGAGCATGTCTGTCATATTTAAATGGACAATTGTGTACAAGCAGCCTCCTCAGGCCTTTCTTTATTACGCCTCTGCCTGCATCTCGCATGTGAATCTAATTTTTAAATGGCTAAATGATTATGGTGATTATCGGAAAACTGTTTTTCAAAATAAGGTTATTTTTAAATTGAGTGAAAGCACTCGCAGTTACATTTATCTACACATTTTGGAGATCTTCACCATTAAATCTACTGACTGAATATAAATGCAATGACTTTTGGCTGCATGTTAGAGCTTATTATGAGTTTGGACCACTCTGCGTGTGACTAGGAAGTGTTGTGACAGAAAGCTCTCCTGCAGTCCACTTCCCCTCTCTCACACCTCATCTCTGCCTCTTGTGAAACCCCATAAACTTTGTACATGCAACCAGTTCTCTTCCTGCAACTGCCTGCCGCTCACAGGGGGGCTGCCAAAGCTGTTTAACGTAATGTGAAATACATCTCGCAAACTGAGATTACACTACAGTAACTACACGGTATATTTAAGATAATGTATTTTACTGCTCATTTGAACATTAGCACCCTCATATTATGTATTATGTGTATGTTTGTTCTGTGTACACTTTAAGTCTAAATTTTACAAGGTAAAATCCACATTTTTATCTAAAATACAACCATAAATCAAAGTAACAAAACAATGCAATCAATTCATTTGAGCTGTATAGTCTCAATGAAAGGGATCTTCCTGAAAAAGAGGAAACTCACTCTGCTGTTGCTGTGAAGGAGCTGGATTTCCCTGAAGAGATTGCCTTTTAAGACATGCCATCACATCCTTTATCCCGTCAAAATGAACTTTAAAACTTGAAATTCCCTCTTATGACTTGCCAAATGGAAACTACTGAAATTAAATGTAGTTAATCATGCGCTGTTGTCCCTTTCATAAAAAAAAAAACAGCTTTAAAATGCTGGGGTTTTTTGTAAAGCAAAGCCTCAAGGGTGAAACTGTAAGATCATCTTACATGTATGTGAAGAAAAGACACATCAGGTCTAGTTTTAGAAGCATAACCACACGTTACAACTGTCTGAAGGTGTGAGAGAGATAGCAAATGAAGGTGTGGTACCGTACCATTGTTCCAGCGGGCCTCCTCTCTTCCTCAGGTGTCCACTGTCCAGAGAGTGCGAGTGTGTGTGTACGTGTGTTTATGTGTCGTTAAAATCCACACGTTGACCTCTTCAGACTGCAGCCATCACAGCAGTCAGACGGTCAGAGCCAACAGCAGCCAGAGACCTACAATACAAGACATCCACTGACACATTCAAAAAGTTACTTCCTCATACTCCCACAGATGCAGTGTGTGAAACAAGAACTGCACACACACACACACACACACACACACACACCCACCCACACACAAAGTCGAGCTGCTACTTCTGTATTTCTGTTGTATTTAAAGTCATCAGAGCGAGTTTGAAATAAGAATGACCTAACGGGCCGATTACAGCGTCTGTGTCAGCAGATCTGAAGGTTAAACGGCACAATTAGTCAATCCAATTCATCTCGACAGCAGCAGACAAGAGTTGATGGCATCAACAACCACAAAGTGATAATTATCTTCAAACAGTTGCCAAATGATGGTGTTTCAGTTGTTAGCTGCCGGCTCCACCCAGGCTGTGGTTACTTGACTTTAGTTTGTGTCGTCAGAGAGGCTGCTGCTTCCAACGCCCATGATAACTGATGCAGGTTCACGCAGAGGTACACTGTGCTTACAGGGGTGTGTGTAGGTGTCAAACTATTGTTTTTACTGTTTTATGTCATTCTAATTGAGATTTCTTTCAAGTGCCTGCACAGGAAACTCACAGTGGCTCAATGTGTATCTGGTCTCTGGGGCATATTTGTAAAATAAGAAAGAATGTGTTCAGACTCACATTTAAAGCCCTGATTCTTGACAATAGTAGACATTATACATTATCAACAGTTAACAGTCGTGACAGTGTGTGGCTGGTATATTGAGGTCTCTATACAGCGTAGTCAACGGCAAGAATCAAACGAAAGTCTCATTTTGTCAAAAAACTGTTGAAGTATAAGACTGTGAAAATATGTAATTAGAAAGGCTATAAACCTGAAAGTAGCATAAATGATTTCTCTCACTGCAACTACGAGGCCACTGCGTTTCGTACCAGGATGTACACACATGAACGGGTCAGTAGACATCTACTGTAGCGGAAAGTACCACAGAAGCAGTTTGGAGTACTTTGCCAGGTGTTTATATGGTATTACAACCGTGTACAGGTGTGTAGTTGAGATCCAAATTAAGGCCGCCAAGGCGGTCGGAAGTAAAGAAGGTAGGAAGGAGCCATTTTGCTAGGTTTTGTTTTAGTCCCTTTGCGATCGGTTTGTTTCTCATTTTGTGTTTCTTTGTGGTCATTTAGCATCTTGTGGTCATTTGATTGGATTTCCAACAAAAATGTAACTTCATAGGTTTGGTCCAGGGGCCCCTGGGCCTGTACCCAAGCACCGCACCTGCAAACAATATTTAAAAGTGACACTAATGATCGTTTCGCTCTTAAACTCTCAATAGGAAGTAGAGAACAGACATGGTCTCAATATAAGTTAATTTATATGCTCATGTGTATACACCCGTCAGTAGTTGGCGGTCTCAAAAACCAAGGAAACAATCTTTTCAACCTGTTTATGGTGGGGTTTATCGGTCTACTAAGACGTCTTTTTGTGATACTACCACTCGTCATAAAGTGTCAAAACAGTCTTTAAATGCTGCTATTTTGGACTAATAAGACTTTTATACATTAGCAAGTTTGGTCAAGCATGTGAAACAGTGTTCGTCTTGAGATAAAGACAGTGTAAGAAGAGAGCAAATACACGCAATCAACTGACCCTTTTTTGTCAACAAAGTCCGATTGACGAGGGATGTCTGAGACTCATTCAGACAGAAGGAAGAAGTTCTTGCTTCATCTTTTCCATGAAGGCTATCGGATCCAAAAATAGATGACTGATGATCTCAACCTCCGTCTGGATATTGACGCGTGCTGTTTAAGGACAAATACAAGTAACCTAAGGACAGACAGCTCAAATGACCAAATCTTATTTCTTAGAATCGACAATGCACCATGTTTAATCAATTTAATATTTCCTTTCAAACAGACATACATGAGGGGCAAATGGAGTCATCTTCTATAGTATTGAAAACATACAGTACATGTCATGTTATAATTAGCATGTGACAAAACAAAAAACAACAACAACTACCGGTACTGTCCCTCTTATTTACTCGGATAAAACTGGCTCACTTCTTAGTGTAAACCTCAATTATAGGCACAGGTAGATACGGAGGAAAAATGCCTTTGAGACACTGAAACAAGAAATATCTTCCGAGACTTTATGTGCAACTGAAAATTATACAAATGGAATTTCAACATGTTGCAGGGTTGAGTTAGCTGTACACGCTGATGCAATACAAATGAACTGTATGAACATTTAAAATTAAATAATATTTCTATGCTCCCGTGGATTGATTAACATACCTTCTGACTTTTTGGAGATCCAACTCACGGTCATAGTAGCCCAAATTTGTTCCAAAAACCAAAATGTTTGTTTAATTCCTTAAAAATTATTTGAAATTTGAAGTTATTTTTTATAATCCTCAAATTGTTAATTTAGCTTGGAAATGCCAATATTTTGTACAGTGCACTCAGAAACTGTTGCAGTACTTTACATAATCCTACAATTTGCATGGTGAGCGGCATTTTGGAGATTTTGGTGATTTTGAGGCACAACTGACGCACATAAACCAAGTCAGAGAGCAAATTAAAAGGATATGTTCTGATAGAAATGAACAAAGGAACACAAAGAGGGTCCTCGTGGGCAAGGGGACCAGCTCCGCAGATTAGTGTTATTACAAAAGGCTCAAATTGATTTAAAAATAATTAAAAGCACAATTGTTAAAATGATAACAATGACAACAACAGTGAACTAATAGCACCAATCAAAACCAAAGCACCACAAGAAAAAACAACATTGCAGCTAGTCCCCTTGAAGACAAACTGTAGCTTCTTTACAATGAAATGATGTCGTGTTAATTACACAGAGCTGCTTCAGTTGTCAGGAGTGTGAACGTTTGTGAAGAGACAGGCCACATCAGAACACAGTGGCTGTCACAGTGATGACTGATCTCTGAGCAGCTTAGGCAGCCTTTCTAAAAGTACGGATGGAGAAACAGCTGAAACTGCATTTTTTTTTTTTAGCTGAATAACCAAACCATCTAACAAAATTTGGATGAGGTGACACGTTTTCTGTATAATAGCAGGGAAACTGACCTTTAGGTTGACATAATCACTTTACTATCTTTAGACGGGCGAAAGCTGACATGGGCTCACACAGGGGTTTTGAAGTTTGAAAGAATTTAGCAACTAAAGAGTCAGATAGCTCCCTCAGCAGACGAAAAAAACGTAGCGAAACGAGAGTGAATATTGGACTTCAACAAGTGTCCAGAAACTCCAGATGAATGATAATGTTGCTTCATAAATGCTGGATGTGTAAGCAACTGTTTGCCAAAAAGTTCACCATATCAACTTAAAAGGTGATGATATGTCAATGTTGTTTTCACAATTTGTTCCTGCTGCCCCCATGTGGCCAGAAATGTCAGCTAGTATCACACTGGAAGATAAGTTAAAATGAGCTCTAACTTAGAATAAAAACTGACTGACTATCCACTCACAGTAAAAGTTACTAGCACTGTTGAATGAGTAGTAACATGTGGCAAAAATAATCCAACAAACAGAAAGCAAGGACAGCGCTGATGGATTTTCAGATAATGACACTGAGCCGAGCTGCTAAAGGTTCCGTTTTTGAAAATGTTAAGCACAAGCTGCCACAGTCCGCAGCCACAAAATAGCACCCATTAATCTGAAAATGTCAGTCAGCACCGGCTTCACTCACATCACTAAGGCAGTGTCTCTGTGTGTGCTGTGCAGCACGAAGGTATGTTTTACTGTAGAGGTGATAACATTTAAGCAAACTAACCAAAATGGCAAGACTACGGCACGTTCGTTGCAGTGAGCCATTTATAGCTTCCACAGAGACATCGAGTCAAACGTAAAATACATTAGTCCTCCGACTGCCGACACTGTGCAAATCAAACTCTGCTCATACTTCAGCGGAATAACAGCGAGGACTCGATGAATACATTGATACGGAACGAAGCAATGGCATGAAACAATGTGGACAAGTAACAACTATTAGATAACGTAGAAACAATTCTTTCATTTTATAGCATAAGATATTCCTCTTCATGGGCAAAGATATCTGGAAAACTATTTTCTTTACAAAGTGGATTTTATAACTAAACAAATATCACCTGTTAACATACAGGTTTAAGAGAGTACTGCGACCTGCCCTGCAGCCAAAGAGAAATATAGTAGCACCACAATATTACAACAGAGGGATCATTGGAAAGAAAGATGATGGAGGGAAGTTACTCTCTCCCTCTCTCTGTCTCTCTCCAGGTTTCAGCAGCCCTCCCTCCAGTGGAATGTAAAACTCAGCTCAGGCTGTTTTGGGCCCAGCTCAGCCCAGAGAGTCCTCTGGTTTGTGCTGGATTCAGGCTGGAAAAAAAAGTCCCACCTTAACAGTAAGAGGACCAGGTGTCAGTCTGACAGGGTCCCAGTTAGATCTCACACTCCTCTGATAGAGGTAGTGTGAGGGCTGCTGTTACAAGGCTCAGGGTTTCAGGCTTACTGCGAGTGTGGACAGGACCCGGGAACTGGACACTGTGAGCTTCACAGTGTCCAGGTCAGTGTCCCTGGCAGGTCTTGCAGCACATTTGTCTGAAATATGGCCGGCTGCAAAACTTGAACCTGAGCACCAGGGGGCAGTAGGCCACAGTGTTCACATCTTTACACTCTGCAGGGAAGACAAACACGAAACAGCTTTATTAATGCGTTTAAATGATCGGTTTAGAAACAGTGCAGGATTTCAATCAAAATACCAAGAATATTGTCACTTTTATGCACCTTTATTGTTCAGACTTATACGACTTGTATGGAATGACATAAATCCTCCCGACATTTGGCCTGTGGATTAAATCATTAATTAATCAGGTTCTTGATGTTTGAGAAAAATCATATATGCCACATTCTGTGTGTGTGTGTATATATATATATATATATATGTGTAATTTTAAGATGTATTATTCTGTATGCTAATGTTCTATAAACATACACTTTGAATGGATATGTACAGGAAGTAGTGCTCCACTGGAGTTGGTTTACAAATGTTTAAACATATTAATTTGTATATAAGCATTAACATTTGTGTTTACTACAACTGTAAGCAATGACAAAAGGCTGACTAACGGATGAGTCATACGCTCATCAGCTCCACTGGCAGCTCAGACTCTTACATTTGCTACATTTTGAGTGTGGGGTTAGAAGTTTTTAAGTAAAATTTCATTTGACTTTTCTTGACAGCAACATTTCTTTGACGTTCTTTCTATGACACATGAGGAGCAATGATTTGACCTCTGACCTTCAGGGTTGTCTGTACCGATGGGCAGACTGAGGTCACATTTGCTCTTGCACTGCTGCATGGCCGCTGGCCGCTGATGTTCCAGACACTCATTGGACGGCTGGCCGTTGGGGGTCAGACACTGCACCGAACGCATCTCCTGACCCAGACCACACCTGGCAGAACACTAAGATATTGGGGGTTGTATTTGAGTACAAAACGGACATCGAGTTGTATAACAATGTCCCACTATAACCATGAATAGGACAAAGAATAAACCAAAAGCCTGTGTCACCTCTCCCCAGGGACCCGTCACCCACTGAGGGGGAGGGCATCGCTGCAGGTTACAGCGCACCCTGGAGGTGGGCCGGCCATGTTTGGAGCATTTGGACTCTGGCAGGTTGTCACCGTTCTCCCCCCTCTTACACAAGACCAAACGGTGCCTGTAGCCAGGACCACAGCTGGGCGTACACTGCAGACAGAGCGATAAAATGAAGAAAGAGGGAGAAAAAACATCAGGCGGGAGGAAAGGGAGATGGAGGCGATGGGAGGGTGCAGCGGGGGGTCATTGCGTTCATAAGCATACTAAAAGAAATCTTCCTAATTCACTCAGCAGAGGGCAGCAGCTGTATAAGAAACCAAGTCAAGAGCCTGCTTAGTTCCTGTAAGACAGCTGGACATAATTCCTCTTCTGTGTGTACCATTGCTACATTACACATGACGTCAGAGAAAAGTTGAACACTGTAGCACTTTTGACACCATTCAATTTGGTTTCAATTCATCCTGAACTGTGAGAACAAAGTCTAGTTAGGTAAGAGAAAATGGAGTTTTCAGGCCCGCTGTAGTTGGAAGTCTTAAAAGTATAGTTTACATGTTTGCCACCCTAAAACTCCAACAGATTCCTCAATTAAAAACAGCTGAAGGAATTCCCATACGACAAGTGTAACAATATGTATTTATGATCGCAACAACATGTTCATTGTGATTCATGCGTCTGCTCTGTGCCTATGTTGTGTATTTCCCGGTTAGGGTCTCTTACTTTCTTCTGGCAAATGTTTGAGTTTCTTAGGTTCAATTAGAAAAATAAACTATTGTTTCATTTGAGAGGAATTCTGCAGAAAACTCAAGTTTACTAAAAAAACTCAAACCACATGCAAAGATGGCAGACCTCCGACGTCTGCTTACCTCTGACCAGTCCAGGGCCAGCCACTCGGGGGGGCAGCTCTGGTTGCTGCAGGGCTCAGTGAGAGAAGGGCGCGGGGTTGTACAGGCCGAGTCGTCCAGGACCTTGTCCTCCGTCACAGAGATCCTCCTTTTACACAACACCTCCCGCGTCTGCAGGCCGCTGTTACAGCTGCGACTGCACTCCGACCACTCTCCCGTCCACCAGCTAGCGGCAGAGAGGGGCCTTTTCGTTAACACAGTGCGCATACACAGACAGCATTACAGTTAAAATACACACACAAGTGTATGCATGCACAAAAAAAAAGTAAATATGACTTAATTATAAAAGTATGAACGGTAAAGTATGCATCTTTTTATAGTTATTACAAAGTGTGATTGAAGAATGAAACCTGAGCAATCACTATACTGATATCATTATACCGTCATTATAATGCTACGTCATCACAGTGACTGTCAATTGAAAGCTAATGTAACTAGCATTAAATGCAAATATTCAAATGCTAAAATTCTAGTTAGAAGTTAAGAAAAAGTTTAAAGCAAAGGTTGAAAATCATCAAGAAATGCATTTGAATCCCACATTAAGAAAATCTTTTCAACAAAAGACTACTCACGATGGGGAGCACGGCTCAGTGTTGCAGGTTCTTCTCTTCTCTTTGGGTTTGTTCTTCTTGTCACAGAAGTGATTGTAGGCGACTGAGTGATCTGCCTGCTTCCTACACACCACCTGCTGTGTCTGCACACCTGACCGACACGAGATACAAAGATACAAAAGAGCGTTACAGGGGGCCGAGAGGTACATCGGCCTTCATTCTTCATGTGAGGTGTTTTGAACCCTGTTCATTGCTGAGATTAATTATGTGGGTAAGCAGTGTTTTAAATACCGCAATGTCCAAAAGGTTTTGCAATGCAATATGTTCAAGTGTTTAGAGCATTTTTTAAGTTAACTGGCAGCTAGAATAAATATGTATCCCCCAAATGAGCTACTCATTTTCAGTAATAGGCATCACAGATATACCATCAAAGGGAAGATGTCTTATATTTAATTATTTTTATCTGATTCTCATTGAATGGATCTGTAAATTGGCCTAAAAGGCACATTTTCATCTGTCTCCAGCCAGATGTTGAAATGGCATATTACAGACATAACTTAACAAATTCATGAATAACAAAATTCTACAACACATCTGTTGTATCTTGTATTTTGATTTTCAATGGCACCCTGGCTTCAGTGGAGTGCCAGAGACAGGGCTGCCCCAACATTTTACTGACTTAAAGTTGGAGTCTGTGATTCTGGAGAAAGATTGTTGATATTTGAACTAAACACCCAAACATATACCCCCCTCCCATCAGTGCTCTTTCAGAACGTCAGCATGTGCCAGAATCATTTATCAGAGGAGAAAATAAGTCCTTATCAGGTCAAGCAGCATGGATCATTAACTCACAAAGGCCGGAGAAGAAAATTGGCTTTGCGTCAACATGGACTCCACAAACACTCCAGTTCCATGACAAAAGGTTTCCAAATAGATGTTTTAGCCATTTTAATCCTTAACCTTTAAGTGACATCTGCCCCAAGTGAGTGGGTTCAATCACGCTGCAGGACCATTAATCTGTTCACACAATCAAAACAAAAAGACCTCGTCCCCACAGGGTAAACCATTGCATTGTGGGGCCAAGACTGGCTTTAGCTTGATGTTAAGGTTAGGATTAGGCATGTAGGAGTTATATTTATAGTGAGGATAATGCAACATCCTTCTACTGTGAGTGACGGCTTGCTTGTGTGTTAGTGTGTGTTTCTACCTCCAGCGCAGAGAGCTGAGCAGCGTGACCATGAGGTGTAGTGCCAGGCAAAGCCAGTGAGAGGTTCCCTGTTCCGTGGGGGGTTGAAGCGATAGTGGATCCCTGGGTTCTCCTCCCGCACCAGCACCTAAACATACATACAACCAACCACTTAACACTACATGGTGGTTTTGAACATGACATTTCGTTGAAGACCTGTTCTGGGGTTTCTTTTCATTCTTACCATGACAATCAGGGTTATGTTGGTTGGCCCCAGAGCTTCAAGAGTTTCTGGTCCATCAGTGGGCCGCCTGTAGTGGAAGGTGGTGCCGGCAACATTGAACCTGCGAGGCGTGTCAATGGTCAGCTTCCCATTGATAAAATACTGGTCTCCTTTACTCTTCAGCACTGGACACAGAGGAGAGGGAGAAAGACTTTGAAGGAAAACAGTGAAGTAAAAGTAAAAAATAAACGGACTAATGTCCCTCAGTGCATCTAAATCATCACCATACGTTTGTTAACAGAGGAGGAAACTAGATTCAAACAAATAGTGTATTAGTGCTAATTTGCAGCCATTTTTCTAACTTGTTTCAAACAAGTTTTGTTTTTATCAAGTCGGAGGTACCGTAGCTGTCAGAAATTCACAATATTTGGGATTTTTTTTGATTAACAGCTATGAAGATTTCTCTGTTTTTGACAGGCATTTTAGCAACTAAAGCACGGGTGTCTTTGATAACAATAACAATACAAGTGTTCCAGTCCAAATGCCTGGTTTGGTGCATGCTGGCTCACTGTATGGCTCATCTGAACACACGGATGAAACAATAATTAAAGTATCAGTGATACCCGTGTTCTTCCTGCATGTCAAAATGTAGAAAGGCCTACTCAATCCACGATATTAAACAGATGAACGTTGTTTTCACATGTCGTAGCAGGAAAACATCAGGCGCTACTAATAACACTAACAATGCGTCTGTATTATTCAAGTGTCCCAGTGAGTCATGACAGTGACAGGTCTTTCTCATTTCACGATTTTGTGCCACCTCAATTCCTTGCTCCTCCTGCTTGTGACTCGGAAATCGATCTCAGCGCTCCATCTTGAAGGACATCCCTATTCCTAAAATGCATCTCGAAGAGTGAGGATGGAGGAGGCTCGGTGGAGGAGCTATCCGGAGTGTTTTCGGCACTCGTAAACAAATAAAAGAGGAGTGACGCACAGCTGTAATGATCTCAAACCACGGCTGGACTCTGCAAATGTAACAGTTACTTTTATATTCATGAATTATATTTATTTAATCAGACTTTCTGCCGCTCACAGTTTGTGTAGCTCCTCATAAGGCTGTTTGAACCTGATTCACCTGATACTTGTGTTGTTATACTGAATGTAGGCTTCATCCAATTCAACTGCTATCATCCTGACATGACGTTACAGCTGCAAACAGCTGCAGATGTCATATTATTATGTCAAAAAATATGTCAATTTCAATTTGCACTAATTAACTGTATTTCATCTTCTCATATAGATAGACAGGAATTGAATTAACAGTAAATTTAAAAGTATGAACATGGTTCTACAGCGGTAGAACTAAACAAACAGCTGATCAGCTGTGCCACACCTCATATATATATTTAATTGACGTTGCACTAAAATGCCTGTTGCCTCGACTCCGCTCTACTCTTGTCTCTTCCTCGCCTCCGCCGCTGGCATCTCCCATGGGCGGGACTAGGACGCGAGGCGAGGAAAGGAATCGAGGAAGCACAAAATTGGGAAACGAGAAAGACCTGAGCCAGCATGAACAATGGCAGGATCCTGAAACAGAAGCACCTGAATGGCAGTGAGCTACCATTATGATATTAGTAACACCTGTGCTTTTCCTGCTTTAACAAGTTAAACAGTCTGGTGTAGGAAAGGCCTGTTGCATGCAGAGACAGTAAACTGATATTTAACTCTTGGTAAGAAGATTTTGAAGTAATTCAGGAAGGGTTAGGACATTCAAACAAGCATAAGAAGAAAATACAACTCCACCAGTAAATATATAGTAGCAGCTGTGTGGTTCCTTGAACTATTTCTTGAACTATTTACACAAAACATTAGCTTGAATATCATCTTACCAAGGTAGTTGAGGGAGATGTTGAGCTCTTGTATGTGGATGAACACGGATCCTTTAGGAATTCTGACCACCTCCTCATAACCTGAGACACACAAAGTCAAGCAAGGTGAAGGAGGCTTATTCACTGGGGGGGGGGGGGCGAGAGCAATGCATAAGTAGTGTTTAGCTCAGTGGGATGCCCGTGGACTAAGCAGAGGCTTCAGATTCCAGCTGCATTCCTGGGCAGCCGACCTCAGCTGCTCGGCTCTTTGCTAGTAAGCGAGAGCTGAGCCGGCTTCTCCTCTCTTTTTCTCTCTATTCCCGCCATCTGTTTTGGGCTCTTGTCCTATTTTTTTTTTAAACTCATCTCATTGCCACACTTCTTTCCTCAGCTCTGCTCTGCTGTCCAGCCAATGCAGCCCTGTAAACAACTTCAGCCTCACTAGAGAAAGAAGGCATATAAAAAACGAAGGAATTAAATAATTCCTTTTAAAGCTTTGACCACAAGAGGAAAGGAGAGGTTTTGGCTCGTGACCTCTCCGTGGAGCTTTACGAGGCTGGACTGACCCTGCTCTGGGTTTCTAGATGGAGGCGTCGAACATTATTAGACAGAGCTTGAGGTATTTGGCCTCGGAGACAAACACAGAGAGAGCAAATTTGCGAGAAAAGTGTGTTCGTCTGGTAATAATCAGGAACCTGTTTGGTGAACAAAGAGCAAAGGAGCTGTAAACCTTCAGCAACCCCTCACTGCCTATACCAGAGTCTATAGGACATTAATGCATCTAAGCTGCGAGCACAGAGCAACAATTAAGTAATGCATCATCTTTAAGAAACCCAAACTTTCACTTTTCTGGGATGTAAGGAACTCCATTTGTCATTCATGCCTTTTGTATTTCAGTTTTACAGTGTCGGCTTTATGGTTTGCCATAATCCAAGAGCATATTTAAATCCCTTGAGCAGAGAGGAGAAGCACTGACTAAAGGTTTTAGGAGCTCAGAGAAATCAACAGCTTGTTATAGAAATGACTAAGGGATTCTGCCAGTGATAAATCTTTCTGTGTCCGGAATGAGCCTCTAGTCCCAGCTCCGAGTTCATCTTTGGGATGAGCTAGAACACCGACTCAAGCGTAGTTTATGGTCGCCGTAGTGAAGCTGCGTGCACCAAATAAATGACTTGATCCGTCGTGCGCGGCGCTTGGTCGTGCACCTTTGAATTTGTGACGCATGTGATCAGAGCTTTTCAGACGTGACTTTCACAAATAGTTCATATAAGAAGTATTACATGTCTATTCACTTTTAAATGCTTCAGAATTAGGAGGTCTTCAAAATCTTCATTTGAGTAAATATTCTGCCAGCCAAATCACATTTTTTATAGGATGTCTAACCTTTGTTTCTTTATAATCCATGTAATTCTTCACTTGTTTCTTTACAGGGCTTGAATGAAGGAAATAAAGTAGTCCATGAATATGAGATATGAGTTGACAGTTATTTTTATTCCTCCTCGGCATTGTGGAGGTTGGTTTATGGCGTTTTGTTTTGCCAATTACTTTCGTCGTATTTTTGCGTCTTCAAAGTACATTTTGTTGGAAGGAATAAGGAACAGCGCATAGAGCATAAAATGCCTTCGTGCATGCAGGGTGCTTACGCGGCATCTGCGGAGGCTCGAGCTACAGTGCCAAGCGCGAGTATAAACAAAGCTTTAGAGCGAGGCCTTATCGGCCAACATCAGTGCCCGACCTCTAACGCTCTTGGATGCTCTCTTAACAAAACCAGATATATGTATACTGTATGTTGTGGTGGTGGAGATGGTGACCAACTACTGCAACTACTCTTGCAATCCCCCAACTTTAAGGAAGAGCAACACTAAATCACTGGAGCACCTCTTTAAAAATAGCACAGAGCGTGGATACTATCCCCGGATCACAAAACGCACAACCAAACAACCTACACTTCGACTTCAGCTTTACTGACAGACTTTTTAGGCCAACGATAATGTTAGATATTTTGAGGGTAGTTGAGACCTCGGCTGGGGTTGACAGGCTGGCCTGGTCACTGTGGTGAAGAGCATAGCTGCCTCCTCAGGGTGCGTCCCTTCTGAGGAATCCTGGAAGGGGGCGACTGGTGTTGACAGTTGGGTGAGAAACTCTGAAGTTGGTGTTGCAGGGAGAAATGTTGCCCAGAATAGAATAGCAGCTGGACCTCAAGCCACACTGGTCGGACCTCACCTAAATCTGTCTGCCACATGTGACTGGGTCGCTGGTGGATAAATATATGTATGTATGTACAGCATATGCTATGTATATATATTATTTGTGCTAAGATTTTTTTTTTATCGAGTTTTTTTTTTTTTTTCTTAAGAGATCATGGGTTGGCTCAGAGATGGTTGATGTGATATTGAGTTGACTTCACTCACTGCATTTGTTCAATTATATATTGTTTAACACACTAGTGTTATCTTTATCTAAATATTGGCATTTGACACTGTTGATCAAAACATCTTATTTCTTGAATATTTGTCTGTTAAACTTGGCATCATAACTTACTCGTCTACAAAACTTGCGGTGTACCTCAAGGGTTGATTCTGGGCCCTATTCTTTTCTCTACCTATACGATTCCCTTGGTCATGTAGACAAAATATGTTGTTTAATTTATCTGCAGATTATACAAAATTACATCTTCCTGTCAACCCTGTACAAATCCTACATGTATGGAACCTGCAAGGCTTTCCAAAAAGACTTAAAATAATTAATTGACATTGTAATAAAACATAATAAAAAATGTGTCCCTCTTGTCATGAAGAAACAGCTTAAAGTAGACACAATGATGGATAAGACTGGCGACCGTATCTGTTTTGCCAACTTTAAATATTGGCTGCGTCAGCTCTCAACTGTTGAATATACACATCAGTGATCTCTAAGCACCTCTCCTGCAGCTTTGTGGAGTTTTGTTGGCTTTATGAAATAAATAACTGTAACAGTATGCTGCTGTGGACAGAGTTTGCATGAGAACAGACAATTATGCGATACATTTTGAATGTCTGGGGGTATCATAACTCACATTGCAAGGGAGCTTTCCAAGATGCATTCACAGTCCAAAGCATCAGAATCCAAATGTTGCATGTGCACATTTTTTGGACAGCAGTGCATTTATCTTGCATAACTTCTCATGGTAAATGCCTCACGTTAACCTAATCTGGTTCTCAGAAGAGCAGAGAATTTTCCAAATACACTTTAAAACACTCTTTTCCCCCCCGCTAATGAAATCAGGAAAGACTAACTCTTTATCTCCTTGTGCAGACACCTGTGGCAGCAACTCCCAAAAGGAAATGAATGAGATGACGAGTGCTTGAGTGTTTTAGTTCTGTACCTCCTTCAGGCAGCGAGTCGTTGAAGAGTCCCTCCGCAGACACGCAGCTGCTCCCGTCACCCCCACAGATCCGGCAGCGGTCCTCGCGAACTTCCGAGCCGAGGACTCGATCGCAGCCTACGTGCTGCAAGAAGGGAGAAACAAGTGAGCTGCAGGGTCACTCTGGGTCAAGGGGCACCGTCAGTAAGTCGAGAAGTGTCAGAGGCCGGGCTGAGGGATTACCTCTAATGTCTTCCAGACCACTTTTTCCAAAACACAGAAATATCAGATGGTAAGTCCAGATGTGTTTTCTGATCCTGTGCAGACATAATGCTCTTAGGTTGCTAAACTCATAGCTGTCGACATAAATAAGTTTCATAATGAGCGAAGCAGGTGGTTTTACTCAAACTCTTTAACAGTGAACCAAACCTAAACAAAAGTGTTGGGAATGAATGGCAACTGCTCTCACACTCGTATATTCATATGGCAGTTGCTTATTGTAGGGAGGGATAATGAAGCCTAAGTTTATTATTACTTTTACACTGATTACAGTTCAAAACTAAATCCAGAGTTGAAACTGTGATTCACATCATGGATATCTGATGGCTAAATAATGTGGGTGAGTTATTAAAGGTTAAAATGATTCAGGTCCAGATGAGTAGGAGGCGTCTTGTTTCTATATTCAGAAAGTGTTTCCCACAGCTCATTGGGACCAATAGCTCAATACAGAATATATATGAAAAGGTTTTCAGCACTAAAATATCAAGTGAAAGATGACACATGGCAACCATAACAATAGACTTTCACACCACAATTAATCATCAGTTAATGAGTTAGCGAATGAATAATGGAATGATGTTTGTTTGTGTTTGTCAAACTTAAACTTGAACTTGAAAATCAATACAAGCTGCAAATAAACTTTTAAAATGTAAGTGTGTGTTTGGCTTAGCATTTGCCTCATAATCAACATCTACCTGCCACTACGTTATCATTTCTCTTCTGAGCACATTTATCTCACCTCTGAGCGGCACTCATGAACTCTACTTCACTCGCAGAGCGCATCTAGAGGTTTGGTGCCAGGTGCAGTTTAGGAGCTGACTGCACCTGAAAACTGCGGCACATATATTTGCACAACGCCATTTCCCTGATAAATCTGAAGAAAAAAGAGATTCGGTAAAAAGGGGCTCTGAGAGAACATTCGTCTGCTGCGGCATGTTGTGTTCAACTAGAACATGTGTTCCCAGGTCCTTTTTCTATCTGCAACACAACCTCCTCTCATTCTGTTTCCCCCCTCTCCTCATTGTTAGACACCAATCTTAGAACTGAAAGCAGCATGCGGCAGCAAACAAGCTTAAGAGATTTCTCCACAGCATGTTTGAAGTTTTATGTGTGCATAAAGCATACGAGAGGAGAGAGGATAGAACAGAAGGAGAGGAACTGACTGGGTTGCAGACAGTAAAATTCAAAAGAAAAAGGAAGTGAAAGAGAAGAAAAGGAGGGAAGTGGAGAAAAAAATGGAGAGGAATGGTTGTAGAGTCAGAAGGGGAAAGAGAAAAGGAGAGAGAGATGTTAAGGCCGCAGTGAATGAAAGCCTGCCTGCAGTGCAGACGGACTAACAGCTGAGCTGGAGGGTCACCGAGTTCCTCCGGAGCAGAACAGAGCAGAGCAGAGGGAAAAACAGAGTGGAACAGGAGGAGAGAACAATGAGGAGATGTTGATAAACACAATTCTTTTTGGACGGGTTCAGCCTCCCTCAGTCTGCCTAACCTCTGAGAAACTTGAAATGAAGCGAGATCATGGGGGGGGGGGGGGGGAGGGGCAGTAGATGAGGAGCTGAAAAATAAAATCTTTTGGCACCCAGCAGGCAACCACAAAACAACAAGCTGGAGGTCCTGAAGTTTTTTTTTTTTTGTCTGTCCTCACATCGTTTTCTCCCCGCTCATAGCTTTGACTTACTTTCTTGAGACGAGCTACATCCAAAATAAACAACAAGTGGAACTAACAACAGATTGGGAATCAACAGCATCCACGTAAGCTGCGCGCTATTACCATTAGGTTTTTTTTATTTTGGTCTACGTCCTTTAACAAATGGGTCATGTTGGTGTCACATTGGGTTCCAGGAACCCGTTGGAGCTCCATGTGGTCCCCACGTCAGAATGAGCAGCAGTTAGATGTTTTGTTTTCATTAACAGCGGAGATTAAGAGAGAGTAGCGCTAATGGAAATCTAAGATCGCTGCCAAAGTTAAGACAATTTCTCAGTTAAGCAGCTGATTGTGATGATCGTCAGCAGTCAGTGTGTAAACTAGACACTGGCTGCTGTCCAGAGTCTAAAGAGAGAGTATAAACAATATTATCTTAGTCTTGTGTTGATTCCCTTATTGTGCTGCTTCAGCTTAAACGGTCTGCTCACATGCAGATGTCTAATGACTCTAATGAATTTCAATCAAACGCTTGCATGGGTGCTTAAAACACAGACAGAAAGGTCTTATCTCACCTTACACTCTCCGTTAACACACACATCCAGAGTGTCGTCTCGGCAAAGCGTGCCGTCCACCACAGCCGGAGCACGCTCCGTGTAGAAGTTGTATCCTTCTGCCAGGCAGTTGAGAGAACAGGGCTTTACCCCACCTGCACACGCACACACACACACACACACACACACACACACACACACACACAAAATAAAGATTAGGTGATATGATCAAAACACTACATGGACCTTTTGCCACGGTCAAGATTGAACTTCAACCTTTACTGTAAGTCAATGCAGAAGATAATTCCTTCAAGAAAAAAAAGGAACATTTCAACAGCTCTATTTAAATGATGACTTTGCCTGCTGCGATCATCCAGACAGCTACTAAACTGAGCTCGAGGGGATATTGTTTTGTCAATGCTAAAACATCAGCATATGAGCTCCGTTTCCCCCATGCCCCTCAAATAAGATCTTTACCCGGTGAATGTCATGGAAAAAAGGATTGGCGCTTTTGAGAAGTCTCTCCAAGAACTGTAATTGCATTAGCCTGCTAGCTTGTGGCCAGCAATTTGCAGTCTAAGCTAATACAAATATTCCAAACCGTGCGGAATGTAATGTAATAGTCACTGAAACAGAAGTCAAACAAACCTCCTGCAGGTCAACTGCCCAAAAACTGAATTTCTGCACCAAGTCGCAGGTTCACTAGCAGCTCTGCAAGTGATGTTGGGTGTTAAATGTGTGTTTTTACGCCTTTTTTTACAACTGATTCGCGAATCAAGGACCACTAATGTGACAGTAAAGAGCATGTAGTCAAATCTTTATCAGGATATGTTTCAACACGAAGACATTTATCAACACACAATTGTTCCCAAAACATATACTTTTTGTTATCTCGTGAATAATTTTGCAACACTCCAAAACAATATTTTGAGATGACAAACTCAAGGATGAAATCAACATGCAGTTTGAACTATAGCTGAATTACTTCTTTTCTTTGTCACAAGCGCATATGCTTTCAGTATTTAGTGGCTCCACTGGTGTTATGCAAGTAGTGATGTATGATATCTGTAAATGCACTGTGTCTAAGTGAATTCATAAATATACACACACACACACACACACACACACACACCTGTGAAGAGACCTGTGATGTGCAAATGACTATTTTCACACACACACACACAGCTCTCCATCTTCTGACTCGTGTTTGCCTCCTGTCTTTAGTCTGAAACGTGTCCCTGAAGGTAGCCTAAGTCAGGAGGAAACACACACGCTAGAGGTGTTCTCCAGCCAAGTGGTATACAGTATATCCTTAAATCATCTGTGTTGCTCGCCAACAGCTCCACTATTTGAGTGGCTGTTGACATCAGTCTGGGCTGTGTTTGTTTGTGCTGGCAGCGCTATAGCAGGTACAGTGTGTACTGGGAAGGAGAGAAAGGGAGAGAGTATGTACTGGCACAGCCTGCAGACTATAAAGTGGTCAGACCACGGAAAACTACAATTCCCATGGTGCATAGCTTTGGCAGGCCAACCATAGCTTGCAGCAGGGTGTGGGTGTCTCATAGGTTGCAGGGTGTGTTGTATGGAGTGTGAGGGTTGAATGTGAATGCTGTTGAGACTGAGAAAAGCAATGTGGAGCAGCTTGTTTGTCAAAGAAAAGCTGACAACAGACCTTATTAATGAACTGTCCTCAGGTGCCTGAGCTGAGAGAGAGAGGCTGCCTCTGTTCTCAGCGACAGGAGATAGAGGGAGAGAGAGAGAGAGAGAGAGAAAGAGACAGAGGAAGAGAGAGAGAGATTGCATAATGGTCAACTAGGTAAAGTGAGAGACAGAGAGAAAACAGCAGTGATGACAAAGAAAAACAGCAGGAAGAAGATAAAAAAAGAAACAGTTATGACGGTAAAAGTGAAAGGAAGAAAGCTGAAAGAATTTGAGAAGAGTGAGAGGGCTCCAGAGGACATAGAAGGGGCTGGGTGGTGTGATCTGGCCTTAACGCAGGGCAGAGTCTCTGGCACCGTTCCTATTTTAACAGCTGCAAGGGATTTCCATTGTAAAATCAGCTGACTTGATGAAAGGAGCACTTGTTGCCTGAAGTTGGAATTGGCTGACTGGCCATCTCTGTAAGCCATTATGTTATTGGAGGGCTAGATTAAAGGCAGTTATGTCGTTGAAACTATTTATCTTTCACGTCCAGCGTAGTGCTCATCAGGAGCGAGGAATTCTCGCAAGGCATTGTGGGAATGCATGGCTCTCTGCACCCAGCATCTGCAGGCCAGACAGGACGGAGTCTGCAGCTTCGATTCACCCCCTCCTCTCTCTCTCTCCCTCTCTCCACACACACACACACACACACACAAGCACTACTCTTCCTCTCCTGACTTCTGTTTGTCTCCGGTCATCAACTCTTGGCTCAAATCTTCCTGTTCATCTTCATCTGTTCACCTTTAATACTCTCAACTTTACTTCGAAATATACTTTCAGCTCTGTCTTTTCCTTCAAGAAAATTCTGGCCAACAAGTGAAACAGCAGTGATATGTTAAATGATCAGTGTCACAAAAGACTTACATTTCACATTTCTTTAACTTGCTGTGTGCTTTATCTGTTTGTGAACTTGCTGGTGTACTGATGAAATTATCTTTTACTTAGTAATTTGAGGTCGTAGCAGGTGTCCTGGCGGCCTGCTGACTATTTAATAGCAGTGTTGCAGGTTTGAGTGTGACTGGGGACTTATGTTTCATGTCATCCCTCCTCTCTCTCCCATCATTACTGTCACCACTTGATGTATTATTGCTATCACAAAGAGGCAGAAAAAAAGTAGTTTTTACAACGATGTCAAAATATTCCATTCAGTGAATGTCCTGCATTTGACTTAAGGTTTATTACTGTATAAGAAGTAATAGTAATGTGTACATGATTACCAAAAGTGAAACACAACATGCAAAATATCCCTTTTGATAGTGCATTATCATCATGACTGGGTTATTATTAGTTATGCATTTAAATGTACGTCTGAGGGACAAATCTACTATGTAGCATTGGGTTTAGCTTTTTGCTGAAAACATCTGTCTGCTGCTAGAAAAGATGTTCAACTGAAACTGTAATGTTGCTGGATGTGAAACGAAAACAATGAGCTGAAAGACGCTTAAACACCCCATACAGCTGAGGGGGACGTTAAGGCAAAGAAGAAATCTGTAGCTAGTCACACACACACACACACACACACCGGTTACTCACTCACCCCCTCTGTATGGCTTCCAGGTGTAAAACTTTCCCCGGAAAGGAACGCTGTCGAAATCAGAGCATTGAATCACCCGGAAATCCCTCGAGCCTGCAGGGCACTCCTGCAACACACACAGTTATCCACATGTGAAAATATAAAAACATGCAAGCAGAGTCCCACGCAATGACCAAACACAAAACTAATGAAATCAAATAATATCAATGGTTTTACTGCATGTTGACGAACAGAAATACTCACATCAATATTGCAGGACCTGAAGCGCTTTCTCTCCCCCAGACAATACTTTCCACCAATAGTTGGCCTAGAATCAAACAAGGATTTAGGCCAGTCAGTCACATCTGACAACAATTTGAAATATCAAACCTCCATCATATCGCCACACTACACTGGCTCCTGATCTCTGCTTTGTCTGCCTTCATGTGTGTTTCCAATCGCACTGTCTGTCTCTTTTATCGTTCTATCAGAGACCATAACAACAGCACCTCTCCATAAAAAAATAAAAATAAAAAACTGAGAAGAAGCCAGAGTCAGCCACCGTCAAATGGCTGCCTCTGCTAAACTTTTGCTTAACAGATTGGAGCCAAACGAAATGTGCAAACAATGCTCAAGAGAAGATACAAAAGAACACCGTTGGCCTCAGATTTGGGTCAAATCATTCTCAGTTTAATCAACTCAAGATGAGGGATCTGGTGACTGTGATTCAAAAGGGAGTCTGCTAGTTGTTTGGTGATGATTCAGACAGAATTATTTCATACACAATAGAAACAGTGGCACTGCTGCCTGGAAATAAATCTCAGCCCTTGTGCTCTCTGAGGTGGCAGGTTCTCACAGTTTCATCAGAAAGGTAAAACTGATTTTCTCAACTGTACCTCTTTGTTGGGAACTGCTTGGGATCACTCTTGTTTATGTAACGTAGAGCCTATTTCTATTTCTAGATAGAAATAGGCTAGATCCTACCACAAGGACAGATCCTTGTGGTCCCATAAAGGACGTTTCCTTTCTAAACCGTGGTGGAAAGACACTTTGTGTAAGTTGCATGTACAGCTGAACTTTACTATAATTTTTCGGCAGAATGTGGAGTCGCTTCATGAATGCATCAGCCAGCATGGACAGAAGGAACAATGAGAGCGACCAATAACTCCTTCTATGAACATAAGGGCGTGTGAGTATTGTATGAAGATTGATTAGAAAAGAAATCATTACCTATCCTGTGAAGTATTATATTTGGCACAACGCTGCAACTACAATGTATTCTAGGTAGCTAACTAGAATGAAATTAGCTAGCACAAGAGCGATGCCTTTAAGACTGGTCTCAGTTGACCCATACCTGGGGCTGTCACAGTGTCTGATAGACGAGGAGACTCCCCCTCCACAGGTCCTGCTGCACTCCTCCCAGGGTGACCACAGACCCCAGCCCCCGTCCACGCCCTCGGGACGTGTCCCGTACGCCACACACACCCTCTTGTAGCACCACTGCAGCACAAAAACACATATTTTATACACATGTTCAGATAGAACATGTGCAGAACAGTGACTGTATTACTATTTAACTGAGTAAGCTCATTCTGCCATAACTGCCATAAATAATGTAAGAAAAAGGTTCATTTTAATATTTACCCCTTTCTCTATGGTGTTGGTCTGACAGATGGTTCCCTCTGCAGCGGGAATGCTGCTGGTGATGCAACGATTGCTCTTGCTCATGCACCAAAGTTCACTGCAGACTTCCTGTGTGTGTGTGTGTGTGTGTGTGTGTGTGTGTGTGTGTGTGTGTGTGTGTGGCAGGAGAATAAAAACATAGAAGAGAAACAACCTGTCAGTGTTGACAAGCTCATTATAAATACACAAGAGCAGACACACTCTTGTTCACCTTCCTTTTTGCTACAGCGATGCCTATAATACACAGGATTATGTTTTATTATGTTCATATGCTCCGACCACATGGTGTCTATGTAATGAGTCTATAAAGCTGTATGCTGTTCCAGATGTCCATTCGCTCTGAACCTGGCCCAATAAAAGTTGACCACACAATAAAGTGGATGCTATTCAGCCAAGTTATTCAAGATGTCTCACGTCATCAAGGAGGCCGACCTACAGAAGAGAGCTGGAGGAATAAAATCAGGAGCGAGCCGTGAGGTAAATAACTATAATTGTGTTTGAGTCAGCTAACAGAAAATGATTAAGTCAGCCTGGTTCCATCATGAAAAGGAAATTAAAAAGCTGGAGGTCCAAAAGTGAACTGTGTTTATTATTTCTGTGTTCTCTACGACATCAAAGAGGCTTCATCAATTCTGCTTTATGGCACACTTGACAAAGCCTCTTGGACAAGTGATGAAGTTTCTTAAAACATTTGCTCATATACACTGATCGAGGACTTGAAGATGTTCTATGACCTGGATGGATGAAAATCTCAATTGACAAAAAAACAACAACATTATTTCTATTGTATATGATCCATTTAGAACTACCTGTGTGATTGTTTAAAATAAAATGCAAAAGTAAGAACTGCGACTGCTGGCGGTTGAGACAGTCTCACACTTAAAACTGGGGTCAGTCTTCTCCAGAACACAACTTGTTTAAAGGACTTGGGAGAAAGAGAAAACAACCAGACATTTGGGTTAGATGATATAATGATATGATAATATAACGCAAGACAATGTCATTTTGTCAACCATGAGAGATTTTGCAATGCTGTTTGTTGGTGTATCTTGGTATCCCCCTGTGTATTAGGTCATTGTGAATCTATGGATGGCAATACCACTCTGTTGTTTGGTTGGTCGGCCACCACTTTGTTCCAGACTGAAATATCTCGATAAACTAATGACATTCTTCTTTGCGAATATATACCTGCTGAACTTCAAAATGTTGTCATTTTGAGCATGTTTGTTTGATGAAGTTAGCATTTAGCTGAAAGTAGGAAGTGGGAAAATATAGACAGAGCACTCACCGCATATTTACATTGTCGAGATCTGACGCCGTACTGGAAGCGGCATTGTTCGTCTGCATCGTAGGCCTGACCCGGTGCTGTGGTTGGGTACACAAACTCCTGCTTGGGGGGGACGTTGTTCAGACAGGAGCCCATACCTGAGCTAAAGCACACCAAACAGAAGAGAGGAAGGAGTGAGATGAAAATAACTGGCGATGGTTCATATCTAAACACTGAACAGGCTACAGATAATTAGAAGCGGATTTGCCTACTGTCAAGATCCATCTGTTACTTCATCTGTTTCTCTGACCATCAAAAATGTTACTCTGACATCCAAGTGAATTTTTCTTTCTCAAACCTCTAATTACCAAATGATTTGTGGTGTTGCAGATATCTAATAGGCTGACTCACTCCAGGAAGCTTGTGATGTAATCCCTGCTACACGCGGACCAGATGAATGGGTTTGTCTTCATGGTGATGTGGTCAGCCATCAGCTTGGCAGTCTCCTGGCTGCGGGGCCCGCAGGCATTCCCCATACCGTCATGGTTCATCCCAAACCTAAAGCCCATGATGATACAGTGACAACACTTTGAGGCCTCGTGGACCGGTAATAGTTTCGGCAGCAGGGACAAGCACAGTGGGGGAAAAAGATCACTGCGGATAATTGAGTGGGATCTCAAGAACAGACATGTTGTGGCAGTTTGATTGTGATAAGTCGGGTCCCAGTCAGAGTCCTGACAAAATAAATCAAACTATCATCAAACCACATGAAGGGTACCTGAATCATATGTATGATTATTAACATTTAAGTGGCAGATTACCACAATGTGAAAAAGTATAGTCCACAACTATAACAAATGTTCAACTTCAGCTATCAAAAATCTATGATCACGTTTCATAATTATCATCATAGGACAGCGATTATCTCTCGATTAAAGCAACGTAACTTATTCAAAATGCTAATTCCCCACCTATCATGATAGTTTACCCAAGTGTATAAAGTTACACAGTGTTAGTGGTTCCATTTGGTGCTTTTTCATTCATGAGAGACAGCGATAACTCACAGTCGCTGTGTTTGAGACTGAAATATAAATGTTCTGAGAGTTTTTCCATCCCTCAGCTGAGTCATGATGTCTAGATCAGTCTTGTCTTTTCCTGTGGTTACCCTCTACCACAAAGAGGCCTGCATTTAATCTAATGCTGCACAGTGATGTCAAAACAATTTATCTAACAATTAAAAACAAATGCTAATTGTGTTGAGGCCGAGGAAACAGATTGTATATATTAGCACACTACTGTATGTCCAGTCATGTTGGCTAGTAAGCCTTGTGGTCTGAGTACTCAAAAGCTAACTGTGTTAATCATTAGGGAGGCAGAACCCCGAATGATCCACCATCTGCCTTAATACTTCTCTGGGCTGTGTGCAGACATAATGCAATGGGACACTCAATTAACGCATACAGGCAGAATAAATGGCAAATCATCTAGAGGCGACCCAGATATACACAACATCTCCAGGTGCTTCACCAACCACACATGTAACGAATTCCACATATAAATAGTGTGACTCAAAGAAAATATACGGCTACTAACACATTCTCAATGGATCGAAATGACTGATGGTGTTAGAGATTACGTATATTCTCTCTGGAGATCTGGAGGTGTAATCTGAGGAGGGAGAAGGATCATCTCAGACCAGAACACAAGAAAAGACACATGAGACACCTCAAGGATTTCTTCAGGGACATTTTGTGTTTCACCATCAGCTTAAAGACAACGACCATATATCTGGTAGGGATTCAGTGTTTTCTCTAGGGGGCTCTGACAGCAGGACACAGGATTAACAACTCCTCCTCAACAGTCTCAGTTGGGTCATTTCTTAATGTGCATGATCTCGTACATGAACATTGTGGAACCATTGTGGAAATGCATTAAATCAAGAGAGGTTACTCATTTTTTTGTCTGACATGTTATCCATTTTGTATACCGTTTAACAGGATTAATACCCCGTTCAGACATCAGACACGTGAATGTAAAAGCGAAAATGTGTCCAACCTGCGTTGGACCCATTTATTTATATATCTCTTTTTTTTTGGCAGAGTTGGTCCGGGGTGGATAAATTCATTCATGTGGAAATCTATTCAATATTTGTCACGCTAGTTTACTCTGCACTAAAGTCAACCAACTGTCCAACTGAACGACCGGCCGACCCCAAAGTCCCACCGACAGCATGGCTGACAAATTAAAAATGCCCGAGGATGAGGTACTGTATGTACCTTTTCTGCTGTCTGATACTTGTCCATCAATCCTGCAGTGACACTGCATTGACGATAAACGTGTTACTCTCTGCCTGGAAAAAATAAAGTTACAAACTAACTGGACTTTGATTTCACTCAACAGGCATTTGTTGAGACTGTCCATTAAAAGATATATGTGACACTAAATCACAGAAAAAAGATAAGCCTGAAAACTTTTTCAGAAAATGGCAGGTTTACTGCGTGTGTGTGTTTCACTCACGTGTGTCCTATCTCGTGGGCGATAGTGAAGGCTGTTCCCAGGCCGATGTCCTCATTGATGCTGCAGCTCCTCTCTGGCTCACACATCCCTCCTACAGGGGCCAGACCTGTCTCACACACACACACACACGCATATATATAAGACCATATCTTCTCTAACTGTAAAAGCATCAGTACTATAGGAAATATACAGACCTTCCAATAAGTCATGCTTGATTTGTATCATTATCAGCTGAAGACCTATTTGATTTCAGATCTTGAACCATTTTGGTCGGGCCTCACTTTTGGCTTAACCTTCACATTTTGAAGGTTCAGACTTGGTTCGAGGGTTACACTAAGAATATGTATGGGTTGAGGTTAGCCAAGTAGTCGTGATGGATATGTTTAGGCTTAGGGGTGAGGCTTTGCTTTATGTCAGCAGTAAGTGCAGTGTATGTAAAGTGCAAATATGTGTGTGTGTGTGTGTGTGTGTGTGTGTGTGTGTGTGTACCTAGGGTTTCACAGGGCTTGTTCTTTTGGATGCAGATGTCGTATCTGCAGACGGGAAGGAAAATCAACCAGGCTGTTAAAATAATAATCATATGCTCACACACAAACAGAAGCAGCACCACCAATGGATGTAATTGCAGTTACATATGCAAACTCGTACAAACACGCTTGACATGGACAAGCAGTACATTCACAGATGGTGACAGACACACTCACACAGACGCTGTGGTCAGACAGTGGACAGCAGTGATAGCAGACAGATATAGATTTAAAAGAACAATAGCAGGAAATCATGGACGCTCACTGGGGAGTCATCTGTCTGGACAGTTTCCATCCTCTACTTGATAAATCCTGTCGTAAAAACCCAAGTGTTCTCACAAAGCCACCACCAAAACCACATGACATTCATCTATCTGTACTCTTACGTAAGCATATTTCACATTCTGTTGGGAAGAAAAGGAAGGTATTAGTTGCGGCTCTGCCCAGCCCCATCACACTCAGATGACTCTGACCAAACCATGGCTGTGTTGTATGCTGTTGCACATTCTTCAGTCAATAGCATCAGTTTTGTATCTGCTTAATATGCATCTACCACTGTTGTCTCTGTTTTCCACCAGCAGTATCGGTAACAGAGAGCGTAGTTAGAAAAATTACGACAAAATTGAGAGAAAGCAGCGCTTTTAATTTCTACCCTCTTTCTTGTCCTCTCCATTTTCTCTGGGCTGTTTCTGATTCTTCAAAAAAAAAAAAAAAAAACATGAATTGTTTCTCACTGCCTCCTCATATCTTTCGTTTTCTTTTTCTCTCCAGATGCTGAGCTGGGCAGAGCTGCCTCAGCTATCGTCACATCAGACCGGACAAGATACAGCCCAACTCTCTCGGACTTGGCTGAATGAAAACCTATGAGGATAGAGGCTGGGAATGTAAGAATTCAGCAAAGAGGAAACACTGTTTAACCCTTTCATGAACAGGGAAACAGACTAAACATATTTATATTTACAAGAAGTTGCAGTAGGAGGGTTAGGGTGGGCATATATATAAACACAGCACAGCTACTTGCCTTGCACCGACACTTTGTGATAAAAACCTTTTTGTTTTGGTCACACAAACGATGTCTTCATTCTAAATTACCTTTATTTATATATGAAGAAAGCTTCAGAACAGAGTTACAGTCTTTATGTCTTCCTCCTGTGAGAAAGGTTTGCCTGTTTGTATTTCTGACCTGGTGATAAGCACAGCAGTGTCATGGTGAGCGATCCCGTTGTCTGGTATGGCGTTACCGTAGCTGCTCCGGTGCTGGATGTTCTTCTGCCACTTACAGAAGCTGTCTAAAGACTTCCCTGCATGGTGGTTGATCTCTAGTGTTGGCTGGAAGACAGACAAGAGAGGAAATACAGAGTCAAAAGCAAATTAGGAATATTAATGTATTTAAATCTTAAAACACAACAGAAATGGAGGATACAACTCCAGCAACTTCATATTGTTGTAAACATAATTAATTCAATGATATCAAGTTATTCCAGTGTGAACAAGCGGACATTACAACAATCAACAATTTAGGCCCAACAATGCTATATGACCTAGCCACAATCTTCCTATATTGTGGTGTTTCCGTCTTACATCTGGGTAAGACACTGAACCGCTAATTGGTCCTGAGGCTGTCCCATCACGTATGAATGGGTGTGAATGCCAATTAGACTCCTTATATGCAGGTGGCACCCTGCATGGTAGCCTCTGCCATCAGTGTATTAATGGCTGAATGCTGACATGTAGTGTAAAGCGATTAGAGTGGTCAGAAGACGCTATACAAATGTAAGTCTATTCACCATTTAACACTTAATTGAAAATGAGCAAATTCAGAGATACATGGTTTTCACTTGAGAGAAACTTCATAAGACACTGTATGTCATGCATGGTGAGAAGGCATTTCTAAAATTTGGATTCCAGACTTAAAAAGCTTAAGAAACCTCAGGCAGGATTAGAGTGAAGGCGCTTTCTAGTATTATAAGAGTGCATAGAGGAGAAGGAGAGGAGGGAGTTCTCTGCTGACCACAGCTGGCGAGAACTCGTAACCAAGGAATGTATGTGGTGACATAACTAGTAATTGTCTCATCCCACAGTCCCTCATTTCTGGGCCCACTGCTGGCCTGATTTTAGTTTCCAGAGGCAGCTTGCCGTTTTCAGACCTGGAAACCAGCAGCAGAAACCGCTCGCCGAGCCTACTCTCGATCCTGTCCCGACCTCAACGTCAATGGTCCATGGAGAATGAAAAACAACAGTAACACTGCCCGCCGCTAATGATCCTAACATTTACTTCTTTACCCTGTCAGACGACGAACACATCCGAGCTGTAAGTCATGGGGCTAATTTTGAGGCAGTATGAATCATAAATGTTCCCTAATAAGACAGCTATGGAGGAAACCCCAAAGCCACACTGTAATACCCCTTTCATTAGTATGATTCATCGGTCAGATCGCTGGAAGCACAAACATTGCGACGGAACCGGCCGCACCGTCTCACCACATGCTGTTCATGGCGAGCTAATAAGGTCAGTTATTAGGTAGCCAGATGGCCCAGTCATCTCCGGTGCTATGCTGGTAAGGTCGTGCACTTTTTATGAGCTGAACCCCTGTCTTGTGGTCAGGTGTGGGTTCTAATTCTGCACTCTGTCTAACCTCCGCTCACTCACTTATAGCATGAGTCTACAGAAATGCCGACGCCTCTGTGAGGCCGTGCACCGCAATGCTTTGAGCGAAATACTAACTTGAGCATGCCAACATGCTTACAATTACTAACATGCAATTAGTTTTGCAGGTATTTAGTCGTAAATCACAGTATTGGACACATTAAGGTTTTGTTGTTCCAATTCATCCTCTGGAGATCATGAATATCCATACCAAGTCAACCTCATGGTGGCGCTAGAGGAATAGTCAGGGAATCATTCAAGTCAACAGGGTTCATAGTCTGGTGACCGGGACTGTTCGTACAAACTTCTATGGCAATCCGAGTGACTGACTGATGTTGCAATACCACAGCGTGGCTGGAAAATACTGGCAAAATGACACCAAGACTTTGAGGAATCTGGTGAATTTGGATCCTGATTTTTGCATCAGCGTCTAAATCTAACTTTAAGTTTTTCTACACACTGGATGTGCGTCATGGCAATGATCAGAGAGGTCATTGTTCACCAGAGCACGACGCTGCTCTGTCGGACAGGTACAAAACCCTCCACATATCCGGACTTTTCCGCCTTTCCTCACTCATCTCCCTCTTCCTCGCAGCCCCTTGTCTCTTTCATTACAGCCACAATTTACAAGACCCACTTACACACCCAAGGGTCCACTGGGATGGTGGAGGAAAAGACACTTAAGCCAATCATTTTATACAACAAGGAGCTCATAGATGCTGGTCAGGGAGACAGAGAGGTAATGAGGACAAGCATAGAAACATACAGAGAGGGTTGTACAACTTATTACAATAGTTGACAAAGTCTATTTACCTGGTCTTCCATGAGCAGGATGAGCCGGGTCACCACAATGTTGACTGCATTCCCCAGGCTAGAATCCTGGAACAGTTTGGCAACCTGACCTCCAGGGAAACAAGAAAAGACCAGTCTTAAAAACAGCTGATACACCAGTTGAGCACATTACACTAAAGCTCATACAACATCAGAAATAAACACCGGAGTGAACCATCATAAATTAAGATGTGTAATGATCTAGAAAAGTCCCTGCGAATAAAATCTCAGTCTTGAAAATGTACGAAAAACTACCACTACTAAAGAAAAAGAGGATAATTCAGTGTGCTCTGATTTCCTTTTGCCTTAATGCATTGTCTGTTAATAATGACAACTTTTGGGTCAAGCCTCCAACTGGGACCAGCGGAAACTCTGACTTAATGTGTGTAGTGATGGGTAAGGCTCAATCGCATGAACAACAAAAGTGTGCTAAGAAGCAATCCCTTTCTTGCTCCCCGACCAAGATCGATTTTAAGCCATAGCCAAACCTAACAACTTATCTACGAGACAGATTAGTCTGAGGATCTTAAAAAAATCTGTAAAGTAAGTGCACCACAGGTGCCAATGGTTATTAAAGAGCTAAAGCACCAACAGTGCACTAAAGCTGCACTCAGAAACTTGTCTTTACTGGAGTCTGGTGTAATTTGGCACACTTTGCTGCACGCCACCAAAGAGATGCTGCTGGTTTCTGTAACAGTCTGGATGCAACCTGCTCTGTTGCAATAGCAGATAACCAACCCTTCATTAAATACATTCCTAACACATGTGTGTATAGGTTTAAAGTGATGAACTGTCTGTGAAAAGATCCCCAGTGACAAGAAACAGGGCAGATGATGACATACAACCAAAGCCTGTCTGACTCAAACAAGGGGCTTCCGCTGGGAGGAATCCAAAAAGTTCCACACATTTGCTTTTCTTTCTGTCTCTAAGCATTACTCATGCCATTACATAAACCGTAATCTTATTTCTACTTAATTTGGGTTTTTGACTCATAAATGCATAGTTTATTTCTGACCATCCCTTGTTGTTACAGAAGCAGTGAACCTGTTTCTGCCGACGTTTCTAGAAACCAAACCGTGATTGACCGTTGGATTGCTGATGAAAGCTCAGAAAAACTATACAAAAGCATCATTTTGGCATGAAGCTTTTCAGAATTTGTTTCTTTATCCCTCAAGAATAGCTCCAACGACACTGGAAACGTGTCTTTTTATGACATTGTGCATGTACATCTCTTGTTGTGAAACTTACAATATTCATGACAGCCAGGATGTACTGCTCGATGTCTCTGCGACCGTGGTAACCCACCATCACCTTGTCGGCCACCACCAGCGTCTCCACGTAGCGCTCCCGGCTAACGGAGCGCTTCAGAGGCAGCTGGCCGCGACCAACGTGATGCGGAGGCGTCTTCAGAGTTCTCTGCCACCATGACGCACCTTTCATCGGCTTCTCGTCTAAGGAAGATCAACACAGGCGCTCATGTTTTGGATGACGTATAGTAAGAAGAAACCAAAAAAAGCCCAGCAGTCGCAATTATACATTAAAAACTGAATCACTCACTGTGGATTTGGCATAACTGGCCAAGACATTCATTCTTTTCTATTCTTTACTTTACCAAACACAATTATGCCTGAATACACTTTCCATGGATGAAGAGCAGAACAACAGCTCATTGTTTCAAAGTTGGATCTTTTTTCCTCTTACTTGTCAAAAGATGGTTTTCCGAACATACTTTTGCTCTTTCAGCAACGCCCTGCAACACAGACTCAGTCACACCCAATCACAACTGGGGGACTTGGACACAACCACAAGCCTCTGCTGCTGGCTGCTATATGCAAATAAACCTGGGGTCGTTTGTTCCTCCAGTCTGGACCAAACGGCTGCTACTAAAAAGACCAGAATATCTCTCCTCTCACCAATGACTCCACAGGATTGGCCCTTGTACTGATGGCGGAGCGATGAACGCTTGTAAACCACATGGGGGCGCCCCTCAGCTCTCTCCCCCCTCTCCGTCCTGGTCTGGTTATCTGGTGAGACAAGGGGTTCAATCAGGTACTCCTCTCCCCCTGCAACAATCACCCCCTGCTGCAGAGAGACAGAAACGTAGAATAGAACAGAATAAAATAGAAGGGAATAGAATGACAGGAATCATTGCCTTTGTAGTACAAATATCACAAACGTCACACTTCGTGGATCTCTACTTTGGTATGTTAATAAATAAGTACACAGTCACTAATACAGATCATCCCAAATGCTCCATCAATGATACCACTAAAATGAATTACTTGTACTACAAGACACTATATTGTCTGTGTGACAACAATATACTTCAATAACTAATGACTGCAATAACAACAAAACATAATTGAATGTAGAGCCCTGTCAAGTATTACACTATTAGATAAGATTAAAAAAATGTCATAAAGCAATAATGTAATGTTTTTATGAAATTACAAATTTATACAAAATTTTCTCTCTTTGATAAAAACATGGACATAAAGGTACAATATGCCACATGTCATTATCAGGAAAATGCGTCCATCTCAGACTATTCAACAACAGTTCAGCGACAAAATGACACTCATCTTATAATTAGAGATAGTTTTATACTAGAGATACAAGCCTAGCATTATGATCGTATCACTTTGTGTTTAGACTGTCCCACTACGAACACTGTCCCCCTCACAGAGTCCTCTGTTGGACCCATATGAGAGGAGGATCAGGACCCCACAGAACACACACACACACACACACACACACACACACACACACACGAGAGAGCATGAAAGGGTGAATGAGAGCGAGAAAAATGAGAGTGAGACAGAGAGCGATACACTAACACTCCCTTTGAATCGGTTCAAATGTGTTGGCCCGGTCAGAGCGAGTGTCTCCCTTCGACTCACTGTGGCGGCTCTCAAAGTGCCTTTAATCTCATAATATAGTTAGTGATGCTCCCTTGGACACACTGCCCGCTCACTGGTGAATGTGCTCATGCTGGTCTGCCCAACAGTAATTACGTGTGCTGCTTATTAACGCTTTGTGAACACATCTAATCCTCAGCTGTGTATACAACTGTTTTTTGTGGAGCCTGCTGTTTGTAGTGAGAGGATACACTGATACACTGTGCTGTGAATGCAGGAACATTATTTCAGCTAACAAAATGATGCATCACAATTAAGTGATCCAGTCCAGTGATTCAGAGGGAGGTGGGGGGGGGGGGTAACTTTGATCTCTTAATTTGGGGCATTAACAAGCTGATTACTTCATGAGAGTGGGAAATAAATGAAGAGGAAATTATGCTTTGACCACCTTGGAAAACAGTTAAAATATACAGAAGATTAAAGGTTTTTCCCAAAGCACTTCTTCCCATAACCTGCCTTGTTGACCACAGCTTCAGTTAATAATCTCCTACATTTCGCTGTCTGCCTTTAAAACAGCCCCATGGGAGCATGCCAGAACATGATGCATTGTGGGTTAGAGGTAGAGAGGTTACACTTCAAACAAAGTGCTGAAGATGCTGAACTGTCTAACAGCACCCCTACACCCTTCCCAAGTCGGAATAGGAGGGCTGCTGCAGGTAACTTTCTTAACATAGCGATTAGAAATGTTTGCAAAGGATATTAATCAACATGTCCTCTACACTTGGATTACTATCTGTATGGATACAAATCTAGAAGAAAAAGAAATGAGGCACCTTTTTAGGATGAATCCTTTCAAGGATTAGGTCATTTCCTTTCAGGTCATTTCACTTTCTGAGGGCCACACTGGTTGGTTTGGGCAAAGCATAAAGCTGAGTACTCAACGTTTCTTAAAATTTCATGCTTTGATCCGAATAATGTATTACTGATCCCTCATTTGCTGAGCTAGTGCTGCTGCTGCTGCTGCTGACCCCACTAAGTGTATTAGATGTGGATTAGACCTGCAGGTTTTGGTCTTACCAGGCCATTACAGTTGCTCAGGGCCACTTTACTGGAGTGCGGCTGGTCTTGGAGGTGTCCTACATAGTGGCAGTGAGGAGAGTAAGGATGACTCCAGGCTAATCGACCTTTCTTCCAGTACTCCACCCTGAACTGTCGCGACAGCAGGCCTCCCTGCAGCGTTAGGTTCAGCAGGAAGTTGTTGCGTGGCGTGGAGAGCTGGTAGAAGAGCTAAGAGATAGAAAAAGAGAGAGAGTTCAGTAAATAAAAGCTCTTGGATCAGAATGGTATGTATATTAAAGGGTATTATAAAGATGTGCATCAATGTAAGGCAAACAGGGAGACAAAAGAAGAATAGAAAGTAAAAGGAAAACTATTTCAAAAAGCATTACAGAGTCAGGCACTCTGTCTTCAGTGCTGCGGCTCTTTCTTCTGTGATGTTGCGACGTTTCTGGATCCAGCGTCTCACCATCAGGTCCTACACGTACTGGGATGGCAATCTCATACAGGCCTAGATTGGACAGGAAGGCAGCTGGAAGGAGAGAAATGAAGAAGGCATAAAAACCAAGTCAGAGTTTAACTTATTAAAGCCAAAATTCTGCTCAACCTAATTGATTCCAATTAACAACAGTTGAGGATTTGAAAGTTGGTTATCTAGAAGAACACTATGGGGCTTTTTAACGGAGAGAGTAACCCAGTTGGCAAAGAGAAACGTGCAGACTTTTTGGCCCATTGCTGACGGGGTCCCTCGCCTCCAAGAACCTGCTCCCGCATGAGGCCAAGGGGACGTTGCCATGGCTACCCTGAAACTGTATACTTCCTGTCTGTCCCAGTCTGTGCCGAGGCCTGGTGGAGATTTATTGTCCAAACACACACACGGCTCTAAACAGCCAACGTCAGCTAACTAACGGGGAAAGGTCACCGGCAAATGAGCCCAGTTTTCATCAAACCTTTGGCCTCAGTTGTTGGAGTCGCAGCCCCTTCCCACACAGAGTAAATACCCAGAGATCAGAGTTCCCTGGTACAGACTTGGAGAGCTCTGTACTGGGAAAAAAAAACTCTTTGTAGGCGGCAAAAAGGTCTGGCTTTAACAAACAGCGAGCACTGTTACTAATGCTGCCTTCACATGGACCTGGTGAGGTTGTACTGTATTTTCAACATGGAACGTTTAGTACAAAACATGCTTTTTTTAGTCATGAGAACAAAAATGGACGGTGGCCTTGTTCCCTTTTCCAAAATGGTAAATGACTCAGCGTTTTTGGCATTTAAAATTTCATGTTGAATTTTCTTCCCTCGGTATGAGCACGGACTGTATGTGCACGGACGAAACACCCTTCACAAGCACAACCTTCCTAAGAGCTCTGAGCTGTTTCCCACAACACATCCATCCTGCTCCTACAAACCACAGCAAGCGATCCGGCAGGTGGTATTACCATTAACTTTGAAGCACAGGAAAGCTCCTGGAGAGAAAATGAAGGGAGGGTGTTAATGAAGTAGTTATAATTCACCGCCAAGGAAGACATTAATGAGACCTCACACAGAATAAACTATGATCTAATGAAAACCAGTAAAATGGTTAAGTATGCAGTTTGAACTTTAGAGTTTAGAGTTTAGAGTTTTTACAACCATTTTCTATCAACATACCATTTACCCATTTATAAATGAGGATATTACTGTTACTATACAAGCAATGCGATTATTCCTGCCCCGTCTTCTCTTGTTAACCCCGAGAGTATAAACTACTACACATACTTGACATTTTATCTCCTAATGGGAAGCAAATTTAGCCTACAGCGAAATTGCAGTAGCCAATAGTGCGAAATATGATCATCGACAGTGGAAACATGCTTGCTAAATTTAACAGGAGACACTCCCTGGCTAAAGAGTGTTCATACAGGAGCGTCCGTGCGGATAGGTACACCCATCCACCCATGAGCAGGGCATCACCCATGGTTTCTGTTATCACCAAATGAAAATAGTTGAAGGAAATACTCTGGATGGAAAACTGTCCCTCCCTCCATCCCAGACACACCTTCATGGCACCTCAGATGAAAAGGCTACTACAAGACGAGGAAGAGTCTTTTGATTATTCAGTACAAACTACGAGAGAGGGAAATGGTGGAAGGAGAGCTCGTCTTCAGATCGTAACCTTGTTAGAAGTCTCTCTGTGCCTCGCCCGTCTGTTGTCCTGTGTGCAGTCTGGGTGACACGCACAGGGAAGTGACACATGCACATACACTGCCAATAATATGTAGACTGCCCTGTCCAAATACTTTTGAATCCTTTTGACTAAGAGCTTCCAGGTGACAATGTGGCGGTGATATTTCTTTAAATTAGTCCCCGCTGCACTTGTACTTCAAGACTGTGGCGGACATGAGTTGATGACTCAGAAGTACTTAAAACATCAGTGTGACAAAAGGAAAGCTTGACTCGTGTACAAAGTCAGGTTCATACAGAAATTGTTTTCCCAGTTTGGTGTGAAGGAATTTGATTGGCTTTCACAGAGCCCTGACGCGAGCACCTTTGGGATGATCTGGAACCAGGCCTCATCCTGCAGCCAGATTACATCTTAACATATCATATAATCACCTTATACAGATGGTATGGTGCACTTGTTGCCTATTTCCACATCCAGCAGCCACAAAGCAACATGTGCTTTCATTAGGCGTTCTGTCAACCAGATGAATGTAAGCCCAATTTTCACTCTCTTTTTTGGTCTCCACCAACTCCTGAGAAAAAGATCTGGCTCTTTAGCTGCTAAATGCTCCGTTTTGTTCACCAGCCGGTCGCCATCTTTGTCTGCTGTTTGGTGCTAAGAAGTTTATCAGAGCTTTTCTGTTAAGAAACAGCTTCCTGCTGTGTGGAGTTTAGTGATAATTATTTTTGGGTTCATCACTTCAAACAACTCCTTTTAAATTACACGCAGTTATTCAACATGTTGTTAATGTAAAGTATTACGTCGTGACCGAAACTAGAGACCAAACCGTCTGTACCTGTAGAAAGGTCTCTGAGGGAATGAGCGGGTGGGTTATTTAAAAGGAAGCAGTGCGGTAGACTATTGGAGACACAGCTGGCGGTGAGGGGTTAAAGGTTAAGTTTAGGAAATACACAATCACAGCCTTGTTCAGGGTGACGAGACACGGACAGTAATTTTATGTCTTTGCCTTCAGGAGGATTTCAGGCCTCTCCAGCTTCAGAGTGTGTGTGAGAGAGACTGTGTGGTGAGGGGGTTGGGCACGTGGCGGCTGAGCCACAGCAACATGATTTGTGGAAGCAGAGTTCAAGTTCAGCAGCCCAGACCTGCAGGCCTGGAGTGCGCCTCAGCCGGTCAGACAACAGGGTCAGCACTGACAGGTTTTTTCCGGCTCATTTCACACAGGTTTTCCTCATCTGAGCGCTGTGCATGCGAATTATAATTAAAAACAATTACAGTTACTATGGAACACATGTTAATCCTTAAATCACAATTATAGTACAAATTATATACAAATTTAAAAAGGGTATTTATTCTGAATTTCTAAACATGGGTAGCATTGTGAAGGTTGTTGTTTTTTTTTTTCTTTTACTGAAATGAGAAACAGATTTCACTCTGGGCGCCTTGACCATAAAATACATGAAAGTACTCTTGCTCTCAAGAGACTGAAAATAATTAAAGCAACCCACAGTATAAAGCCAGGATCACAGACAATCAACCAATTATGTTTTCCCACAATTTATTAAGACCTCAAACAATAAGGTCTGTGCTGTTAATAGTGTGTTTATTTCTAACTCGTGTCTCGCAAACTCTTTTCACATTGAATTTTTGATTGGTTTGAAAAGGTCAACCTGTGTGATACAACCTGGGTTTAGACCTGCTCCAAGACTAGGCCGGCTGACTTAGCGGTTTTTTGGTGGGAAAGCATGAACACACATTTCTATGATAACTATAGGATTACGATGCGGTAATTATAGAATTGCAATAGGATTACTGTAACTGCATAGTAGATATGATGCAGACGTCTTTCCATAAGTTCAGCTTTTCTCAGCCTCAGAAACACTTGAACATGATTGAATCTAAGATGTTGCATGAACTATTTTTAACAAATACATTTATGGCTGGTTAGGTATACTTTTACTATTGTTGTAGGTAGGGCTGGGTATCAAACCTCAATATTTCTTGCTGCCGACTAAAATATGTCTGTTGAGTTTCAAAAAGCGAAACTTGGTATTGACTGTCTGGTCAGATTCATCCACTTGTTAACTTGTTCTTTGATCACAGTCCCTGATTGAAATCAGCATTTTCCCTGTGTATACATACTGTGTGTGTGTTTTTTTATATATATATATATATATATATATATATCTCAGAAGACATATTGCAAATGTGCAAATGCTAATTTCGTTCATTGACAAAGTAAAAAGAACTGGTATAAAGGCTATAAAGCCCCTGCCTCGACTGCACAGGAGGGCCTATTTTACAGTGAACATTATTAGTAATAAATAAGAAAAAGTTTAGATTGGACTGTGTCCATAAATTTCACATCGCCCCACTTCATGAACGTTTTATAAGAGCAATAGCTCACAGCAGACTGTGGTATATTGTGATTACATCACAGCTAAGGGGGCGTCATTCAGCATATCTCACCTTGTGACTGGGAGAACTCATTTCTGTGACCTCCTTCGACCACCGCGGCCACCATGACGACGATGACGACGCAGACAAGACCGGTCCTCCATAGCGTTTCCATGGTTACTACAGTAGTTGCTATAGTAACAGAATTCAGTGCGGTGGTCCCTTGGCCTCTGTCCCAACATGTCTTCTGCCCTCTCGGATGCCCCGTCGCCTAGCAATGGGACCGCTCGGTGCTCCGTTGGGCCATGGCTGCGGGAAAGATCCGTGGGTTCAGACAGACATGGCAGCCTTTAAAGTGTGTTGGTCAGCGAGTGGTGATGGATCCTGGACGAGTCCTCGCAGGAGTAGAAAAGACTCAGCAGCAGTGGCAGGTTTAGACTCCTCTCTGTAGCCCTGTAGAAGAGAAAGTGGTCGGTGAGGGAGAGGAAGGCCAGGAAAGGAACGTTTTCGGAGCAAAAAGGGAGGAAAGGAACAAGGGAGACATAGTGAAACACAGACAGAAAGAGAGAGGGAGAGAGAGAGCATGAGATCCCATTGACCCATGTAGTTCTCAGTCTAGCAAGACAAATCTACCCAGTTCATATTCAGCGTCCAGTGAAGGACCGCCCAGTCCTGCATTGTTCCTTCAGCTAATCAATCTTGGCTTTGGCGAAGGGCAAACACCATGTCTTTCACTCTGATGACCAGAGACAACAGCAGGTCCCAACCTGGGGCCCCTGAGGCCCCGCTCTTTAAGCTGCCTGTCCACCGGAAAGAGTTCAAACACAAAGGACGCCATTGATCTTGTAAAAAGCTGCGCTTAATGCCCAAACAGGGCTTGAAGTGGGTATTATGTCAGAGGCTCTAGGGGTAAAATGAGCCAATTTCAGAAGAGCAGCAGGTTGCCATCACTGCTACGCTGGCTGACTGTGGTGGTTGGTTGTATGGCTGAGTGACTTGCTGGCTGGCTGCCTGACTGTACAGCTTACTAATTGGCTGGCGTCCTGACTAGCAGATAGATGGTACGAGTGCCTATATGAAGCTTGTTTACATGTGAGACAAAGGGTAGAGTACTGTGATAGTCATAGCCCGAGCGATACTGGGTTTTTGAGGGTCATTGCTTTAACATACTCATAAAATAAACAACAATCTTGATACAGATCCCTTAGATTATTATTATTTTTTTTAAGGTGACCAAGATACAAATTGAGCAGGACATTCAACATATAACAGTTAGCAAACAACTTCTCAGTGCTCTCTGGTGCTCTAGTTTGGCTTTCTAAATTTCAGCTCCAAGTGCTGCCTCACTTTTTATTCATCATTCTCCTGTTTAAAAGCAGCAGGTTTCTTTCTATACATTGCTTTCAAAGATCTTGCAATCCAAGGTTTGTTATAGGATACAATCTAACTCTAACCGTGTGGGTATAACTGACTCCTCGCAAAATGAAATGTAACTAAACACAACAACGGCAACGCACAGCAAGATTTGGTGCGTTATAAGAATCACGTCTGGAGGAGATAAAAGATCAGCGGATGAGAGCAGTGATCTCATCTTGGTTAAATGTTACTGTTGAACCAAACAAGACTTTAGTTACCTGGGACTCAAAAGACAGATAAGAGACGAGGATGTACCTAAACTACCAAACAGACTAATAATGCAAGTGCTGTGTCTTGGAGGGGTAAATATAATGATCTCTGATTTGTCATTCAATTGCAAGAAACTGTTGGACATCCAGTTCTTAATTGCAGCGTGGCAAGACATAATACAGGACGCATATTTGGGATCGGGATTCGTCCTGACGTACAGTTGTATGTCGTCTGCATACTTCTTCACAATGGCAGTGAAATTCAATGTTTTTCTTCCATCAGCAGACCTTAATTACCGTTTATATTTCAAGTAATAACAGGGAGAAGATTGTTGTTTCCTTTTTTAACTGCTAAAGAGAAAGTGAAGTTCATATGACAGCACTCAATGATCATTTGGATGTAACAATTCAGCCAGCCCGACATCATAATTTTATTGTCCAGCGCTATACATAAACCCCAAGTTCCTTTTTAATTTTACTGCAAAACCAACATAAGAGAGAGTCTGCTTTATAATAACAACGGAAAATGACTTCCTCAGACCCACAGTACCCATTACAAAAACAGACCAGAGCCAGGATCAGCAGTCACATTTTCATGGGTGCCCTTCTCTTTGACTTGAGTTTCCTGGCTATGGATTGCAGTGTCAGCTTAAAAAAATAAAAACCAAACCCTCACTATTCTCCAGTAAAGTCTGCCCACCCAGTTCTCTCTTGTCCAAGCCCCCCCATCCCTCCCTCAGTGCCGTCTGGGGAGAGAAGAGCGAGAGGAGACGCCACACTGGCCCAGATGGCTGGCGGCTAACCAACTGCAGCCAAAGGTAATCGGAAGCAGATGGGAAACCTTTTGGTGACGAGAGCAGGGGGAACAAGTTGCCTCCTGAAAAGAGGAGGAAAAAGAACGAGCGCAAAGCCCAAGGGGAATGAAAGACAGACAGCAGAGTGTAAGCTTCTTTGAGCCAGCTGGGAGAGCCATTCTTGAGTGTTAATACCCTGAACTGAGTGTGCAGGAATGAGTTGAAAAGAGCCCTAATGTGCCTCTTAAATCATTTCAAACGGCAATGGAAAGGTACAGTAAAAGGAAAGCTTGCTAGAAAAACACTAAGGGGTCGTAGTACTGTTGCAGCTTCCCTTATACGTGGAACAACTGAAAGTCTTTCTCTCTTCCCCTCCCTCAGGCTTTTTCCCAGTCATTTCCTGCAAGTCAAACTCCCCTCCATTTTCATTACTTCTTCTGCTCCCGCTCTCGATTTATTGTGGGGTTATTAAACCTGTAGGTTGATATCAAGTGCTTTTCATTACCACCAACTCCCCTTTTGTTTATTTAAACAAGAGAAAGAGGGGGGGACCGGACCCCCCAGTGCTGTTCCTTGGTGCTTTTTAAGTACAACTGCTTAAAAGGATTTGTAGACAGCCTTCAAAAGATTCCCACAACAACATGCATGCGCTGCCTTCTTGGTAAATTATTGCTCCATTATAAACCGCACAGAAATGCAGTTAAATTAAGGAGAAGAGCTGGGGTGACTGCGTCGTAGATCTTCCGTGGGCCGCATCACTTTTGAGTGAAATAAAAGAATACATGTTTGTCAGCAGGACCAAGCAAGCACACACGCTGACTCTCTCCTCGGTAGTTTTGCTTGGATTAGCTGCGAATATCAAGCATATAGCTGCAATCACGGCCGAGAGAGAAAGTGGTCTGAGCTGCAGACAGGCCACGCAACTTCCAATGCAATCACAATTTGCAAAAGAGAAAAGAGGGAGGGGAGAAGAAAGGGGTTGTTGTTAACAAGAGAGAGAAAAGTTGGACTGCTCGGGATAATTAGGTGGGAATTTAATGGTGGGCCAAATTTGCATTGTAATCAAGCCAGTGGATCCAGTTTTGACACATCATTTTTTCGTCTTGTCATCCACTATTAAATGGTGTGTTTAATGTAGTGTAACAGATGTACAGTGAGTCGTTTTTTTTTTTCTTTTTTGAGAAGACTAGAGCTAACTATGCTGTCCTTGTCTTTAACTGTTGCCAGGGAGAGTGGAGCTATCCGAAAACTAGCACACTAATCAAAGCCATATGACCGGCTCAAAGTAAAGTCTGTGTGGAGCGAACAGATGCTAAGTGTCCCTCAGCTTAGCTTCAAGTCTAGCACTCCCCCTATTCACTCACTCACTCAAACACACACGCACATGCACACGCACACACACACACTTTCCACTTTGATCAGGGAGTAGCTCATGAATCAGCTTTAAGTTCACTTTATTAATTCATTAAACTGGCGGTGCGGCTTCTCTTTTCGAATAAAACCATGAGGTTGTGGGATCAAATGAGACGAATGTCACAAGTCAGATGCAGCGTTACAGTCGGTTTCAGCGGCAATTACTCTCTCTAGTCCAGCTTCACACAGATCTCCACATGGAACCCTGAATAGGTGATAGAAATAATACAAAGAACTGGGGGATATTTCTAGACTAAACTCTCATTCTCTCTGTCTGGTATAAAGGCAGAACGAGAAAAGGGCAGGCATTCCTTTCTCAATTTCCCCAAATAAACAGTGTGCAGATGAAAAGTGGGAACATAAACAGGCCAGAGAACCTCGGATGTGCTCCCCTAACTCTGAAAATGTGCCTCTTGAGTCTGAAACAATATTTAGTGAGAGCAAGAGCTGACTCGACACAAAGTGAGTCAGCCAGCAGCACTGGGAACACAGCACATATGGTAGTGGAAGGTTTTCTCCTTCTGTCTTTTATCATATTGATTTCTGCACAATTTGTATCTTCTTTATGACTCCCAAAAGCCCAGAACACCACAAATATACTCAGTCTACTGTCATGCAGGACAAAGAAAAGCAGCAAATCCTTGCATTTGTGAAGATGAACCATGAATGCATCAAATTAATTTGTTGAAAAAAATGTCTTAAATCAATGTCAAAATAGCTGTTGATTAGTTTTCAACTAATTGAAATCTTTATCTGTTCCATCAAGATATTGATGTAGTTCAAAAGAAGGCCAGTGTGTGTGTGTGTGTGTGTGTGTGTGTGTGTGTGTGTGTGTGTGTGTGTGTGTGCGCGCGCGTGCGTGTGTGTGATGGGGAAAAGGTCAACGATCCAATATGGGGTATTAGTATGACCAAGGTTACAGACTGTATTAAAGGTAGCAGCCATAATGATGTAACCGATATTACTGTTACTACTATCAGTTGTCAGCATTCATGGTTGATTGCCAACTCAAGTTTTTGGTGCCACATTACCGCCTAGCCTCATCTTGCCTTACATAAAGATTATCTCAATGAGTTCCACACAGATGTTCACAGAAGTTAAATTTGGCAGGAAACACACATGATATTGTATCCTTTAGTTGAAGTATCGGAGGAAAAACTTGGATCGTGCATCTCTAGTGTGCATGTACGTGCGTGTGTGGTTTGGTTGATGGTGAAAATCCCAAAACCCTAAAAAACTAATCTCATAATATGTCTGCATATGCAAACTAAAATACATACAATTATAGTATTTGAAATAGTTAATTCTACCCCCCAAAAAATGAATGATGCTGCACAAAGATCAACAAAGCTACTACGATGACAAATGGACATTTACCTGCAGATTTCTGCAAAGTCAGCTGATCAAATTACTCATTTCTGCTGTTCACTGAGGGACCACAGATTTGCATCCTTGTGTAAATCATGCATGTAGCCTGATTACGTTACATTTCTTTACATCAGATAATCTAAAAGTGAGCTTGGACATTTTTAAGGTATAATTCATCAATCAATGGATTAAAGTCCAAAATCTTGTTGCAGAATTACTGCTGTGTTTTCCATTGGGAAGCTACATGCCCCCCCCTCCCCCCTCCAGCCGGTGGGCGACACAAGGCCACCCTTCAGTCATGTCGGCTACCTGGAGATTACAATGAAAAAGCTTAAAGACTCAAGAGCGACATTCAAACTCTGCAGAAACATTTATGGCGAAATGAGCGTATTTAGGGTTGAGAGGAGCCTGCTGCCAGCATCATGTCATGACCGCTTTCCTCCAGAGTTGTGCGTGTAAACGCAAAGAGTGCGGCCGGGCTCGCTGACTTACCTTCCCCGCGTCCCCTTGCACAAGTGTCCGCAGTGAGTCTGTCCTCTGTCCTCCGCAGCGGAGCAGAGAGGAGGAAGCGCCGGCGGGTGACTGAGGAGACTCAACTTTTTCCACCTCCAGAACTAAAGAGCCACAGCTTGACGTCGACTAACCCAAACTGTGATTATTTGACTTCCGGTTACAACTTGCAAAAATAAAAGTCGTATCTCCGAGGGGTTTTGTGTAAAATGATTAACTTAACTGAGAGTTTAGGGTCAGGTTTATTGATATGACTTGATTAAGACTTCTATGGATGTTTCATCATGAAATACATTCCAACCCTGGTAATTCATGTCTGTTTTGCTGCCCAACTTTGCATGTTTAGCATTACATGTATCTACTTAGTCTATTTAAAAACCTCTATGTGTGTATCATTGAGTAGACAAAACAAAAACAGATTTTGGATATGTGTAAGACAGCTCCATTTCTAAATTTAACTATCCTCAATTAACAAACTGCGCCATCCGCCATCCGATTGGTTTGGATCATTTTTATTTTTTCCTTGCACATGCCAGGCCCATCCCCATGCCTATAGGTGGCAATCAATGAAGATACAGAATATCTGCAATATTGACCACAGTGTGTATTGGTGATTGATGTTACCAACATTATTTTGTTAGTGTGATATTATTTTTCCTTTAATGTTAAGTTTTGCAATCTTATGTTAATGCTGACTAAATCAGAGAAGAGTCACTCATTCCAAATTAGTCATCATATCAGTATTTCATTATTACATTTTATTAATTAAATCACAACGGAACAGCAAATAAAGCCATAAATCCATTTTGTATGGGATTAAAAATCATCCAAGGGATGGTGCCAAAGAAACAGAATGGATGGCACCAACTCAAATTTATGTAATGCTGTATGGTCAAATTTTTCCAGTTAATCATTTTTATAAATGCTATGCTTCGATGATTCAAAGTTAATGTAAAAAAGGAGACACATACAATCCAAATGCAAACTCAACTTTTCTTTTTTGTCAAAACTTACACATTGTTCCCCACTCTTATGTCAACTTTTCTATAACTTGGCAGAGATGCTGTTTTGCAGAGACCCCTTGTTGACCGATTAAAAATCATTACGGTCTGACTAAGACATTGAAAGAAAGCTGAAATATCTTTTAACACTGATGCTTTTATTTTGAAGGTACACTTCTTCCTGTCCTGTTTTCTTTCGTCTGTTGCTGTCAGACTTGATTTAGAGGGATCCTGCTGATTGGCTGCCTGATCCACGACTCCAGGGAAGCAGCTGCAGCCGGTGGGGTGGGGGTCTTGAGAGCGTGAGGGTCTTGGGGTTTAGGGGGTTTATTCGTAGTATCTCTGCTATTAATACTGTGGTTATTGCACAGGTGTTGGAGTAGTCTGTGTACGTGGCATAATGGTTATTCTGTGATGAAAAGTACAACACAACATATTTAAAAGTAATAATTGTACATTTGATTTAGGGAAATACACATATTCACTTTCTGGCGGAAAGTTAGAAGAAAATAACCAGTATCAATGTTTCATCTGACAGCCACAAAGAGAATCAATATATTTCCCACAATGTCAAACTATTCCGTTGTTGTTTAGTAAATCAGGCTTGTATATTCTGCAACAGTATTCTTAAATTTGCTATTGATCAATCAGGATATAAAGAGCTCAAAAGAAGAACTGTGATAGGTGACTGCATTCAGAGGTTTGTGCATCTGTGTGTGTGTGTGTGTGTGTGTGTGTGTGTGTGCACGTCTGTATGTGTGTGTCATTGTCTCTAACCCCCCACATTTTCACAGCGCCTATACCTACACTGCTGTCAGATCAACAGATATATCTCTGTCTCTAAAGCAACAACATCGCTCTACTTAGTGCTGAAGCAGCGGAACGTACTGTAAGTAGGTTTTATTGTTATATCTGATTTAACAGCAGCCGTGTTTTGTACTGGTGGACTACACAGATTGTTGCGTTAAAAACAAAAAGATGATACAGAAGGTGATAGTTTCCTGAAGTTAAGACTATAGGCCTGAGGCAAAGTTGTATTGAAATAATGCAATATTTCAACAAAAACCTAAAGTATGGGATGAAATCTAACTTGTTAATTATCTTTATTTTTCTCTATTAAATGCCACATACTTGAAACTACACCTTTCAGTATACAGTAGTTTGATAGCAGCAGTTGACTGGAACCAAAGTAACTCACAGTAATTTAATCCAAAATTGAGTCTGTAAACCCACAATAATCTATGATATTTATATTCTTATTTCTCCTTTGAATTTAAGCAAGGAAACTGTTTAAATGGGTGTTTTTGTATTTCCACATAAAAACTAATTGAGGATTGAGGCATTGTTGCGCTGGTTTACAAAAGTTAAGATTATGTGCAAAAATATAAATAGCTGCTTTCATTGTGCCTTGAAATAGAAAACTAAAAAAGGGTAAAGAGGTCTGTGCGTGTGTATTTTATCGCCTGTGACTTTTCTTGAAATGACTGGATATATTTTTGGTTCCTGGGCTGAAGCATATCTGCTAAATGTTCCAGCCGCAGTCTGACGATATTGGTCTGGACAGCAGAAACAGGGATTTCTGTAAGTGTGAGAGAGTTTACAGACAATTTGAACATTACATTTAGTTTCAGATTTAAACGCCTCATTATCAAGGGGTCTCATTAGCAGCTTGCTGCAGGGGTTTTATTATTGTTTTTGATTAACATAAATGGAACAACTGTTCAGGTGCTTGAGTATGTAAGATAAATTTAGATTTTAAAATGTTTTTAAAAAATGGCACTTTTCTGAACGATTTAAATCTCAACAGGCTCATTTTGTTCTGGAGTATAATCTAAATCATGGAAAAAGAACACATCCAAACTGTTTATTTGAATGTTATTTTGTCTCCATTAATGCAGGAAGTTTGGAGCATTTCGGCCCCTGATCTGTTACGCAGATGAGCCTCTTATTCAAGTCAGCCTACGTCTTTAGCTAGATAATCATCATCGAAACAAAGGGCCGTTTGGGGTCAAATCTGTTGATGTATGAGGTTTTAAAGGGCACGTTATCTGTATGTGGAGGATGCCTACACAGTCTCAAATGCTGATGTATGTCAGGAGGAATGCTCTGAGTAACATAAGAACAAGCTTACTTCCTGACAACACAACCAAAATAATCATAAACTAAAATTACTTTAATAGCTGAATAGGTATAACTGGAAAGCTCTTGATTCAATATGAACCACGTCATCTATAAAAACAGCTTTTAGTGGTTAGAAGCAAATTAAATCCCTGATGTCATGGTGGTATATACATGTGTGATTAACAAGAGTAAAAGAGTTGAAATGTCTCCGCACAAATGAGCTGCTGGGAGGCTTTGCTTTTTGTGTTTTTTAGTTTTTTCAAGCCGACATAAAGAGGTCACTATTTACATGACCCCAGCTTGATCCTGTAACGGCAACGTTAGCGTGCTACTGAAGTCTTGGCATTTTTGAGAGGTTTGGGTGTCATGTTACACTGAAAGACAGTGGCGTCATATTCTCTGTAATATTTATAATTGGATGTGGTTAATGAGCCTTTACATAAATGCCAGACATGTTGTTTTGTAAGGCTGTTTCTGACATTAGAGGTCATGCTAGCGGCTCTATTGAGGCAAATGTCTGCTGGTCAGTCAGTCCACTATAGTTGCCATGAGATTCTGTGCAGACATTTATGACCCCCAGAGAATGAATCCTGTTGACTTTTGGGGATCCCCTGATTTTTCTTCGAGTGTTACCAGCAGGTCAGAGGTTTCAATTATTATCAGTGAAATATCTCTACATCTACAAGAGAGATTGGCATCCATTTTGGCTCACACGTTCACGTTTCCAGGATGAACTGTTACAAGTTTGCCTGAAATTTCCGCTAGCAACAATATTTTATTGTTTAGGACACCTGCAAAACTAACGACGTTCTCTCTCATCGACTTCAGCTGAACTTTGTGTTTAGTGCTTATTATCTAATGTTTTTCAAACACACTAAACTAACATGGTAAACATCAGCATGTTAGCATTTTGATTGTGAGCATGTTGGCGTGATGATGTTAGCGTTTAGCTCGAAACACAGCTGCACCAACTCTCAGAGCTGCTAGCATGGATGAGTTATGGCCTTGTTATACTTTGAGTACATTCAGTTGCTAATACTTTACTTGTAGTTATGTTTACTTGAGTACAAGTTTAAGGTGCTGGACACCCCAATTTTAGCTGAGCTTTATCATAATAACTATTTTACAAGGTAAGAAAACTGTGTGCCTGAGCTTTTCATCAAGATTGACCTGGAACAGCCACTTCTCTACAAAAACGGATGTTTGACTTGATGACTTTTGGTGGGTTGGTTTTTGTTTTGTATTTCATTATATTTAATCGCATTTACTTTGTGAGGGGTCTCAGATTACCTAAAATCATGCCAGGAAAACAAACACTCGGGCCTGTAGAGTTTGGCGTGTCACTTATCCTCTGCTTGTTGAAAACAGAGTGACTCACATTACTTTTTCCACTGCTCACTGGGTCACCATCTGCTCACTCTGCAACACCTCATTTACAAAAGTATGTTTTTAAGCACAATAAAGGTTGTTTTACATTGCATTTAGCTGGTTTCTGTCATTTTAAGCATCTTTTGAGCCGAAAACAAAAAGAAAAGATATGACGCAACACTGTCATGTGTCACCTCATCTCTCTCCAACCTTTGCTTTTGTGGTTCATGATATACAAGTCAAATAGAAAAGCCATATAAATGACATTTTGAAAAGAACACAGGCTGAGGAAAGACTCGGTTGCTGTCATAAGTGGAAGTTTGTTATGTCTTGTTGGAAAACGATCAATGTTTTGGTTAGTTTGGTCGTGTCGTTTTACAGCAGTGTGGCTAATGTTCCTGTCACGTTGTGTGTCGGGGTGGTATGTTGGTTTTTGTAATTAGATTAAATTTCTCTTTCAGTTTAAGTTTGTTCAAGCAATATTACTGAAGTCTGTGATGAATTTAGAAATTGTATCACTGCTATCTATCTTGCTCAGTGTTAACTGAGTTTTTAAAAACTATATATAAAGTTTTTAAAAAAAGAAGATGGAAAACAGAGTTAAAGAGAATTATTTCCATCTATCTTGGCTGACATGTGCCAATCTCAAAATGCAAAATGTTGTTCAGGATAATTATTTGATCACAGCACAATATGACCGTAACAATGACAAGAACCCAAGCTACAGTAAGTACATTAAAAGTCACCGAAACTGAACTACATCGATTGAAAAATCATAAGGAAACAAAAAAGGTAATGAGGCACTCATGCATTCTTGTGATAGTTTGTCTGAAGGCGTGCAGAGTATTCGTTTGTCCACAACGTCGGGTCTGGAGGTCTTTGTTGTGGTGGGTCCTATATGTCTTGCGGCAACTATGTGTTTCTGCTCGGTTGTCCACTGTGGATGTGGGCAGCAACCCTGCTTTGTAGCCAGGAAGCTGAGATTTTATTCACTTACTTTATTTTTCTTTTTATGACTTTAGATAGTGTGACAAAGTGAGGTGTCAGATTAAAAAGTTATTTGGCTCTTACAGAAAACTGTCAAACTGTTCAGTTTCAATTAAAAAAACGTGAGTGGGAGCTTTTTCATTCACATATGTATGACTTATGACGAGTCAATAAATCAAAATAGTTTACCTTGAGTTAAGTTAAGGTAAGTAGTTGATACATTTCTCCATAACTCTTTCACCAATCATTTCAGAACAACAGGAAATATCTTGGACTTCAATAAAAATGAAAACTTCAAGAAATCCTCCATCAACGCATTTTCCATTCACACCAAGACTGGAAACTGAGGGAGATTGTGAAATCTAACAAAGTCAAATTGGCATAATTGACTGATAAGTTCCCAACACACTGTGGTAGAAATGGTGTTAGTTTTTATTTGTAGTTTGATGTGAATTGTCATAAAATCTTATTCCTTAATATCACAAGCGTGTCTGTATCTTTAGATGATCTCCTCTCTGAGTGTGAGCTGACGTCGAGTTTTGAACTGACAGAGATTGTTTAATTTTCCACCTGCTCTCACATAACCGTTCTACACTGCAATCAAAACCACTTGATTTTAATCTTTTCTTGATGTCTTCCCATCTGCTGAAGCCTTATATACAGTGGGTATGGAAAGTATTCAGACCCCTTTAAATTTTTCACTCTTTGTTTCATTGCAGCCATTTGCTAAAATCAAAAAAGTTCATTTTATTTCTCATTAATGTACACTCAGCACCCCATCTTGACAGAAATTTTTGAAAATTTATTAAAAAAGAAAAACTGAAATATCACATGGTCATAAGTATTCAGACCCTTTGCTGTGACACTCATATTTAACTCACATGCTGTCCATTTCTTCTGATCCTCCTTGAGATGGTTCTACTCCTTCATTGGAGTCCAGCTGTGTTTAATTAAACTGATTGGACTTGATTAGGAAAGGCACACACCTGTCTATATAAGACCTTCCAGCTCACAGTGCATGTCAGAGCAAATGAGAATCATGAGGTCGAAGGAACTGCCCAAGGAGCTCAGAGACAGAATTGTGGCAAGGCACAGATCTGGCCAAGGTTGCAAAAGAATTTCTGCAGCACTCAAGGTTCCTGAGAGCACAGTGGCCTCCATAATCCTTAAATGGAAGAAGTTTGGGACGACCAGAACTCTTCCTAGACCTGGCCGTCCAGCCAAACTGAGCAATCGTGGAAGAAGAGCCTTGGTGAGAGAGGTAAAGAAGAACCCAAAGATCACTGTGGCTGAGCTCCAGAGATGCAGTAGGGAGATGGGAGAAAGTTCCACAAAGTCAACTATCACTGCAGCCCTCCACCAGTCGGGGCTTTATGGCAGAGTGGCCCGACGGAAGCCTCTCCTCAGTGCAAGACATATGAAAGCCCGCATAGAGTTTGCCAAAAAACACATGAAGGACTCCCAGACTATGAGAAATAAGATTCTCTGGTCTGATGAGACCAAGATTGAACTTTTTGGTGTTAATTCAAAGCGGTATGTGTGGAGAAAACCAGGCACTGCTCATCACCTGCCCAATACAATCCCAACAGTGAAGCATGGTGGTGGCAGCATCATGCTATGGGGGTGTTTTTCAGCTGCAGGGACAGGACGACTGGTTGCAATTGAAGGAAAGATGAATGCGGCCAAGTACAGAGATATCCTGGAAGAAAACCTCTTCCAGAGTGCTCTGGACCTCAGACTGGGCCGAAGGTTCACCTTCCAACAAGACAATGACCCTAAGCACACAGCTAAAATAACAAAGGAGTGGCTTCGGAACAACTCTGTGACCATTCTTGACTGGCCCAGCCAGAGCCCTGACCTAAACACAATTGAGCATCTCTGGAGAGACCTGAAAATGGCTGTTCACCAACGTTCACCATCCAACCTGACGGAACTGGAGGGGATCTGCAAGGAAGAATGGCAGAGGATCCCCAAATCCAGGTGTGAAAAGGTTGTTGCATCATTCCCAAGAAGACTCATGGCTGTACTAGCTCAAAAGGGTGCTTCTACTCAATACTGAGCAAAGGGTCTGAATACTTATGACCATGTGATATTTCAGTTTTTCTTTTTTAATAAATTTGCAAAAATTTCTACATTTCTGTTTTTTTCTGTCAAGATGGGGTGCTGAGTGTACATTAATGAGAAATAAAATGAACTTTTTTGATTTTAGCAAATGGCTGCAATGAAACAAAGAGTGAAAAATTTAAAGGGGTCTGAATACTTTCCGTACCCACTGTAAGATCCCTAACAGACACACCATGTTGTAGTTGTTTTAAAGATGTAAGTGGGTTACATTTACCCCGTGAAGTTTTCCTCCCATGAAGGAAAACTTACAAACTTGTGTCTCTAAAGCAGAAGGAATCATCGAGAAGCAAAAAGCACCTGTTCAACGGAAGAACAAGATGCTGGAGAAAGGAGGCTGTGAGGGCGGACTGCAACTTCCTGTTGTGGCTTTTGTCACCAATTTGTTCGTCTGCAACTTTGATGCAGTATCGACGTGTGGGTGCTTCTTGCTAAATATCATCCAGATACATGACACCTCACAGCTCGTCTGTGCAGAGCTGACAGTCCTGAAAAAGAGAAAGAGAAGAAGAGGTTCACAGCATGATATTTTTTTGCTTTCTGGAAAAACTCTTTGAATGTTGTCCATTTTCAAACTGTATTTCACTGTAGATCCTATTTTGTAATTTGGTAGATGAAAAATTGTGGTTGCTTTAGCATACAGTGGAGGGGAGGTTGGGGCTAAAAGGCTGAAAGGTCAGAGGTCACACGCTGTGAGTGTACTGGGCACACATTGTGCTACTGAACCAGCATATTCCTAAAACCTTTCAGCTTTTTTGTAATGCGGGTGTTGCTTAACTGCTTTCCCTTTCTATCTCTCTCATTAATTTCCATCATCTACCTCCAGCTCATCTCGCTCAGGTTTAACCATGTCCATCGACCCGGCGGCCGATCTGCCTTTCTACTACGGCAGCATCAGTCGCTCAGAGGCCGAGCAGCACCTGAAGCTGGCCGGGATGGCCGATGGGATCTTCTTGCTGCGACAGTGTCTCCGCAGTCTGGGAGGCTACGTCCTGTCTGTCGTGTGGAACCTGGAGTTTCACCATTACCCCGTGGATAAGCAGCTCAACGGGACTTACTGCTTTACAGGAGGGAAGCCTCACTGTGGGCCCGCAGAGCTCTGCGAGTTTTACAGCAAAGATGCCGACGGGCTGGTGTGCGCCCTGAAGAAACCCTGTCTGCGCTCCCCGGATACAATGATATGTCCCGGTGTGTTCGACAGTCTGAGAGAAAACATGCTGAGGGAGTACGTGAAGCAGAACTGGAACCTGGAGGTGAGGCTCTGCTGCCGCCATAATCAATAAATGCAAGACATGCATAAAGGGTCAGTTCTAGTCGTGTAACGTAACTAATTAGATTTTCTCAATTGCTATGCTGAATTAAAAGTTTGAATATAAGTTACTTTATTATGTGTACAATTCAGAGGGAAATATTGTAGCCTACTCTTTACTCCACTTCATTCATTTGACAGATATAGTTACTGTGCAAAATAAGATTTTACATAAAACGCATACATATGCTAAACTTTTAAAGTAAAACGCATTACATCAAGTTAAAATCATTTTCCTTTTCCCCAGCCATTTGGCTTGTGACCTCTTACAAAAAAAGGCATTTGGGGCCCCTTGTTGTGTTTCAGATGAATAATAGTAAATAGAACTTCCACCAAAGACACATTTCCCCTCCAAATGCCTCACGAAGTTACTATTTTTAAATGAAGAAAGAGTAAAGAGTGGGGAAAAAGTCCAAAAATTGAAAACTTATTTATTAATTTATTTTTTTTCGTCTTTCCTCTAGCAGCACACTGTCTAACTTGCAAAAATACTTTAATTTGTGATGTTTCGGTGCTGGAGCTTCATCAGACAAAATGCAAGTTAAACAGTGTGCTGAGTTTGTCTGCTACTTTTGATCTACTCGTCCCTCTCCTACGCACCCGAAAGAGCGTGTTCGTCTGGTTCTTCTTTCCTCTCCCATTAATCATCTCATGACCCTCTCAGATACATCTGGTGACCACTTGGAAGGACCCGTTGGGAACCACTGTACTAAACTATCTGTAATTAAAGAAGTTCAAACTAGCTCCACTGATAAAGACATATAATATTAAATGGGTCACAGTTTACTGCATAATGACTACTTTTACTTGAAGTACTGATAATACTTTGACAGAAGTATGTTTTTAATGCAGGACTTGTGCTTGTAAAGGAGTATTTTTACATTGTGGTATTAATTCTATTAAGTGAAGAATCTGAGTAGTTCTTCCACCGCAGGTCAGTTCACCCAAAGAATATAAAGTAACTAAGTAGATTTACTCATGTACTTTTGAGGTTCTTTACTTCTGTTGAACTACATTTCAAAAGGACTACTTTCTACTCTACAAGTTACTTTGGAAGTTAAAACGTTTACATAAAAACATATGAAAAGCTTATTGAATATAATGCACTGCTGAAGATTACACTTATGGTTTCCAACTTTTTGAACATGTGACCCACAAAAAAGCAATGTGTAGTTGTGTCATATTTCAGATCAGTTCTGTGAACATTTTGTTTTTCACTGAAATCACATTTCCCAAAACTTTTCCGAAAAACTTCTAAAATATTATTATTTAATTTAAATAACCACAAAAGGTAAAATTATCTAATATTTTACAAAAGATAGAAAGAAGCAAAGTCAGATTTATTTTGTGACCCACTGGAGGATGGTTGAACACAAGGTTACCACTGGAGAAAAATAACCGCATATAAAGCAGTAAAAACTAGTTACATGTCTACCATTGAACTTATGTCACTTTTATGACTGTAATGGTGCTTCTCCTCCCTTGTGAAATGCTCTTTATGCATCAGTACTAACGATGTAATTTATCATAGTTCACAGGGGCTATTTCTCTACATAGGCCTACTTACTTTTAGTACATTTTGCTTTAGTACATCTTACATGCAAAATGTGATGTGCACCTCTTAATAGTAAAATATATCTCTGCAGGATATCAGGTGTTCAGAGGCAAACACTTTTACAGACGTTGCTGAATGGATTTGTGCATATCGGGATCTTGAACCATGCAAAGTAACTGTCTATTCGTCTAAATTTGTGAATTTGTCTGTTTCTTTGGCTGTTTTTTTTTCTGCTCAGGGAGAAGCCATGGAGCAGGCCATCATCAGTCAAGCTCCTCAGCTGGAGAAACTGATGGCCACCACGGCCCACGAGAAGATGCCCTGGTATCACGGTAAAGTCACCCGGCAGGAAAGTGAAAGGCGGCTTTACTCTGGAGTACAACCGGACGGCAAGTTTCTGTAAGTTGCTCAAGGTGATGTTTTTGCATCTCTCGTCTTTTTTTTCTTTGTGCAGTTTTTAAGCAACACTGTTTTTGGTTTTTCAGAGTGAGAGACAGAGATGAGTTTGGTAGTTTTGCTCTCTCCGTGGTGTACGGGAAAACAGTGTACCATTACCAGATCCTCCAAGACAAATCAGGGAAATACTCCATGCCAGAGGGAACAAAGTTTGACACAGTCCGGCAGGTCGGCCCTCCATCTTCTTCTCTTCTTGCGTTATCTAGTGATTATGTTGAAACTGAAGGAAGGCCTTTTTTTTCTCCTAAAATGTAATATTATCTCAATCTCTCTAGCTGGTTCAGTACCTGAAGATGAAAGCTGATGGCCTGGTGACTGTTCTTGGGGAGGCGTGTGTTAACGGAAAAAATGCTGAAAGTACTGAACATCTTATTTCTTTTCCTCCGGCATATCAACATTATGTACTTGCTGCACAACTCACTGAGTTTCCAGTTCATGTTTGTGCGTTATTTGTAACATTCAACCTAGTTGACCATTACACCTATGACTGGAATAGTTTGTAAATGTCTCATTTTATAATCTTTCAGAGACACCCAGCCTTCCTGCAACAGTGAGTACTGACAACATCCTGCTTTGTTTAAGTCAGCGAATTGTTTTTTTCTCTGAGATTAATTTGAACATTTCTCTTTCAGAGGCGGACAAATGGATACACACCGCCACCTCAAGGTCAGACACCAGAAGTACAACCAGGTTATCTCTCACATAGCTGCTCTGTTATATGTACTTGCAGCAAAAATAACTTTAATTTAATGTAGATTTTTACAGATGAAGTATATGAACCAATACCACATACCACAGATTGTACAGCCCAAGCAAGTGTGCAATGCCTGTCCCTAGATTTGCCTTTAAAACACACAAAACTGAACAAGAAACTACATACGAAACAACACAAAATAAAATTATACAATCGGTGGGGGATGAAGTATTCAGATCTTTTACTTTACTAAAAGTGGCAATACAACAGTTTAAAAATACTAAATGATTCAAAATCGTACTCAAGTAAAAGTACAAAAGTCTTAAGTAATTAAAACTACTTATAATTAAGAAGTATACTATTATCGGCAAAAAGTACTTGAAGTGTCAAAAGTAAAAGTATATTATAGTATATTAATACAAAATTATTATTACGCTTGTATGCATGAGCAGCATTTTAATGTTGTAGCTGGTGGTGAAGCTGATTTTAAAGTACTTTATATATTGTTGGCTCGTTCGTAACAATGCACCGTATTTTGTATACTGTGCGTCAGATTCATGTATTAAAAAAATAAAGTATCAAGTAACATAAAATGGAAATGCTCAAGTAAAGTACAAAAACCTAAAAACTGTACTCGAGTACTTTACATCACTGCCTGCAATCATTTTACAGTTACTGCAGCAACATTTCCAAACTCACTCAAGTACTCACAAGCCTTTGAAAGCAGTGTTTCAAAAAAAACAAAATAAAATCAGTTAAATAATTGAAAAAAGATCCTATTGCCTACTGAAAACCATGCTGAAAATGCTGCCAGCTGTTTAATAGCATGTATAGCACATACAAACCTGTCAAAGTTGCATTTTACTCTATGTGATTTGCACCTTCACTTGTCAGCTGTTGCAGCGGCCTCAATATCGGTCACCACTGTGCCTGAAAACCGCGAGCTTCTGCCAATGGACTGCAGTGGATTCAACCCGTACCACAACCCGAATGAAGTGAGGAGGTTTAACATCCAGAGGAGTAACCTGCTGATCGATGAAGTGGAGCTCGGCTCTGGGAACTTTGGCTGCGTCAAGAAAGGAGTCCTGAAGACTGAGTCGTGAGGACTGAAACATTATGAAACATGAACTGTATAGAAGTTTTACTAAAGAAGCCAGTGGCCTCCAGCTGCCACTTGGTCTTGTTCATTCAAAATGTTTTTTGTTTGTTTTCTCTCAGGGGCCAGATTGATGTGGCCATCAAAGTCCTGAAGAACGAGAACGAGAAGCTGGTGAGGGAGGAGATGATGAGGGAGGCAGAGATCATGCACCAGCTGTGCAACCCCTTCATCGTCCGTATGCTGGGTCTGTGCAACGCTGAGAATCTGATGCTGGTCATGGAGATGGCCTCTGCCGGACCTCTCAACAAGTTCCTCTACTCCAATAAGTGAGTTACCACCTCTGATGATTTAGAAATAGTCAATATTAGTATATATTTTGGTACAGATGTTCCTCTTACTTTATATCATACTTAGTAAGGAAAGTGCCCATACTGTAATTCAAGTCACTTTTGTTTACATAGCCCTAAATAACAATTTCTTTCCTTTTTTTTTTTTTTTTTTTGCATGCGATAGTTTTCATTTTAAGTGTTTTTGGATGCTTCATGTGTTGATAGTATCCAGTATTTCACAACACAAAATGAAACGTGTTTTTTTGATGAAAACATTTTTGTGTTAGTATTCTTCTTTCGCATGACTTCAATAATTTTGTGACTCCTCAGATTTATGTAGGACCCCAAGGTTGGGAACACTATCGTCAGACCCTTGATTTCAATCAGCAAAAGTAAAACCTCTAAAAGGAAAAGAGAACATATCCTTCATCGTGGTCTGATAACTGTGACAATCGGTGTTTTTAACCCCATAGGGATACTGTAACTGTGGAGCACATTGTCGACCTGATGCACCAAGTGTCAATGGGCATGAAGTATCTGGAGGAGAAGAACTTTGTGCACAGAGACTTAGCAGCTCGTAACGTCCTGCTGGTCAAGCAACAGTTTGCCAAAATCAGTGACTTTGGGCTCTCCAAGGCCCTCGGAGCAGATGACAACTATTACAAGGTATACAGCAGATTTTCTTCAAGTTGTGGTACTGCAAGACAAAGTGATGCAACTACTAAAGGACAAGAGTGTAGGGATCATCAGCGTTGCAGCTAACGCAAACATGTAAAGCATGTCTTAAATTGATTGCTTTTCTGTTAATTACTGAACTCCCTGCTCACATACAAACCCAAAGGTGTTACCGGCTCTGTGCAAACTAAAGTAAACACTCAGTGGATTTCCTTTTTACGGGTTTATTGATCTACATCTGGAGGGAGTGTCGGGATCAGAAAGTCCCAGGAATTCCAGACTCCAAGAAAATAATATACAACTGAACACTATACTGTATAATTCAAAAATACTTTCATTGTTTGAGGAAATTTTTTTTAATGTGGAGAAGAATTGCATTAAAAATATGGAAATGAACAAATCTTGCAGCATCCTTTGCCCATTCTTTTAAAGCACCCCACGGCCCTTCCCCCTTTAAATACAGTATGTCGGCTCTAATTATCAATACTGAAGTGGGCTGACATGTTGCTTGTTGTCATACATGTTGTGTTGTACAGGCTCGTACTGCAGGTAAATGGCCTCTGAAGTGGTACGCTCCAGAATGTATAAATTTCCACAAATTCTCCAGTAAAAGTGACGTGTGGAGTTTTGGTGTCACCATGTGGGAGGCCTTTACCTACGGAGGGAAACCTTACAAGGTACCAAGTGTTTCTGCAGAGCACCATCAAAGTCATCTATCAGTTGTACATATTAGCTTGAATTGCAGCTCTTTTTGTGTCCCAATTTTGTCTAGAAAATGAAAGGACCGGATGTGATGCGCTTCATTGAGAGTGGCAGCCGCATGGAGTGTCCAACAGCATGTCCAGAGCGAATGTATACGGTGATGAAAGAGTGCTGGACATACAAGTAAGAAACTGATCGTCTGACTCTGCTCTAGATTCCTTTCAAAAGACAGACCTGAGAACAAATTACATCAATATAAGACACAATAGAATTCAGTCGCACAAAGCCGTCATCACACACATACACTCATTAAAACAGTCACAGGTATGATTAAATATATTACACAGTAGACCTTCAAAGTCCCTCAGAAGAATTAATGTCTATACCTTCAGCATAGTACTGGAAAACAGTATTGCCCAGTTCATGAAATTGAACTAATGCATCCTGTGATCTGGTGTCATGGTTATCTGAGGAGATACTGTATATTGCTTTTTTGGTTTTAAAAAGTGAAACATGCTCTGTTCTGGTATAAGAATCCAATTTGAATGTTTTTGTGAGTGAGTAAGTAATGTGAGTTCAGTAAGACAATCTGCTATCTACAAATTCCTAAGTACGTAAATTACAATGCTGTGTTGTATCTAATAGATTTCCATTAAGGCTATGGCTCAGAACATTAAAGCTCTGTTCTCTTGTATAATAGATACATTATTTTTGTCATTACTCTTTTTAAGATTAACAAAAGAGGTTTGGAGGTTGTTAAAAGACTGTAACCTGAAGAAGATTTGCGGTAGAGCTGATGACACACAACACGTTATCGTCAGTATATGAATGACAATGTAATTTTTAGCTGGAAAATAAACTGTTGATTTGAAAACAGTCTGAAATCTAGAGAGATACGATTTGAACCATGGATGGTAAGATGTTTATTTAACCAAAATATCATGATCAGCAGTATAAGGAGGCTTGAGGCAAATCTTATCAAGCGAGTTAACAGTGTCAACCACAACAGCATGAGCAGCAGCTATCGTGTCTGCAGAACATCATTTCCCTCAGTCAATGATGCAGAGATACAGACAAATCACCATGTAATATGTTACATTTGAGATTCTGTCAGTGTCAGACAGATCTGTGACTTCTTAAGATATTTTGGGATTGCCTTCCTTTAATCATAACCGTTCAAACAACCCTCCTCTCTCTCACCAGGCACGAGGAGCGTCCTGACTTCAAGAAGGTTGAGGAGTCCATGAGGTCTTACCATTACTCCATATCCAACAAGGCCAAGCCCGAGGGAGCTGCAGCCACCAGCGAGCCTATCAAGTAGACAGAAACAAAGCACATTCTGTCCCAGTGCTTCACAAAGCATCCTTTCAACTGCCCATTAAACAACCAAAACAAAGAGCTTTTTATGAACGGCACACACTGACAAGCTTTGACTACAGTTCTCATACAGCTAAACAGGCCTCACTGACAATAAATGTGCATTTGTAAATTGGACTTAAGTGCGTGTGCGATGTAAGGAGGTTCTCAATTTGTCTGTCTGTCTGTGGTGGTTTAAATGTTGAGAGTCAACCTCCCTATAATGGGAGTATGTGGTACATGTAAATGTTTTTTTTCACTTCACTTCATCGTTTTTATGCCAAACCAATATAAGTAGCAATAAACTGATACCTGTACACTTTAACTGTGTTCTTTTAACATTCCTTGTGAAGTCAGTGATCAAAGGTAAGATTTTGGTTTACTTCAGCACAAAGTTGACCCGAGTTCATAATCAGGTAATGCATGCATAATTATTGTAGTTATTTTTATTTTAGACACCTCGGAGTAAAAACAACAAACCATATATAATAATGTAACGATATAATCATTACTCTTATTGTTTACAGAGGGATGACCCAAACATTTTAAAAGGCCTCAAGATGAATAGATAAAACCAAATCTGTAACTGTATTAATCATGTAAAAGAATATGGGAAATAACCTCCTAGAAACACGCCTTGTGTACATGTGCAGAACACTACATCTAGACAATCAGCATTGGAAAAGCACAGGGCAGATTTGATGTACTTACTTAAAATATTCTCCCAAAATAAAAGGCACAAGTAGAAAAGTTTACTAAATTTTAAGAATAAATAAATCCATTTTGGATGTTTTGTGTAGGACTAAGTAGGTATATAATCAGTATAAATAAAAGGAGCAATATGGTTTGAATTACATATTCATCTTGAATATTTTAAACGTCTTTAATTAAAGTGGTCTAATTTAAAGTGGTTTATATTGACCGTGGTATTAAGTAAAAGTCAGGCTCCCATTGCCTTACAGTCACAATCTGTATCAAAGGATGTACTTCTGAGCTGCCAGGCAACAACTGAAGGGCGCGCCAAACCCGGAAGTTGATGGATTAGTCAAAATAATGGCGTAAAGTTTTTACAGAGTAAAACCTCAGGCCTTCAAACTGACATTTTAACTAACCTTTCATCTAATTTAATGGACATAGATACATGATGTGAAATAATTTTGTGGGAAAGAAAAGCAGTGAAGTCGTTGCTTTGAACATATTGTGCTTGATCATATAATTTCAGTATGGTGCTTACTAATTATAACTGAATAAATGTTGCATTACATTACGCTGGTCAAAGAGGTACCTTGTTTTGAAGGTTCCGACCGGAAGTTAACACAAACACCTCTAACTCGACACTGGTGTACTTTTCGTTTGGTAGGGAGGAGTCAGACGATAGTTTCTTTATTAAAGTGGCATGTTTATTAAATTACCAGTAATTATACAACATGTATCGCTCCACGTGTCCATAATGTAGTCTATGCATGTTGTTGACGTAAAGCTATTGTTTGGTAGTCAGATAATTTTCGTTAAAAAAAGAGAAACTGACGGAACAGGAAGGCGGAACAAGTAAGTTCGTGAAAGTGTCTCTCAACCGTTTCATCGTCCGTCTGAGATAGTGAATGTTTTTACACGGTTTTTATGTACGATGTGAATTACGTATAAATAACGCGGGTTGCTCCCGTGTTGTTTGTGTCGTTAGCTTCTTTACAAAGCAACAAGTCCGACGGAGCTAGCTTGTCACGTAACAAATAAACTTAGTACAGTCGTCATGTGCCCTGCTGTTTAATCTCTCGGCTTTTACGTCCCTTAAAGTGTGCTAAACACGATGTAAAGTCCGCAATGTTGGGACGATAAGAACGCCGATATTTGGATAAAGGTACAATCAAACCCATCGATGCCCTGTTGTATTGGTGACAGACGTTTTGAATTGTTTTTTATTGTCATTCCGCAGATTCTTGGTTTCACGGCGGAGTTAGTAGGTGAAATAGGAAATGACTCATGTTCACTTTGAGTTGATGTTTCATCTGTGATGCTGCTGTCACTGTTCAGACTTGTTCTCCATGATGCTCAAGCAAAAGATCAGTTCACGTTCCCAGTAATGAATTTGTCCTTTTCTCACCATGTAGTTAGTAAATGAGATAATAAAATGTTCTGTATTTAGTGATAATCATTAGCTCTCAGGTTTATTTATGTTCTTGTACCATACATGTATGGCTTCATCTTTATGCCACCTCTCATGATTGTTATGATTTATATTTTAACAGAAGGTAGGTGAGGGGTTTATATTTCTGCTGCCACATCTCTACAAGCAATTTAAGCTGATGGAAAAAAACTGGGACACAGATGCTATTGTTGTGTAATTTTCCATCCAGCTCTGATGTATCACATGTTTAATTGGATCGTAACTTTTTTTTTTATCATCAATTAATCATTTAAGTCATTTTTAAAGTTGAAATGCCAACTATTACCTAGTTCAGACAGATTAGCTGCTTTTGTTTTGGACTCTAGGAAATTGAAGTGATGGACGGTTATCTTTATTTTCTGACATGTGATAGAACAAATGATTACTTGATAAAATAATCAGAAGAATAATAAATGATGAGAATAGTAGGGATGTGCCGATACCAATATCAGCTCAAATACCTGGATCGGATATCAGTGACAACGCGATAATCTGTTTTGATCAATTCTATGTGTCTGTGCTATAGACATAAATCATATACGGGGATTTATGTTCCTGTTTAGGTTTTGACCAATTGGTTGCTGCATTAAAAGATCACACTTGAATTGTAATTCTTGTTAATTTTAAAGATATTTTTTCCCACGTTGCTGAGCACCATTTATTATTTTGATAATAGATAACAGTATTTATGTATGTATTTTTGTTTTATAAAGTCAGGAAAGCAATGCTTAAGTTGGGCCTGATGTTGCTTTACACATAAACGAATGATCACAGTCTCCTCCATATAGTGAGGCATACAGCTTATCAATGTAACACTGGTATCCGTTCAGTAGTCTGTGTGGGCCGATACCCCAAAACCCAGGTATTGTATCAGTATCAGTACTGAAAGAGTTGGATGGGTGCATTCCTAGAAGCCATAGATTGCAATGTTTTGTAAAATATAAAGAATAAGTGGTACCCTAAAATCAGGCTTGACAGAAAGTATGCGCTAAAGTGAAAATTTACATTTTTATATTTATTAATCAAACTCTGTCCCTTTCTTTCTCTCCCCTCTTTTAATCATATGCAGGATCACAGACTGAGTCGAAGCAAAGACCAAAAGAGTGTCCGTAACATAATTTCTGCACTGGTTTGTTTACACAACCTTTTGACTGCTTCTATTCCAAAAGCATTCAAACAAATTGTCGGGCGCCACCACATGCAACCATGTCCATGGCCCTGAAACAAGTCTTCAACAAAGACAGGACATTCCGGCCCAAGCGCAAGTTTGAGCCGGGGACGCAGCGCTTCGACCTCCACAAGAAGGCACAGGCGTCTCTGAACGCGGGGCTGGACCTGAAGCAGGCCGTGTCGCTGCCCCACGGCGAGGACCTCAACGACTGGGTGGCCGTCCACGTCGTCGACTTCTTCAACCGCATCAACCTCATCTACGGCACCATCAGCGACTCCTGCACCGACCAAACCTGCCCCGTCATGTCCGGCGGGCCCAAGTACGAATACCGCTGGCAGGATGAGCACAAGTACAAGAGGCCGACGGCACTGTCGGCCCCCAAGTACATGAGCCTGCTCATGGATTGGATTGAGGTACAAATCAACAATGAGAACATCTTCCCCACCAACGTAGGTAAGTGTCGAGATTAGCTTCGGATTGTGCGTTAAGAATCCGTAATTTTCTATTCATTTCAATCCAGGTTTTGTGGGTCTTCTAAAAGAGAAACTGTATCTTAGTTGTCAACTTCCAAAAAATCGTACTGTAAAGGTGGTGAACTCTTCATTTATAATGTCCACACAAATGTCACAAACACTGCAGTGAGCAGCCATTACCGTCATTGTCAATTAAGCTATTTCAGTTCATTATCTGCTCCATAATATGTCACCATATAATCAGCGTCCATCCCAAAAGCTCAATGTCAAGTCCACTTTTTTTCTGTAGCACATTTCATACATTATAACATGCAACACAATGTTGCTGATTAACCAGAGTCGAACCCCACAGCGGTGTTCAATTCGTAATGATTCAGATTGAGACAGTTGAGATGCTGTAATCCAGTGGTTCCCAACCTGGGGGTTACATGGTGATTTAACAAAAGAGGAAAGCTGAAAAGAACATATTTATGCTACACAGTTATGCTTATTTTTTTAGATGTCCTTCTAATGTTTGCTTTTTGTCATGCAAAATACTGTATTATTTAGATTTTTGGTCACAACTGGTAGACATATGCAACAGAGATTGTTCAGTTTTAAAGGGTCACAAATCAATAAAGTTGGAACCCCTGCTATAACGTGGTCAGTCACACGAAAGACCAAAAACAAAAGCCACTTAAATGATTAACGTGTAAGTAATACAAAGGATAATGAGTGACGGCATTTCAAATCTGAAGAGTGTTTTGCTGTAACCAAAAGATGTTTTAGATTTAATCTGCGAGGCCACATTCATGACATTACTGAGATTGTGGCACATTGCAAACACTACAAGTTAATCTTCCGATGCTGTGGCATTCTCTCCGTCTCCTTATCTCAGTCTGGAGCTCTGTGCATGTGTGCTGTGGCCTCGTCATCTCACTAACTACAGAAACATCCAAGCAATGGGTTTAGAAACGGGTCACACGACATACAGGAGGCTATGAATAGAAACGACCTCTGATGCGCGTGTCCTCCGGAACAGATTCCTGAAATATTATAGAATTACTCAAAGCAAAACGACATACTTAATGAATCACTTGGTGAGAGCAGAGGCTTATCCCCCAGACCAAGTCGTGTTCGTTTTCCATTCATGCATGAAGTAACCCTGGCTGGGTCCTTCTTGGCATGCTGGTATCGAACCTGAGCAACTCCAGAGGACAAAGAAACACAGTGAAAAGTTAATCTCTGTTCAAATGTTCTGTAGCTATTGCATGAAATGTATCATTATTTCAAATGTGTTCCTTTCTGCGAAGCAATTAGCATAAGGTCATCCTGGATTGACCGCGGTGTGCTCCCGTCTCCATCTGTTTGACTCGCAGGTACTCCCTTCCCTAAGACCTTCATGCAGGTGGCTAAGAAGATTTTGTCTCGTCTGTTCCGGGTGTTTGTCCACGTCTACATCCACCATTTTGACCGCGTGAGCCAGATGGGGGCCGAGGCTCATGTCAATACCTGCTACAAGCATTTCTATTACTTCGTTACTGAGTTCAACCTCACGGACCACAAAGAGCTGGAGCCTCTGGTGAGTCAAAAGAGGGAGGGGGGGTCTAACAAAAATGTTTTTTTAAAAGCTTTGATATGTTTTGAAATAATGGAATTTGAAATGCTCTACCAAAAACTAGTTAAACTATGTGGACGAGTCGTTTTCTCAAACCAATAGAAGGTGTTTGATCTTTTGTCTGAAGAAATGAGTGTCAGACATGCATTAAAGTGCTAAATACAAAAAATAGAGTTTGACAGGATTTTTAATGGGACTATTGAAATGTGAGTGTTTAAAAAATCTCAACTGAACCAATTTTTAATGACTTTTTTACACGCAACATAAAACCTTTTGATAAATACTTGGCGGTACATCTAACGGATGATAAATAAACTTGTCGGTGTCCTCTGATGGACAAACAATATAATTGAGACACTGTTTCAAAATGACTCATCGACCAACATACAGTATATGCCAATACTGACATACTCCTGATGAGCTAATATTAGTCTCGCATAGCTCCATCTCTTTAAATCAATCACAATCATCTTGGGGGGCGCTAAGCACAGGATGAAGCGACGCTACTCCTGCACAATAGATAGCGGAAGGGGTGCAAAATGCAGCATGAGATAGATGACCAACAGCAGGCTTATACCTACAGTCTACTGCTGGTGAGGCAGTCTAAGCTTATATAGATAGTAAAGTAGTAATAGTGGGTAAAGCTCTGTCCTACGTTTAAGTTTACATTTAATAACTTCCTCTCGCATTCATTTTAAGACTTTTATCTCTGATCAAAACCAACACTGGACTTGTGGTCCGTGCAGGAGCTCTGTAACGGGACCCTGACTGAGGACCTTTGGTTCAAAGATACATTTATGTCTGTTTACCAAATGTTACCTATTTAAACAACACAATTGTTGTCAGGATCAACAAGCTTTAAATGAGCTTACGCATACTTAATGAACCTGCTCACTGTGTGTTGACATTTTGAGGAGCATTCCCTTCACTGCTCTAACTCCCTGTTCTGTGCTCATTGTGTCTGCAGAAAGAGATGACCTCTCGAATGTGTCACTGAGGGAACACAACTGGCCGGCCGACACGCGCCAGACGAACGCATCCGTCCACCGAGAAGACTGCAGAACTAAGAGAACAAACAAATTTAAAAAAAAAGAGTCTATTTTTATATTTAAGTACTGTAATCTATTTTAGCCACATACTGTAGGTTTTAACCTCGTCAGGTGAGGCATTCTGTTCCTTTTAAGAAAAGTTTTCAAACATTTTATCACAGTATTAATACGTGTATGTTTGTGTTGATGTTTTTCTATTTTATTTGAATCTCAATCATTCCAGGATGCTTTTCTCTTTCTGTCTCTCTGAAATTATCTGAAATTAGTATGATTCTTTCTTACTGTCCTTCTAAAAAAAATCACTATGTTATTATAAAAAATGATCCTCCACTCTGTTATAAATTGAATTTGACAATCGGTATTTAATGAACTCTGAAGCTAACAGTACTGGGCTACTGCCCACCTAATCTATTGATTCTTTCTCCCAGGTTTTACTGACAAACATCTGAACATCTGAATGCAGTCATTTGGTTTTTGTATCAGTCAGAGAATGTATTATGTACAAATGTTACAATAAGAAAAATACATTTTTTTTTCTGTTTCTGTGAGTATTTCTTTTATATTTTGGAGACCATTTCATAAATTTAAATAAATGTGGGGCTTGGTACCATTCACATAAAAGTTATACACACATTTATAAATGAACTCAGAGTAGAGTAATGGCCTGCTGGTGACTCAAGTCTGAGTCATTGCACACGTTGGGCCTCTGGCCACCAGGACGGGTCTCAGATCACAAACCTGCAGGTGTTTGCTGCAGATACGCTCTGCAGCTGAAGGTCACACGAGACTCAAACCTCACACGCCAACGCTCTGGTGGCAGCACATGTTTAAAAGACTAAATCTTAAACTGTCCACTGGGTGGCGTCAGACACCAAAACCCATTTGTGCTGAGGAAATGACTGTAATACTACAGTTTAATGTTGTAAGCTTTATGCAGTCTGCCCAATGCCCCAGTTATTGTCATGAAGAGGGGAAGTGGAGCCTTTCTAGACCTGATTCGAGTTAATGATTCGATTGAAGTGGTTGTGCAAGAAACAGGCCAGACTGTACTGTGATGAATGCACAGAGACTTTTTGTTTTGAATGAGTCTGGCTCTGCATGGTTGGTCTGGTTTAGATGCAGTTATTGGTCATAATGGTTTGGATTATGTAAATAATGTTCAGCAATCTTGTACACAAGAAACACCCATATGTGTAAAAAGTATTCTGACCCAAATAACAATAATAGTCCATTACAAGTAAAAGTCCTGCATTCAAAATGTTACTTGAGTAAAAGGTACAGAAGTGTGATCAACATAATTTGCTTAAAGTATTAAAAATACTCATTTTGAAGATGAATTTGATTATTTAATATGTAATTCTGCATCTATTTGTTATAAAGTAAATATTCTGATTTCTGATACGACCCAGCCTAACTGACGCATAACAATAGAAGAACTACGCAACGTTTTTACTTCAGTAAACGTACCAATACAACAGTGTAAAAATACTCTGTGACAAGTAGAAGTCCTGCATTCAAATATTTATTTGAGCAGATAAGTAGTAGCAGCAAAATGTACTTGAAATACCAAAAGAAGTACTCATGATGCAGAGTAGCCCATTTAAGAATAATTTACATCACATTATTGAATTATTATCATTGCTTTGATGTATTCATCACTTAAGTGTTGCAGCTGGTGAAGGTGGAGCTCATTTTAAATACTTTTACTTTGTATGCTGTTTAATCTATGATAATGCACCAGAATTTATATATTGATCATATTTTATATTTATAATCTGAATCTGCAAATTAACTAGTAATTAAGCTTGTCAAATACAAATGAGATGTATTGGGGTAGAAGTATAAATTAGTATAAAAATGGAACTAGTCAAGGGAATTACAAGAAGCTCACAATTGTACTTAGGAACGTTTAAATGTTCTTCGTTACATCCCATCACTGTCAGTAAATTCACAATGATATTTGACATGTTATACAAATGTCAATGAACCAACATGATGTAACTATCTGCCCCAATAACAACCGCTGAAATGACCTCATTGCCTGCTGAAACCTGATCCTCTTACCGGATTGTCCCTCCTCTCTATGTCCTCTCAGAGGAGTCACTTCCTCCGAAACTCCCCCCTCCCTCCCCCCGCTCCCTCTGCTGTGTTTTTCCTCTTCTGGAACATACCAGACTGCTCCAGAAGGGGTTGCAAGACAAGAAGGAAAGTACTGGAAAGAGGCCAAGTACAAAGGGGAGGGGTTACAGGCTGCAACCAATCAGACGGGAGCTTCTCGAACCCTGTCAGGGTTCACACAGTACTGTCTGCCTGTTGTTTTGATGGTGCAGTGTGAACATTTACACGTAGAGAAAAGGGTTTGGGAGACAATGTGACTCAGCAAACATTGAAATGGGCAACACACCCTTAACGGTTTCGTGGCTTGTGAGTCAGTTGCCTCGTGTAGAGATGCAGCTGGTATAAGGAGGAAGAGTCGTCATGATTTTAGGGGCCCACTGCTGAAGACGACGCACAAAAGTCACATTAAGATGAGGACTTATTCAAGTGGGGGACCCGTGGAAAGTATTGGTCCAACCTAAGCCCATGCCCTCTTTAAATAATGAATCATTAATATTGTTTTCTTATGCAGAAATGCCAAACATTTGCTTATGCCAGCGCTCCATGAATCTGCTGATTTTCATTGTCTTATGCTAAATTCAAAATGTGTCATGGACAAAACAAACTAATTAAAGGTGTCAGCTACTGTCTGATGTCGAACAGGCCAAATGACTTTATTGAGTAGAAATAATTAGAAGATTAACAAACACTGAAAAATAACTGTTAGCTGCAGCTCTGAGTGTCACAGTGCTCCATTAGTCCTATAGTGCAATAACATCAACGTGTGACATGATGAAAGCCCCCTCTCTCCCTCTGTAGAGATATGTTTACATGACCATAACTTTTCCATCCCTTGTGTGTAACTTTCTAAAACAGAGTGCACCAGTGATGATTTATTTAAACTCTAAAACGTTCAGGAATGACCAAACATCTCAGCTGTGTGCGGACTAGAAACAGATTTCCGTTAAAAACATTATTCATTTCAAAATGCTGTGTTATGTATGTTTACGTAAAACAAGACCGCACTTCAAAAAAAAAAAAGCGGTCAAAAGGTTTTCCAGAGAACAACTGGAACAAAGTCGGAATAAAACAAAGGCTGTTGCAAAATCCTTGGTAACTCTTTCTGTGTTAAAGGAGTTCTGCTGAATCAGGGATTCATGTCAGCGCTTGTTACTGTTTACATGAATCATGGATTCATGTCAGTGCTTGTTGTCTTTCTACTGTAATACTTGAAGCAAATACATTTTTTACTAGGGGTTAAGTTTGAGTGTTTTCCAGACTGCAGGCTACTTGTTTCTAAGAATTTTGTTCTGGGAATGGTTCCTAGAACAGGTTCGCCTCAGCAGCCTGCGGTGCTGCAGCTTACTGGAGACAACGATGCACCTTATTATAAGCGTAGAAGACGGTTGGCTGCTTATAGCTCACTCTTTTCGGGCATAGTTTTATTTGGACATGCCAGACATGTGCCTTTCATGAATACATTCGCAGTTAAGACAACATTCTTCTTCACATGCACAGATGCATGTTGCGTGCGTAGCACTGTACTGTTTACAATAGATATACAGGAATGTTTTTGCAACAAATCCTGCTGTTCAGGCTGAAGTTCATTTCACCAATCAAAAATGATTTCCAGCCATTAAAGCATGTTTGGTGTAGCTTTTTATGACATGGTCATATAGCTGTAGGCTTCGACTATTTATATGAGGACAGCAGAATTTAGGGGCTATTATTATCACCTTAAACTTAAAGTTTTCTACTACTTAATAGCTTCAAGGTTTCTGACAGTATCACATATATTCTCTAGCTCTCCATTAAAGCTACATGACGATTACACTGAGAGAAGTATTAAAACGTAAGACTCTATATTTGTTATGGCTGCACCATTGTATTCAGATGTGAATATTGTACCGTACTTTTTTCGTCCATGATTTGGTATCTGAGGAACATTTGGGACCTCAGCTGCAGAGTTTAAAACAATTTGAACAATGTTTGTATGCACCGCATGAACTTATGCTGACTGGCCCAAAGAGGATTGCATGGTGAAACATGTGCAGAGCAATTTTGAAATGTATTGCGTTCAGTTGCGGTACTGTACTGGAATGTGAAACACTAACTGTATGAGAATGCTATTCATAAAACACAGTGGAAATGACGCAGATGCACACATTCACTGAGACAGATAACAACAACACAATATATTGGTTGAACAAATGTATCTGAGGTTGTTGCCACCTGAAGTTATGATGGCCTTTCCCTCTTCCTTTTAACCGATAGTGACACAGGCCCGCCCCTTGCACTTGGGATCTTGTTTTCCTACCAAACTGACTACACCATGTGCTCCTAGCTGGGGATAGTCAGCCAACAACTTGCGTAATGTTTGCTGCCACTGGGCTTATGTTTTAAGGGTAGAAGGTGAAAGGAGGAGGAGAGGCAGAAAGCCTCTGGTCACAAGACAGTTGAGTCCTGAAAACAACCCGTACATGGTTTTAACTTGGAACACCTTTGATAAACAATACATCACCGCTATACAGAGCAGGTATAGCAGGACAAGGGATTATGTGCAGTGATAAATGGTTAACAAAACAAATCAAAGAGAACATGCTGTACAGTTTGACCACAAAGCACATGGTACAATAAAGCATTGACACTTCTTGGCATATGATGCAACATGTAGTCATTTTCTGATATCTGTATCTGGACTTAATTGAGGCGGGGATTCTTGGAAAATAATTATCTAATTAATAAGAGCTAACAAAGGGTTTTGCCATCTCACTACTGTGCTTCTGTCAAGTTACCATTGCCTTTTAATCTCTGAAAATACTGTATGGATTTGTCATGTCTGTGGCAATATTGCATTGGCATCTCACAATTAGCCGATGGGTGAAGAGAGCACAAGTTTCTACATCATCAGAGTTCTTGGATTTCTTTCATTATCACAACCATGTGACAGCATCTTCACCCTCGTCTGAACAGCCTCCCCGTGGCTCCAAAACGGGCTTTGTCTGCCTTGTCACACTTCACAAAAGGTGTGTTTGTTTGTTGCGCAAATAGACTTAAGATCTATCAAAGTTAGTCTGATATATATATATATATATATATATATATATATATATATATATCCAAATATTGGAGATTAATTTCCAGTTGCAACCAGTAATCAGTGCAATCCAGTATTATAATATAACTGACAGGAGTCATTCTCCCTGCATTGTGAGAACTTTTGATACTGGTTCATGTTGTACTTCATAAAAATGTATAGTGCAAGACTTTTACTTGTAGAGACGTATTTTTCATTGTTTATATATTTAATGCAACAAAAAGCTGTTCTTTTATCATTCTAGCTCCTTAACTTTAGCTCCTATGTAATGTGGCCTTGACGTCCAGTGCAGCCAGTACAGCAGCACAAAGTTATTGTGACTAAATTTAAACTGGTGTAACTGGTCTGTCTCTCTCCACCTTCATTGAGATGTCTTTAGTCGGTACATGCGTGGGTGCCTACCGTCTTGATGTGCACGTACACGCCATTTCTTTCCCCTATACATCCTATGCTGAGGCCCCCAGAACGGAACAGAGCTCACTGGCTGGGTCCCATTTCGTGTGTATTACCATCTTTGTTTCCCAGACCTTTTCCTGATTTACGGTCAGATATTCGCCCAAGTTGAAATTAAACTACTTAAGTTACCTACTTTATGAAGTTATTTCTTATTGTATGACTTCTGTACCACGTTGAGCAGCTATTTATGCTTCTTACCTCGAAAAGAGGTAAAAGTATTGCAGAAAAACGAAATGGTACGCAGCCGCCATATCCGTTTCCAGAAAGCACGTGACGCTGCCATTCTGTTGATGCGGTCCTGCGGAGGGAGGAGACTAGGAGGAGTCAGCAGGGAGGTTATAAAAACACCTCTGCTGTTACTTCTTTACCACCTTCCACGCACTCACTATCAGGCCTATCCCCCCTCGACCGTCCTCTGCGGCTTGTGAAGCAGCGGGTCAAACAACGACGCTAACACTGGAGCTATAAAATTAACAACGGGGTGAGTAAACAAAACATTTTTTTTTTTTTGTGGAGCAGTTATTAATTGTGTCACTTGTTTTTCAAAATGTCAAATATAACAGTTATTCTGGCAACACTACAGTGACGTCACAGTATTAATGGTCACTAACATTTGTTAACTGACGGTCAAGTTAAATCTGTCACTACTTGGAAGTGTCGCGAGCTTGTTAATGTTATCTAAACGGCTGTAGCGCTGCAGCGGCCTTCCTGCGGCTGTTGAAGCAGATGCTACCGTCATTGTTACACTAAAAACAGCGTGGCTTTCCGATATATTTGCTTATCTTACCCACACTTTAGTATTGTAATGAGTGATATCTTACATCTTCTCAACTTGGCTTATTTAAATTTCTGTAACCAGTTTAACGGTTACGCTAAACATGGGTTCCACTGTAATGGTAGCTAGCTAGCTGTTGCTGTTATTGCACTCTGATTGTTTTTATTGTGATGACTATCAGCTAGCGTTAGTCTGCCGTGGTCAGGTTTAGTATGCTAAGCATGTATTTAAACTCTGTTATCCAAGTGCTCTGTTCTGGTGATGTGGTTGTAACGCTGCGGTGTGTTTTTTTTGTATCGTGCTCAGGGCTCCCGTATAAAACGCCGCAGCAACCGGACCAGACAGTGCAGTGTGACCACTTGCGACTCTCTCTGAAACGACTTTCTGTTTTTGGAGAAGTGTAAATTGGTATAACCAAAAAAAAACACTGCCGCCGCATATCCGTCAAAAACACCCCCCATCCAAAATCGAAGCAAATATGGTGCAAAATAAGATCGCCGAAGTCACTGGATTCCACCGCTCTTTCAAGGTGAGTTTGAGAATAGTTGAGGATGAAAAAGCAGAGCTGCTATCATCTTGCCTTTTGGGAACTCTCTATAATCAGAGCACATTTGTCAGCATGTATGAGAGGACCTCACCTCGCTATATATAAACACATCTGTCGCTCTCCCATGTCTTATGGCCGATGAATATGCTGTGTGGCCTGGTCTCATGTTCAGTAAAGTGTGACATCACTTGGCAATACTTGTTTAAAAAGTATCGGCTCTTTTCCTGTTTTGAGTCAACTTCCAGTTTATGGTTTAAGGATGAGAGGTAACGAAGGCTCTTATCAGTTATGACTAACTATTGATAAGTTTGCGTGCTTTAACAAGCACATATTTTTCATTATTTTCTAGGGCCAAAATCCCTTTGAATCTGACGACTTCACCAAAAATGGATCCCATCTTATGGATTCATTTAATTTTGATCCAAGACATGGTGAGTATTTTAACTTAAGTGTTTCTATAACTTGTCTTTTCTGTGATGATTGTCAATGTTATCTACAATGCTTTAGTTGCAATAATTACCCAGCTCATTCCTTTACTTTCAACACTGTTACATTTTGTTTTCCCTTTTAGTGTGTTCTTTGAGTTTTTATGTTTGGGTTGTTTTTCACTAGCACATGATAATTTAGGCACTCCTATTTCGACAGACATGCCCTCCAGCCAGCCTATCGACATCCCCGATGCCAAGAAGAGAAACAAGAAGAAAAAGCGTTGCAGGGCAACGGACAGTTTCTCTGGACGATTCGAGGGTAAAAGCTTTTATTTCCAGTATCATAATGCAGAAAAAAAACTCTTCATAAATCATTGTATGGTGCACAATGAGAGATTCTGCTCAGTATTTTCCTAACATGTGAAACTCTGCTCCAGATGTCTACAGGCTGCATGAAGAGTTACTAGGCGAGGGGGCTTATGCCAGAGTGCAAACATGCTTCAACCTCATGACCAACAAAGAGTATGCTGTCAAGGTAAGAAAGCAGTCATTCTAACACACTTAAATGCATGACCTTGTTGTGTTTGAAAAACATTAGCATGATGCATGCCGTCTTCATTCCTGCAAGTCGGTGCTTCTGTCTCACGAGTCTGTGAATGTCGTCGTTGCCACATAGCACTCGCCTGTTGTCTGTAAGGGGTACCATGGCTAGTGATCAATATAGGGACGTGACATTTCTAAGACTGCGCTTGGTTAAATTTTAGATGAGTAGAAAGAAGTGCTAAGTGTAGTAAAACCCTACTGCGGGATGCGTGTCATTGTGTCCATGTTTACTTGTTTTCTCTGGTCATTCTTTAGAAGTCTTGTTGAGGATTAGGATATTTATTTTTCTTAAGCTTTCTAAAGTGGATGTCTGCAGGCTCTCATCTGTGTTGTGCTACTGTGGCTTTCTTTTCTTTTTTTTTTTCTTTTTTTCTGTGAGTAGTTGCTGTTAGACACTTCCCCCTCAATGTTTTTACAGATGGCCAGCCTATCACAGAGCTGGGAGGAATACACCCACCCCTTTTTTCTCTTTACTGTCATTGCCTACAGAGGACGCTCGTTGTGAGAACATAATGTACTGGTTACTGTGCAAAAACAAAACCCACATAGAGCAGAAGGAGGGGCGCTGAGTGAGGGTGTTTATGTGACCCAGGGTGTTTATACTGCTTTGTTCTTTTTGCTTGGTACAGGTTTTTTTGCGTCAATGGGCTGTGGACTTGTGAATACACGACTTGACTCCTGCAGACTTCCTCTTTTCTGCTTCATATATCTATCTATCTATCTATCTGCTCATTTTTAGGAACAAAACATTGTGAAATGGTATTCTTTGCTGAAAGTAGGACTGTGGCTTGTTTCTTTTGTAAATTCTTGGCCCACTAATCCCACACTGTGGATAAACACAACGCTTTTTTTTTTTTTTTTTTTTTCTCTCTTAAAACTTCGAATTAATTGCTATTTGCGGTTAAATTCTGTCAAAGTTTGAGAAGAGGTGTTGACAGGTCAAGGCTGGTTCCCCATAGGACAAGTGTCCATGTCATACCAATTAATATTTCAGAGGAATCTGAGCACGGGTTCTGTCATGCGACTATGATCTGTTAGTGTTGTTTACCCGGGGAAGGTTTGGTAGATCCCTTGGGACTTTGCAGTTCTGGGGGAGGAGGCCGTTATTGGAGGTCATTTAGGAGTCTGAGGGGGCTGCTGCCAGATGTCCCGTCTCTCCCCTCCCCCTCCAGACTGGGGTGAGTTGTATGTGTGGGCTCCCTGTGTTGCAATTGCAACAAAAGCCTCGGCGCACCAAGAGTGAGGGCCTGTACAGTGTGTGTGTGCCTATCTGAAGCTCTTTTTCACACACAAATCCTTCTCCTTAAAGGTATTATTTCCCAACCCGTGGTTGGTGATTGAACATGCAGCATGACTCAGTGGGGCCTTGGTTTGCAGCAGCTTGTTGTGAGCTTTTATTTGGAAAAAGTCATCAATCTAGTACTTCTCTAATAACCGACTACCCACTTATCATGTTGATAATTGCATTTGTCAGCTATGTTTTGCAGTTTCTTCTTTATCTGCGTGGCATTATCAGCGAGCTGATTGGGGGGCCGTTTGTGCTGCTGACTCAGACTGGAACAGTGCTGAGGCTTTGGGCTGCTCACAGGCCTCTCGTCTGTCTATTAATCCTAGACACACACTGCAACTCTGGCCCCAATGGGCTTCAATAGCAGCTGTAATCCAGCTACCAGGAAGAGAAACAGGCACAGACTCCCAAGCAGACAATAACTAACTAGGACTGGAAAATTCAGGGTTTTTGCTTTGGTGTCAGCAGTCTATCTTTCTGTCTCTCTTGGCAGGGCATCGTGCAGCTGGTGGCCCCATGGGGGTTTAGTTCAAGGCAGCACAAAGTTATATTTAGTGATCATTTTTTGTTTATCGTAAATAGTTTTGGATTAGCCTATGAGATGTTTCAAAGAACATGCATGGCTCCTTAAGAGCACTTAGGATTTAAATATAGGTCACAGATGAAGGGCTAAATATAGAGATGCCGTGGCTTGTTAACATTCTCATTCTGTTGTCTCTGCTTTGGCAGGCAGTACTGGAAGTAGGTTAAACTGTCTTTAGAACTGTGTCACAGGTTGGGATGAAGGTAGGAATGCAGTGACGTGCTGGACTGGTCTGGAAGGAAACTAGCTCCAGAGCTCGGTATATGAAATGTATGCCCTGTGCTATACAGTAAACACAACCACGGGTGGAGTTTTGTGGTGCAGCGCGAGTGGCTGGCCTTCACCAACAGGAAATAAAATTCCTGTATGCATGTGTACATTGAACATATCGAGACTTATTGGTGCGTCTCTACATTTTTCACAGTTGTGATCATCCTACTGCTGTGAAAAATATGGAAGTCAGACTCATTTCTTTTCGGGAGAGTATATTTGGATAAAATGACTGAACTTATGTTCTGTTACAGATCATAGAGAAGAGACCGGGTCACAGCCGTAGCCGTGTCTTCCGTGAGGTTGAGATGCTCTATCAGTGCCAGGGCCACAGGTAATGTCCTTTAGTCATGACCAGCTAAAGTAATGCCAACTGATGAATGTATGGAGACAGCGCCACAGACTCACTGACGGATCCGGTTTGTGCTGAATCTAAATTCAGTTGAAGCCTCGTAGCCCTCTTCCTCCATAGTGTATAAATCAACTTAAATGCTCTCAAGATGACTGACAGTGGCTCATAGTGCTCTCTTCTATTCTGTAGTAATATCCTGGAGCTGGTGGAGTTCTTTGAAGAGGAAGACAAATTCTACCTGGTGTTTGAAAAGCTTCGAGGAGGTTTGTATTATAGCTGCTGCAGGATGCCTGCATCCGATCTTTGTTTCTAAACATCACCTTAATGCACGTGTCAGTCTCTAGTCTGTAGACAGTTGTTTATGTGTGAAAGCATTCATTCTCTTTTTTTTACTTGCAAATAGAGCTGATATGCTCATTTTTTTTTTATTTTGCCCCTATCAGGGTCGATCTTGGCACATATTCACAAGAGACGACACTTCAGTGAGCAGGAATCCAGTGTGGTTGTGCAGGACATCGCCAGCGCTCTAGATTTCCTGCATAACAAGGGTAAGACCACTTGTACAAAATGGCAAGTCTGGCTTTAATACTGTAGTTGCAGAACATTTTCACATTGTTTTTGTTCTGACTGCGGGACACAAGGCCTCATTTGTTGACATTGAGGGAAAAAAAGCTTGCTTGTTTTAAAACTGGCTTTCCTGTCTTTTTTTTATTTTTTATTTTTTTTTATTAGGAATGGCACATAGAGACCTGAAACCTGAAAACATTCTCTGTAAGAGTGCAGACAAGGTGAGTTTACTACAAACATATTTGGAGCTCAATTAGTTCAAAAGGCAACTAATAAGATAACTACATAAGTAAGGTGCTCTAAAATGATCAATGGCAGTACAGATCTTTGGCCCCACAAGTAGATATTCTACACAAAATGCAGTGGATTTATCAAATGTAGATTAAACGTAATTATTCTGAACTTGTATCGCTCTCTATCAGATTTCCCCGGTCAAGATCTGTGACTTTGACCTGGGCAGTGGGATCAAGCTGAACAGCGACAGCTCACCCATCTCCACCCCCGAGCTCCTCACTCCGGTAAGTCCACCTGCATATTGTGCTGGTTTTGTTTGCCAAACCGTTTGGAGCACTTTTATAAATGGGAACAGGACAGTGCTGTGTAAGGGAAATGCATGCCAACAATGTACAAGTACAGCTAAGACGGTAGATCCGGGTTGTAAAACAATGCTTTTATCATGTCCTACTGGCTGCTTGCCTATTGGGCAATCCTCAATGGCGTCAACTGCAAGGCAGCTCACTGATTGGGAGAGGGAAAGTGTTGTGTTGTGAGGTTACGGTAGTTCAGTGTTGGACGCTTTATCTCAATTGTGATGGATTGCCTCCTGATTGTCCCAATCTGGCAGCTTTTACCTTCAGTTTACTTCCCTTATCATGCTAAGTATCAGCAACGCTGGGGTAGATATCCCTCAGTTAAATGTCAACATCCTATTGCTTATCAGTTGCAAATATTGAGGCCCATGAGTTTAGGTGGTATGATTGTTGAGCTCTTCCTGTTGTCGTCGCAACAAAAAGCACTGCCCAGAAAAGTTTGGACCCTTGCAAACTCTGAGGGGAATGGTGAAGTTGGACTGGCAACTTTTCTATGTGTCATCACACACAAGCACCATCTGGGGGGGGGGCTGGATAGATTGACCAGAGCAGGTGAAGGATAGCAGTTTAGCCTGCAGGAATGTACGGGTGGGTTAGGGGTTTTCTACACTGGTAACTTGATCTTCCTTTAGCAGAACTAATGGATAGAGCCCGTCCCTGGACTATTTGATGGGAGATGGTTTTGGAGCCCAAGAGGCTTCATGTGTTCAGTCTACACAGACTTCAACGTCGGGCCTGAATGATCTTGTGTGTGTTTAGTGCAGAAGGGTGCACCTATTTATTTGATGTGGATTGCTTCTTTACTATTTTATCCTTCAGTTTCGTTGACCATAACCACAAGACTTGATCTAATGAAAATATTTCAGTGGAAGAAAAGTCGATGCCTGAGGACTGAGCACAATGTGATAGTCTTGAAGGCTGCAGGAAACGCATTGTGACTCTTACAAGGCCGTGTCCTGTGGTATGAAGTTGCAATGAAACCAAAACACACCCAACTCTCCCTGTGGTATGAGAGAAAAACATCCACCCTCTTTCTGCTTAGTCTCCGCCCGGTGGCCCCAACCACGCTTGTGCTTGTCTGCGCTTTCTTTATGATCTTTATACAAAGGCTGTGCATAAAGAATGTTCTAGAAACATTAGTCTTTCCCCCTATACCTAGCAACTGAGATGTGATTGGCTGGACCAGTGGGAGGGGGAGGGTAACTAGGAGGGACAAATGCTAGTCTGCTCATGCGCTCTAGCTTGTTGTCTATGCCCTGATCACAGGAACGTTATCTGATTTTCATCTCACTATTGCCACATTCCTACAGTTGCACACAACAGCTTTCCATTTATTGCTTATGTTCCTGATCAAAGTGAATGCGTTAAATCAACTGTATCCAGCGGCTGTTTTTTTTTTTTTGTTTTTTTTTTTAAACGTAGCCATTTACTCTGGATGTGTGCCATCTTGTACAATGAGGACACGGGAAAGAAAAGAGGGATCATTTCTAGGAAAAAGCTAATTTTAGTTTACTGGGAACTCTGCACACAACTGTCTGCTTGCCAAGAAATTAATCTGACTGTGCAAATGCCAATGCTCATGTGCAGCAGTAGGGCTGACCTGCAACATGAAGACGCTACACACAAGCTGCTTAGAGTTAAAAGAAATCAAGAGACTGCCTCTGTTATCACAGATTTAAGTGCAGCTGCATGACGACAGAACGGGTCTTTTTCCTGTAAACCTCACCAGATAATCCTGTAGTTTACAAACAGCTGAGGCGTGTGGTGTCAGTGTGGCCTGACTAGTCACATGGTATTAGGAAAGCCCCAGGTTGCGATGCCAACGAATCCTGTGGCGGCAGCGGCAGCTGATGAGCAACTATCTGCATGAAAGTTTGAGGAGGATGTGACTGATGCAAGTTCAGAAGGTGCTTGCAGCACAAGGACAAATGTTAGATTGCTGTTATTGCCCCTGCTTCAGCTCTTATTACTGGCAGTCCTAGACTGGCTATCTTTGCCTTTTTATCTGACGTCTATTTGATTTTGATGGCTTTGAAACAAGATTAGCCACGATTGCTGTTTAGCACAGCTATCACATTGCTTTTCAGTTGTGGGGCACCTTGGTAGGCAAAACTATTCTTTTGTGCCTGTCTTTTATTTCTGTGGCAGCTGCATTTGGCCTGAATCTTGGTCTTGTCTATGGGGGCAGTCGCCCCAGACATAATGATGATGGTGGAAACGTGGGGGCTGGGGTTTTTTTTTTTTTTTTTCTCTCTGACAGAAGCAGCTTTGTCTGAGACAAGATTCCTGTGCAGCAAATTTCATTACATAAGGGTCCAGAGAGGTGGAGGAGTTAGGAGACAGCTGGGATATGGTAGTGGGACACAGTAGATGCCTGCTCACCCACAGAGGGAGGGAAGGAAGGATATATAGGCCAGGATGACAAAGGATTAGCAGGTTCTCAGAATTTATACTAGTAGTTGTCTATATTTAGGACATCCTCTAGAAATCTCAAAGAATCCAAACTCTTGACGTAAGAAATCTTTGATTGAATATAAATGTGATCGTTGGTAGATGGTTAATAATATAAGGCAACAAGGACATATGCGTCCTGCTCAACTAGAGATCTGCTCCCTTTTACTGTTCCTAAAGTATTAAAACAGCATTTGGTGTTTGTCTGTAAGTTATGTAAGCTCAGTCTCTGGCTCCGGAGGACAACCAATCCTCTTTGCCCTGCTCAGTGTTTGGCCTAATTTCTTTCTTAGCTACATAACAAGGTACCGCCAGAGTTGAGCCAACCCTTGCCCTCAGGCTATTCTGCCTGGCTTGTGTACAGCTGGATGGTCAAAGCAGTGAGTCACTGCTGCTGCCTGTGCACACTAACCTGCTTCACTGTAGCGTAGCTCTCGCTTACTCTACTCTTGATATGTAACTGTACACGGTGTTCATGCTCAGGTGTCCTTTAACACATTGAGAAAAGCTGTATAGCACAATTTAAATTAATCCACTACTGCACATAAGCATGTGACTGTCACATAGGCGGCCCCCTCCCACCACACAGCCCAAGAGAAGCTTTGACACTTGCAACCACGAGGTATCAGCTGAACGAAGGAATGTGCCCGCAGGCCCTGCTATAGTTGCAGCTTTCTGCTTTTTGCCATCCCTGTGGCTAACAAACTTGTCTCTTGTTTTTGTTTCAGTGTGGCTCAGCAGAGTACATGGCGCCTGAGGTGGTGGAGGCCTTCAGTGAGGAGGCCACAATTTACGACAAGCGCTGTGACCTGTGGAGCCTCGGAGTCATCCTCTACATCATGCTCAGTGGCTATCCACCCTTTGTGGGCCGCTGTGGAGGGGGCTGTGGCTGGGAATTAGGAGAGCCCTGCCACACCTGCCAGGTAAGAACTTGACGCAATAACTCAGCCCTCAGTTTTCAGACGTCCTTTATAGGACATTAGCGTAACTTAAACAACGCATCTTCTCCATCCAGGTTAAAGTAACTGATGGTACATGTTTTAATGTCCATTTCTAGAACACACTGTTTGAGAGTATCCAGGAAGGAAAATACGAGTTTCCGGAGAAAGACTGGGCTCACATCTCCTCAAGTGCCAAAGACCTAATATCCAAACTTCTGGTTCGGGATGCCAAAAACCGCCTGAGTGCCAGCCAGGTGCTGCAGCACCCCTGGGTCCAGGGGGTAAGTTGAAAATCATCTTCTGCATGTCTCTCACAGACCCTTTATGTTTAGGGTTAGTAGGCACTGATTTAACTTTTTGTTTTATTTTATTCAGGGTGCACTTGACACTTTATCAACATCCTTCGTGCATCAAAGGTGAGAAGACGTTGGTTACAGCTGCAAAAGACTGTATCCCTTTTACATGCTTGACCTAAAATATTTTAACCATGTCATTTTAATAACTATTTTTGTATCTTTTTTGTATCTTCCATTAGAACCAGCCATGCCAGGGATCTGACATTCTTTGCTGACAAGGCCATGGCTGTGAACCGGCAGCTGGCTGAACAAGACGGCATAGAAGACCAGCAGCAGCAGGACGTCCAGTTTGTTGTCACCGCTTCTGGCTCCTCTATGCGCCTCTCTCTCCTTTCCAACTCCAAGCTGGCCAGGCGCAGGGAGCAACACAGCCAGCTCAAGGAAGGGCCCGTCTCTGCTGCAGAGCTCCGTCAGCTCTTGGCTCCTCTCGTTATTGTGGGAGACTGTGCCTGAAGTTCCTCAATCGTGACCTCCGACCTTCCGTTAAGATTCAAGTCCAGATCTAAGACTACCCTGAGACTCTTTCTCCCCAATCCTGGCCCCCCTCTCTAGCTGGCCTTGGTTCCTCTGCCATTCAGGCTCTCTTGCCTCGCTGTAAAGGGAGATGCTGCTTGCAGCCCTTCTTCTAAATGCCTTCTGCAGCACTTTTGAAGCACATCAGCCCAGGGCCTGCATATAGCAAGCACACACACACACACACACGTGTGCATGTGAAGGTTGGGGAGGAGGGCCAGTTCATGATTTGGGAGAGAGAAGAGTTTAAGTTATTTTTTTTTTTTTCATAAAACTCAGTTCAGGAGACTTATCTTCGAAACTAAGCTCAGACACCAAAGGACAACCTGTTGTGCTGCTCCCATGTTACAACTGGATCCACTGTGAATTACATTATCTGGAATGTTTTCTTTGCCTGTATGTGTATGCAATGTCCCATCTGCACATAGGTACAAGCTTATATGCAATATGCCGAGATGAAGGCTGTTCCTGTCTCGAAAGGGATCCGGAATAAGGGGTTGGGAGGGCTGTAAGCCAATGCTGTCCGTGCCTGGTGCGGTCCATTAACATGGCTGGGGACTTCAAAGCTTTCTGTCTCCGTTTAAGATAAATTCCTCAACGGGCTCTTTAAATGTCTGAGGTAAAACACGCACTCATCTAGCTTGGTGGCCACGCACTTAATGCCCCGAGAGCAAAGTGTCTGTACCCGTTCATACGGTTTAAAAACATGAACATGCAGGCCAAATTATCTGTGGCTACATCTTTCAGTGTTTGAGACCATCAGTCAAGTTCAATGGTATTGAATGAAGCTATTTTACTTGTATGCACGGCCACCCCAAAACTAGACTTCTGAGCTAGCTCTGAAGTATATCTGCTATGTTGGTACAAGTTTGATGTTAAATGGCAAGTGAAATTGGGTCTGTTCATGAAATGTCCCCCTGCCACCACCAGAAGTTGTTTTTGTTCTAATTTTTGTTTCTACAAATCAATTGATGCATTAGATTTAACCTTGCATATTTTTGACAGTAAAGGTTAGAACTCCTTTCAGGGGTTTGAAAAGCTCATTTTGGCCAATGCGACTCATGTGTAATTTCTTGACCATTTCTCCCCCCCCCTCCCCCCAAAAAAGGCTCACCAGTCTTTTTTTTGAGACACCCCTTTCTCATTTACAAAATAAGATTTTTCAAAAAAGGAAACATTCCACAAAATGAAAAACTAAAAAAAGTCTTCCAGACATGTAGCTGTACTAAGTTTACTTTATTTTTCAGGTTTGAAAACTCCATGTCATTGTGCCACACTGATTTTATTTTTATTGTATGGCTGTTAAGCTCTTTATTTTCTATATGATTTTCATGCAGATTCAGGTGAAACACCGGATGTTTTCCTTGTTTCTAAACTTTCAGAGTATGTGGTGATATGGAAAGAGTTTAAGTTGATCTGGAGCGTTCATGCCCAGTGAAGGCAAGTCTTTAAGTTTCTTTTTATGTGAGAGTTGGCATTTTTTTTTTTTTTTTTTTTTTTTTTTAATTCAGATTAAGTTAAAGCTCATTCTGTGATGGACAGGAAATGGACTGGTGATGAGGTCTCACAGCACTGTAGCCAGTTCACCAAAGAGGGTTAAAGTCATGATGTTGAACATGTGATCGTCACCTAGCAGTGAGAAGTGGAGACTTCTGCTTGTCCATGTCCTCTTACCAGCAATGCAGCGACGGTACTCTGGAAACTGCTCTCTTGGTGTCAATATGCTGATAATGGGACACTAATGGTTCTAAAAACCTTTCTACAGATGCATCGATATGGGGGTTTTATGTCTTATAATAAGACTTACTTGAATTTGTGTATGCAGCTGTTTCTTCTCCATTTGGGAAACTACTTTGCTATCAGTAATCTGAAAGCGCTAAGCTGGTGATCAAGGCAATCTTGGGGTTTTGAAAATACCTATACAGTTCAGTATTCTGCCATTTTCTCCCTGTTGAGCAGCACACAAGTTAGTCCCTACTTTCTCGATAGGTTGGATAATCAAACGCACAGATTTTGGCCGTACTCTGTAATATCCTGAATGGTTTATAAGAGTTTTCTTGGTCATGGCCATTTCTACGTTTGTTGAATGGCAGTAGCTTTTTGGACTGCCTCTTATTGGGGGGGGGGGGGAAACAACAGGACAAAGTTATATCTTTAAGCCTCGCAATTTTTATATTGTACGTTTTGAAGTAAGGAAGTGTTAAAATCCATTCATTCAAATGGACAGCCCATCATCCACCTCCACGATTTGAATGTAGCCCACAGGCAAAAGCATTTCCAATCCAGCAACATTGATCAAATGTTTTCTAAGTGGTTCATTTCATGAACATGGTGTAGGGCCATTCTGTCAATTCTTTATTTGTAATGAGTGGAGATTTTAACACTGTCCGAATCACCCCAATCCCATTGTGTTCATGGGAAGAAATTTTAAATACATCATTTTAAATACAAAAAATATTTTTGATTTAAAATAAGCACTTTACTGTACCATGTGAATGATTGCAGTTCACTCAAGGCAACATTTGACAGTTGCTACCGAATTTTTGTATTGTTTTTCTACAAAAAAAAAAAAATTGCAATAAAATGCTTGAAACTAAACATTGTTCTGTCTTTTTAAAAGGGCTGAAGTGACAACTTTGTCTGAGCCCTCTCCTGTATCACTAGTTTCATATTGACAGTCTTATCTAGTGGCCAAGATTGAGGCTGTTTCATCCGATTCTGTAAATCTAATCGGGAACACTCCCCGATATCTGAGCCGACTGTCAAACATGTCCTTGGCTGTTGGTAAATATGAGCTCAGTTGTCTGCTCACGTGCTCTGATATGTGAAGGTGGTTTCACCTTGTTAGTCATGAGCTGAGCTGAGCTGCTTCGGGGGGGGGGGGGCGGAGCTGTTCACAGCTGCACAGGCCTGATCTGATGCAACCTGCTGCAAGAGCTCCAGCTCCAGTGTGCCACCTCATGATCTGCCTGGAAATACATGACTTCTGCTGAATTGGCTAAAATCCCAGTGTGTCGTTTCAACACTGCTGAAAGTCAGGATTTGCTTTCCTGTGGTTAAAATTCAGCTGTATCAACTAAAATGTTATTTTAAGTAGATAAACATGGGGTTGGTTGGTCGACGTTTAAGTGAATAAGCAATTTAAAGCATAATAAAGACCATCAGCAAAGCAATCACCAATATGCGTGTTCTTGATCAATTAGGGGTTATTTATTAGTTATACTGTCTTTTACCGATTTATTAATTCATCTTTTAGTCCATTCTAAAAAAATAAAACTCAAATATGCACTTTAAAATTAAATGAAAACATGGCAAATCCTCACATTTGGCATTTGTTTGATTAAATTATTTAACATATTCATTTGCTGCACTTAATCTAAAGACACAGATAAGACACCCTGTCGATTGCATAACTTCTATTTCAACATTGCAAACGTCAGAAGGCAGGAGGAAATGAAATGATGCAACTGTAGAGTATTTTTTGTACAAGCACCAGAGGACATGAGCGATGGGCTGAGTGACTTCACGCGCGTTTGTCTCCCTCTAGCGGAGACTTCCCACAGATGCGACACACTGCAAAGAGTACAATTCAAAGAACATTCTTTGGTGTTTGGTTATAATTAACAATTTTATGTGAGATTCAATTCTCAGATCTGAAGACGGTCATGCGCTGCGTGTATGAAGAAAGTTATTATAAAATAGAGCTCTTCACTGACTTAGTGCTGTTTAAGATTCTAAATCATTCGTGTATAATTTGGTACATATCGTGATGCGTTTTTACATTTTTAACTACATTTGGTTTTTAAGTTATCACTGATGTAAGAAAAGTGCTAAACAAAATTAGTTAATTATATTATTAGATATACTAATACAATCCCAGTAACAGGAAAAGTTAAAGTTAGCACATTTTTTAAAAAAAAAAAGGAAAGAAATAGTCACGCTGGACGCTAGTATTACTTTAATTTAGTCTCGGTTTTAGCTAAATATGACCAAATATTTTTCAGGAATAGTTGAGACAGTTCAGCAGCTGCTTCATTGTCCGAGAGGATGCTTTGCTCAACGTGTACCAATGCCTCAAGTAGAACGGTCAGTGTGAGTTTACAGTCTCAGTGGTAGCTTTAATGTCTGCGAACTTCACCCGGTTAAATTATTAAATTCTTCTGATGCCACACCGTCTGGCAATGACAAGGACAGCGTGAAGTAAAGCGTTGCAGTTTACCTGGTTTTCCTTTTCATCTCGTCATGCCTGAGAGACACAGTACAGTGTTCACGCACTGAGGTTGATTACGATAAACACCGTTTAATATAAGCGTCACTTTAAGCCGCTAACATGCCTGCAACAGGATGTTCTCACAGCAGACACTCTTACACAGCAGGAGAGACACGGGTGTCACTAAGTGAGCCGGCCTGAAGTCTCATTAAATATATCATTTACACCTGTGGTTTTCCTAATATGTGACACGTCAACGTTAGAAGATTTTTAATTAAATGAAGTCTGTGTTTTAAGTAATGGATTGCCAGGGTTTTCTGTTTTCTTATCATTCTGTCTGCTTCTACATTTGAGATTGAAACTTCCAACAGTACAACATTCGGCTAAATGCACAGATGTATTCAGTCTTTTAACCATTTGATACTAAATTCTCTTTTTATTTATTTTTCATACTAGGCTACTTCCCACTAATGAAACAGTGATATCAGAAGTTGGGCTGAACAATCAAAAAAGATCTTATTGAAATTATTTTGACTGATTTGAGGGAGTGATAATTCCCCAGGACATCTCTGCAGCGAGAGCATTTTTACTAAATTTAAAAAAATGTAATTACTGCACTACTAGCAGCAAAGAAAAGCAGAGATACACCACTATTATCCAAAAGACCAAACTTATACATCAGAGGATTATAAGAAAGATAGTTATGAGTGCAATCATTTGAGATATTTCTTATTTATAAACAATTTAACAAGAGTTGAAAATAGCAATATGTGGTGTACCATTCAGTACTTCTTTGTGTCAATGTGTCTCCATTAAAAGATAAACATTTAACTATCCAATTGATGCTCTCATACAAAATACAACTTCCCTGAGGTGTTTGTGGAGTTGACTTTTGAAGACAAGAGTTCACTGTCTGAGAGAGGGCCAATCATTATATGACTGATTACCTGCACACCTGAGAGTCATGATGATCAGGACTGTGGCACAAAAAGCCTGATCATGTGTTAGTTTGAGGTTTGGGAGTCGAGCTGGAGGTAGGTATCGCGGAGCGTTGCAGGGAGCATTTGTAGAGTTTAAATGTTGTTGTTTTTTTCCCTAACTACCTGTCAGGACATCTGTTATTTTCATCACAGGCAACAAAGGAGATAAGTCTTGTTGCCTGGCTAAATACAACAGTGGTGAAGTTTTAGTCTTTTTCACTATTAACTATTTGTTTACTGAAGGTCAATTATTTTTAAGATTTGCTTGTTTCAAATTATAGCAGTTAAAGAAATACTAGCTAATGTGTCATTTCTAGGAGTAGTTTGACATTTTAGGAATTGGGTTTTATTTGCAGCTGTATTTAGCTAGTTGAATCAAATACGTAATTGTTTTTAAATTCTCAGTAGGCCTAATAAAGGGCAAATCAGTTAAAGTCCCATAGAGGAAAGCTTTTTTTATTTATTTTTTTTAATGGATCTTTTCCACGGCAGACATTTTGACTTGTCGTAGGAGGAAAATCACAGGTCAAATTGATTTTTTTATTTTATTTTTTTATTGTAATATCACTATTTTAGTTACAACATTTTTACTGCGATCTTAACATGACTGTTTGTCTCATTGCTGCGCTGCATGTTTGTCAGGAATGTATATAATCAGTATTGCATGCCTACATGTACTGTTGTAGTCTTTGATGCTGTCTTTTTAATGTCTTTGTCTTCAGTCTGTTTCAGCCATCCCCTCATTGGTTATAAAACATCCTACTCCGTAACTACAGTCGAAAATTGGGCCATCTGGTGTACAATGGAAGATTTACCGAGCTGTTAATTAATGTCCTTTTAAAAGAAAAAAGAAAATAAAGGACACATTAACGTGGGCCTCACTCAACTACAATGCAGCCTCTGCAATGTTAATAAAAACACATTCTCCTACTGACATGTCATAAATGTTTGCTGTGAGAACGGTCCAGTCCTATTGTCAACATATGCAAGTGTCTCAGTTCTTCATCTGTTCAGACCGTTTGACTCTACAACTACAAGACCAACCCCTTCCATGGATTCCTGTGAAATGAAATGTTGAAAAATGTTGTCTGTCTTATTTTGCAAAGCTGGCTGAGCCTTGACTTTTAGAAATAGTTTCACAATGTGTTGCCCACAAATTTTTGGTAATGTGAACACTGAGCTCATAGTTAGTAGGTCAGCAAGGGAGATCTGAATAAAGTGGAGAGGAAATTAAATCTTCAGGGATTAACTATAAAACACATCCACATTGCATTAGGAGTCAATGTTTTATGTTTGAAAGTAGCAATATTGCATTTATTTTGCAAACTATTGAGCGGTCTGGGATCCAATTGAGTAAACTCAGTAACGTTACGTTTTTATATTATGGAACATTCACCGTTTACGATCTGTGACGTCAAGGAGCGCGACACGTGTGAACTCTCGCGAGATTTCACATCTCCAACCAATCCAACATGGCGACGTAGGGACGTTGTTATTGTTCCGTCGCTTCTTCAATCAAGCCCCTGCTGTACGACGAAAACTACGACGAAAGCGGCCGAGCGTGTTCATGCGGGCATGAGAGCAACGTCTGGGGACAATGCTGAGATCCACCGGCTTCTTCCGAGGGATTGACTGCCCGTTTTACCCGGAAAACAGCGAGAGTAAAGGAAGCAGAAATGGGTGTAACAGACCGTACTGCCACTTCAGGCACAGCCAGCAGAGACGGGCGTCCTACGGAGGTCCAGCAGATGTTAATAAGCAAAGGGACATTCACTCCGCGAAGAAAGGTGCCGAGTATTCTTCAACTGACTCCTGATTTCACTTGAATACTTTATCTCCGCTCTTGCTGTCGGCAGTGAGGACCTGTGTGTGTGGATTGCTGTGAAGTTCCTTTCTGGACAGAAAAATACAATTGATGCTGCATTTTACAAGTTCTCCCCATGGTTGCTGTAAACTGAGGTTTAACAAGGCAATACAAGATGTATTGAGTCCACACAAGGAAGTGTCAAAGCAACAGATATTAAGAATTACTACCTATTACTACATTATGAACATCTGCTAACGTTAGATACTACACGTAGCATGAACAACAGAAAGTACCAGATAATGTATACACCAACATATATGATAGTATATTGAGACACTTTGACACAGATACAAAAGAATAAATCAGGTGGAGAGTGAAGTGTTCTGGGCCTACAGGTCCGGTAGCGTTGTTGCACCGAAGTGCTTTGAAGAATAATATTCTACTTGTTATTTTGTGTTGGCCCCCAGAAATGTCTTTAGCGTTCACAAGTTAACCGAGAGAATCCTTTCTATTGGATTGAGCCATGCACCATCTGAGCTTGTTATAGTTCATATTGTCATATATGTTTTTTTTAAGATTGAGTGCTGAAAATGAAGGATGCCTCAATCTAAACCTAAACTCAAAGACTCACACATGTTCCCAAAGCTAAAATCAGTTTAATGGCAGAGATTGAAATTGAGTGAGTGGACTTCTGTCACTGAATGAATGTAACTTAAAGCAGAAACACAGAATTGTATAGTTCCAGTGACATAGCGACTGTTGTAATGTGCTTAAAAATGTCAATATTGGGACAGACCGGACTGGAGTGTCCCTAGTTGAAAGCTCCCAAAAAGCTAGTAAGTGAACCTTTTTTAAAATTATTTCATTGGTACATTTTTCTAAGGCTTTTTGTCGTGCATTCCCGCAGAACAAGGTTATGATCCCTTCAACCCAGAAGTCGTGAGACCCCAGGAGCAGGAGAATGGAAAGCCTGCTGCCTCGGGAGACCTCAGTGGCGCTCTGGACCTGGTCAACAAGGCCATCGAGGAGGTGCGCAGCGAGGTGGAGAGGGAGAAGAGGAAGCTCTCTCGGATTGGGGATGAACCATACAATCCCAGCAAGAGTAAAAAAATGTCTTCATCCGATGCTGTTAAAAGTAAAACACCACCTTCACACATGGCTTATGACCCTGGGAGTTATCAGATGACATCTGGAGGTTATAATCCCCCCCCCGGCTGCAGTAAGTATACCTTGGATTCAGACAACAAGGGGAACAATAGTAGCTCCATGGAATATGTTCCTACTTCAGTGAGAAAGCCTTTATCTCGGACACGCGCGCATCAACTCCCCTCTCCTCCCCGCAGTCCAAAGTACTCGAACAGCACATCCTCCTCAAAGTGCAAATACACGGTGGACAATTCAAAACCATCTACAGATATGGAGTACGATCCGCTGTCCAACTACTCGGCAGGAATCGCAGCGAAAAGCAAGAAGGGCCGGGGTGCACAAGCTGTTAAGACGGAACGGAGAAAGACGCACAAAATATCGGATGTGTCAGACGAGGAGTATGTTGTCGCGTTGACCAAAACGCGGCAGCAGAGTGTAGACTCAAAAAAGTATACTTTCTCTGACTCTGATGGGGAGAGCTCTGGAACAGAGTATCGACCCGCCTTGCTTAGCAGTCTCCAGCAGTCTTTAGCAGTCTCCAGCTCCAACAGTGGGTCACTTTGGGATGCCGTGAGGAAGGAGAGAGAAAAGAGAACTGAAAGTAAGCTAAATGCACTGACACAGAGGAATAAAGAGGACTTGGCCGGGGACTCAGACGTCCAGGAAGAGATGAAAGAAAAGGACAGTTTAGAGCAAAAGCAGGTGGCTAGTAAAACTAGCCAGGAGAAAAGTGGCAAATCTGAGAAAGTGCATAAACTTGGAAAGGAAGCTAACAAAACAACTGGGAGTAAAAGTAGCAGCAGCAGCAGCAGTAAAGACAAAGGGTCAATTAAGAACTCAAACCAGGACTATGCAAAGAAGGAGAACAAGAGTCATGGAAAAAGAGACGATAGGAAAAACAATGTTACGGTTAAGACACTTGATAAAGTTCAGGGGGAAGGCAAAGACAAAAAGAGAAGTGATGGTAAGTTCAAAGCTGTGGAAAAAGTAAAAATAGACTCAAGTAAACGAGAGAAAGTTACAGAAAATGGTGCCGGGGAAAGCAAGAAACCCAAGATATTTGAGAAGCAAAAGGAACAAAGCAAGTACAAGGACGGCCAACACAAAAATGGTAAACTTTATAGCATTAAAAGAGAAAAGGATGCAAAGAAAATTAATAAAAGCAGTTCAAGTGGTAGGAGCAGCAGTAGTAACATTAAAGGGAGTTCTGCAAACAGTAAAGACAAGGTGAAGCAAAACATGAGCTCACCAAATGGGAAAAGACGAGAGGAGAAACGGCGAGGTCAGAGTCTCAGCCATGCTGATCTATTTGGAGATGAGAGCCCAGAGGAGGTGGAACCGATAGTGGTGGATGACGACGAAGAACCCGAAGAAGTGCTGGTGAGAAAGTCTGCTGACGCTTTAAAGAGGGGCCGTCTGAACAAGAGGAAAGCGTCCGAGCTGACGGCGTCTTCCTCTGACGACGAGGGTGACCGCGGCGCGGAGGGCAGCGGGGCCGGCAACGACGAGGTCGACGATGTCGCGATCGACTTCTCTAGTTTCCAGGAATATCTGGACTTTGACTCGGATCCCATGGAGGAGTGTTTGCGGATCTTCAACGAATCCAAGGACGTGAAGACAGAAGACAAGGGAAGGCAAACGAAACAGGTATTTCTGTCTTGCCACAGTGTTTCACTGAAGTTGTCTCGATCATGTTTTTTTATTTGTCATATTTTGCTAATGCCAGTTAAACATGCTTTGTTGTGCCCTTTTTTAGCCCCCTAGGCATTCAGAGGAGGAGAGAAGCACAGAGAGCACTTTAACCACTCTCTTTCCCGGGCAAAAGAAGAGAGTCTCCCATTTGGTTGCCAAAGGAAGTGTAAGTTTGTCACCTTGACTTCTCCTGGTCTTTCTCTGTCCTTCAATGAGGCAGCTTCAGTCGGTCAGGAGGGGCTGAGCACACGATATCCCTTTTATCACAGGATACAGCGATCAATATAACATCACTTTAAACAGTTTGTGTACAGAACGGTAATCGTTGACAAACTGTACAAAATTGAACTTAACTTAATCAATCTATAAAAGCTTTGTTGTTCTTCAGCCTCGATGGCTTTGTGTTGAAAACTCACTTCCTGTCTTTGCAAGCATGCAGGTACGAGCTAGAGGTAGGAGGAACAGCAAAAAAAAAACAACCTCCTCGTTACTACAACAACCTGTTGACCCTGTTCTATTTAATCACAGGTAGTCACTTTAAAACAAACCAGGAAGTAAACACCGCAAGAGCAATCTGACAATGTTTCCTTGGTAGGATGTGGTTGGGGATTTCCACTCGTACATGCTGTACTATTTACACAGACCATCTGGTGTGAAGGTAAGCAATCGTCTGTGCTTCCTGAACAATCAGCTGAGATATTTGGCGGTGTGATTATCTTTTATACGGATTCTTTTGATGACACGTGTGACCTTTCTGTACTTCCTGTCTACGGCAGCTTCATTGAAGGCCAAGTTTATTTCTGTTTTTGTTTTTCGCCACATCATTTTGAGGTATATTCACAAGAGTTCAGGTTATGTATTGAAGACCAGTTTTCTGTGTGTTTCATAACTGATCATAAATTAACTGTTAATTTGTTGGTAATTATTGCAAATATAACCTGGTCCTTCCACAGACTTCATTTCTAGTGCCGGAAGCCAAAGAATAACTGGACTTAATCCTTCAGCGTCATACTTTCTGTATTAAGAACAAAGCGGCCACTCTCTGATTTAACGCGCTTGTGTTTTTATCAGGCCGACTCTACGACTGTGGTGCGACAGTACAAGAGACTCTCGGCCCAGGAGGTCTGCTACAAGCGCATGCAGATGGCTCAGCAGCAAGGTGCTCAGATTTCTGCTTCAGTCAAAGTGGCCTCACAGAGCTCCAGCACCTCTTCAGGAGAGAAGAAGAGAATAGCTCACCGTTCCAGCCCACAGACACCATCCTCCAAAACAAGTATGAGTGTCTCCACTGTCCTACATTGTGGCAGGATTCAGCTTTTGTTCCTGTTTTTACCAAAGTATACCATTGCTTTCCCTTGATCATTTCTTAGCGGAACTATTTTGACTGTTTAAGTAGAAAGTTGTGTGTGTGTGTGTGTGTGTGCGTGCGTGTGTGTCTGACCAGGTCCTGCAGATGTTAAACCAGCTGCCAGTCGAGTTTTATCCCCCAGCCAGACCCAGCAGAGGGTCAAAGCCCAAACCATCGCTGGCATCTTGCCCAAGACTACGTCCACAGTCATGCAGAGAAGGGTGGCACACACACCCACCATGAAGGTATCCACAGGGCACACAATGTAACGCTGCTGCTGGTTGTTTTTCTAAATATTTACTTTGTGTTGTTGAGTCTGCACATCCCTCCCTGCATAACCTTGATAGTGTACTGGCGGAGGTAAGCCGCTTCGCTAAAGATAAATGTTTGCTTGAGTTGGAGGTGATTCTCATTCACCCAATGTTCTCTTTCTGTTTTGACCTTTTCAGAGTAGTTCAATTAAGCGCCCCATCATCCCGATTGAGTTTGGGGCCAAAGTTCCCAACAATGTCCGCCAGCGCTACCTCAACACTTTCATAGATGAATGTGTCAAATTTTGCCCATCAAATGACGCTGCCTTCCAAATGGTAAGGTTAACACCCAGTTCACCCAGAGTTGGATGAGTTGAATGCTTACAAACCTTGTATAGTAGCAGTTTTAAAAATGCTTCTTTATGCAGAGAACGCTGCAGGCTCCGATCACACCCAGTCTTGAATGCAGGAGGACGTTCAATAAGAGCTTCAGTTGAACAAGTTGTGGTTTTGACAGTGACGGAAGCTTTTACTGTTTCAGGCACTTGACGAGGAGAAGCTGGTGTATGAGCGCAGTAGCAGTAAGAACATCTACCTCAACGTAGCGGTCAATGCTCTGAAGAAGCTCCGGAGCAAGAGCAGCTCCTGTACATCGCCTGTCACCAGTATGCCCCCCTCAGTCCCTGTGCAGTATAACACATAGTATTTTGCTCTTAGTCAACATGTATATGATGCTTTTATGTAGTTTTATGTATTCGTTGGGCTGCATTTCAGTGGTAACGTGTTTGCTCGTGTGTGTTTCTCTGCAGAGGACCCGGCGTTAGTTTCCAACAAGAGGGCTCAGTCCCACGAAGAAGTTCTCGGAGGTCGTCATGCTGCTACAACCAGCTTCACTGTCAACAGGATGGGTAAACAGCTGGAGGAGAAACTCACTGGTAAGTTAGACTTTCTCTCTTATTGAAGATGACAAGATTAAATCATCTTTTCTCTGTTTTCAGTTCTCTTTCTCTGGAATTGTTATGAGCATGTTTTTTGAACATGTTTTTATGTCTTTCATTCTGATTTTTTTCAGTCACCTGATAAAATCAAAATAGAAGGAACTGAAAGAGCCTTTGTGGCCTGTAGAGACGGTTAACAGTGTAACTGTTCAAATAACCATGTGACAAACTCCAGGTCCTGTTTACAGAAGCAAACTCCCCACGACCCTCACGTCAGAGGGAACATGTTTACAAGACTGTAGGAATGCTGAAATAACTGTTGATTAGTATGATTCACATTTTAATATTATTATTAATCAAAAACTAGAGATGATACGATAAGTTGATTGGTGAACTGAAAATGATCAGCATTATCGATAATTATTATTCGATGGATAAATCCGTATTGAAAACATCTGGGTCAAACATTATATTAAATACATTATGAAAGGAATCCTTAGTTGCAGCGCTAGATTATTGTAGTTAAATGTGGACCACGACATCTTATCAGGCCGTGTCTAAAGCTTCTTGTAACATATGTATGTTAAGTACTCTTTCTGTTTGCCACCACCAACTGTTTCCATCCTCTGTGTGTTTTAACACCTCATTGTACAAAGACGACTTTAGTTTAACTTGCTGCTGTGTCTCACTGTAGGAGCCACGCTGTACAGGAAGCTGCAGGCGTACTCGATGACGGAGGAGCAGCTCCAGGAGCACGGATACCCGAGAACAAACCCCGAGGCTACCGGCAAAGCCGTCGTATACAACCTCCCGGAGAAAAAGGCCGTCACAGACCGTGAGCAACTACATGACCCCACAGCTCTCTCTCTCTCGACCATCTCTTAATGACCAATACTAAATTATATTAACATACATGTGATCTAGCACTCATTTCACTCTCAACTGACACTACGTAATGCGTTTCCAGCGTTAAACAAGGTATGCTGTCGATGTGGAGCCGAGTATAAGATCAACGTCAATGGCAACTGTGTACGGAAAGAGGAATGTAGCTTTCACTGGGGACGGTTGCGCAGAAATAAAGGTACAGTTGTTTGCGTTTGTGATGATATTATGAAGGCAAATTTAGTTTTTTTTTTTCTCATCTTGTAGTTCATACTGCCATATTTAACTCTCCACCCCTTTTCTCCTCTTTTATTTGCCTCAATCTGTCCGCCTTGTTCTTTCCTGTTTTTTTCTGTCAGGCGCTGGAGGCTGGGAGACCAACTACAGCTGCTGTGCTGCGGCTGTCGGTGTTCCAGGTTGCCAAGTTTGCAAGGTATCACTCTTTACAAGCCGACAGCTTTTAGTTTACCTTCTTTACATGTTAGGTAGCCAGATGTACTGTATGGGCTGTCACGGCTTAGTGGGCTAATGTAGCCAACATGCCATTTCCATCACGCAGTAAAGACCTGTTTGGTGAAGCTCATGACGTTTGGTTTGTTTTTGAAACTGTCAGAGATGTTAATTCATCTTTGTTTAGTTTTTCCCCTTCAAGGCTTTATGTTTTTCTCTGTGATACATTTAGTGTTGTATTGAATTCAGTGTTTTGTTTAACTTTCAATGATTAGCTGCGTCTTTTTTACTGAAGACAACTTGATTTGAAACTTCAAATCAAGCACTTCCAGGATAACTACAATAAAACGGCTGCTTAGTTGTTTTTAAGGAATTTTATGCACGTTTTTTTTTTTTTTTTTTTTTTTTTTTTTATAAAAAATGTTAAAAACATCCCCAGACTTAAGAAACGTCTTATTCCCACAGCAACATGTTCAGGACGGGCGTAAAGAGTCATTCAATGGCTACGTCACAACGTTTAGTAAAGCTCTACCACCAGATGGCAATGGAGGGGTGTTTGCTTTGGACTGTGAGATGGTGAGTCAGACGGAGCTTTATGTCTGCTGAATGCAGCTCTGGTCTTAAACTATCACCTTGTATGTGATTTGAGAATTGATTTATTAGAGGCCAGTGTAATACGAATGAGACTGGGAGACACTCGGCGCTCAATCTTTTGTTACAGCATGAGTAAACTTAAGACAAAATGAATGATTTGTCACTTTTTGTCACAACCTTTATTACATTTTGTACTCTCAGTCGCATGAACTTGTTCTTTCACTCCTCTGAAACAGTGTTACACAAAGCAGGGCCTGGAGCTGACCAGGGTGACCGTCGTCGACTCCGAGTTGAAAGTCATCTACGATACATTTGTAAAACCTGAAAGCAAAGTGGTCGATTACAACACGCGGTGAGTTTGTCTCCTTAACTCTATGCTGCACGGCTCGCGTCTGATATTGAATTGAACTGCTGATGAACGTAGTTGTCAGTTGTACCCCTGTCCTAAATGTGTCTTTGAAACGGTCGCAGTGTTTTAAACGCAGTATATACTGTACATCTCGAATGTAATTTGCAGATTTTCGGGTGTGACGGAGGAGGACTTGGAGAGCGCCACCATCACTCTGAGAGATGTTCAGGCCGTGCTGCTCAGTATGTTCAGTGCTGAGTCCATCCTCCTAGGACACAGTCTGGAGAGCGATCTCCTCGCTCTGAAGGTACCGTGGCTCGTGGCTAGATTATAGACACGATTCAACTTCATTGCCATTGCACAGTGTACAAGTACTGAGACAACAAAAATGCAGTTCAGCACCTGTGCAAAACGCAGTAAATTTCAAAGTGATGTACTTATGTATAGTGGTAGTACTAGGAATATACAGTAAGGGATGGATATGAATACGCTAATATATAAGTATACAGTTTGAACATGTGAAGCTGTTACAGTAGGCAAAATATATGCTGCAGCTATAAGTGCACGTTATCGCAATAGTAGGAAAATGTATACAGAATAAACTAGCTGGAGGTATAATATGAAGTGTACACTGTAGGTCAGATCTATACAGTATGGACAGCAGTATAAATATGAAGGGGTATGTGAGAACATATACAGTGTAGTACAATTACATGTCTATATCAAATATACTTTGTATAATATTGTTTATTTATCCTTATTTACTTTTACTGTTAGCCCAAAAAGTATTTTACAGTTAACCGACAACAACGTTTAAATTTTAAATTTTTAATAGTTGCCTTTCACTCCATCTCCTAAACACGTGTGGTTTCAATACCTGTTACTAAACTAAAAGGGCAGATATGGACGTTACTGTTGTCGAGGCTTTACTTAATTCTTTATGAAATCAAAGTGTGTTTTTTGGTTATGTGTCTCAGCTGAGATGCTGTGTTTCTGTCGCTGAGTCCGGGCTAAAATAAAAGAAACCCTCTTGATGTAAACTTCTCTCTCGCCTCCAGCTGATCCACAGTTCGGTCGTAGACACGGCCATTGTGTTCCCTCACCGCCTCGGCTTGCCCTACAAACGTGCCTTGAGGAACCTGATGGCCGACCACCTCAAACGCATCATCCAGGACAACGGTGGGAAAATCACACGGAGCTAGCAGCTCTTGTTTTGTTGCTTTTATAGACGTGTGTTATTAGCTATTAGCTTTTGTGTTGGCATACGAGTTTGTCTACTTCAAATGTCTAATACGTGTTATTTCATATTTTGTTATCAACGCTAATGTGGATCAAAATATTTCATGAATTATAAAAATTGTAGGATTCAAACAAGTGGGAAATCTAAGACATTTGAGTCCCAATACTGTGGAGAACTGTTGTTGGTTTTTGTGGCTAAAAGTCTTACAGCATTTCATCCACCCTGTCACATAAACATGGCCCCAGTTACACAAACAGGCCGCTGAGCAGCATAATCGCATAATCTCCATTTGTAATCGACTCGTGTCAGATTGCATGCAAACAACAAAAGATTAACTGATCAGTCAACATCAGTAAATCTTTAATGGTTGAGCTCAATTCATTGACGCATAGCCCAGAGATTCAGACCTGCCTAGTTAACAAAAGATTACAGTCAAATGAATGTCAGGTTTACAATTGCTTCAAAGAGCCACAGCAGATTCCAAAGCTCTATCTCCCAAAACTGAAATATCGAAGAAACCTTCGGAGAGTAAACTCAAAGAGAGAGACCCCCTCGTTTGAGTGGTTGGCGCTACGTGGGGAAATGGCAGTGGAAAGTTGTGACAGTAAGTAGAAATACAAAAAGAACAGTAGGATTCTCACAGGTCAGTAATGGCAATGTAGTAAATCCTGTATAAAGATGTCCAGTAATACAAGTTCAAGGACTGGGTCCGGTTAAGTGAGCTGCTATATCGCTTTAATGTTGCAGCTGGTAACGGTGGAGCTCATGTTGATTACTTTATATGATGCTGAGCAGCTTGTAAATTTCACCAAGAGATAAATAAAGTCTTATCTTAATCTAGAATAATACATCATCACTTTATTTGTTGATTTATACTTTGTTTTAATAATCTCAATCTGCAAAGTAACTAGTAACAAAAACTACTAAAAAAGTAAAATATTTGTATCTGAATCGTAGCGTAAAAGTATAAAGTAGCAGAAAATGGAAATACTTAAGTACAGTTCTTGCGTGTACTTGGTATCTTTCGACCAATGTCTGCATCTCATAAATTTGTCTTATGTCAGCTGACAATATTATTGCAGTGAAGTCCACTAAAGTTTGACTGCACTGCCTCCTTGCCACCAGCAGATGTCCCTCAAGCGTCAAACAGTGTTAAAACCCAGTTTATTGTCCAATTTGCTGAAATGTCTCAAAAGTTTTAGAAAGTCTTGTTTCTCCGTCACTACTGATGTGTTCCTCAGATATTTCGGTCTGTTCAGGACCAATGAAAAACGTTTCAAAGTCAAAGATTCCTGTAGCAGCAGCAGCAGCAGCAGCCGTCTCTTTGGAAAACTAACCCGTGTTGCCAATCCTTCTTCATTTCTTCCTCTCCTTATCCTTCAACCGTAGCTGTGCCACGAGTTGTTCTATATAATCAGGGAAAAAACGGGTTGGTCTGTCGGTTGGTAAGTCCACCACTTCAGACTGAAATATCTCAACTACTACCGAATGGATTGCCACAAAACCTTCATGCATTTAAATGCTTCGGATGAGTTTAATGCAGAAGTCAAATTAAATGTATGTATGCGTCTGACGATTAAAATCTAGTTTACGCTCATGTCCCCCTCAAGATTTATTTTAATAACCTACAAAACAAATGACATTCCCACCAGCCTCTGCTGCACTTCATGTTTACACGCTAAACTATGGTGATGAATTATACCTGCTTAACATCAGCATATTAGCATTATCATGCTGACGTTAGCATTTAGCTCAAAGCACCACCTAAGTAGTAGTACTTCATGTTTTCTTTTACCTTTTTATCTGCATTAATCATATGGACACTGTAATGCGACTGTAGCTTTTTTTACATGTTCAGCGCTGCAGTATTTCGGTACAAAAGTAATTATTGTCTTGCTGTGTTTCCAGTGGAGGGCCACGACTCGAGTGAGGATGCGTCTGCCTGCATGCAGCTGATGTTCTGGAAGCTCAAGGAGGATGCAAAGGTCAAAAGATGACCCCTTACCCCTCTGCTCCACTTCCCTCAGTTCAAGGGGGGGGCAGATGTTCAGGAGGCCCATACCTGCTCTCAGAGAGTTACGGTCCTACTGTACTGAACAGGAGAACTGCCAGTCCCTTCAAAGCAATAGGAGCCCAAATTAACAGTTTTCATTTGGTATTTCAGTTGTAAATAATGTTAGTTAAAATGTATATCTGTTTATTTTGAGCAGTGTCTCTTTTAAAGCCTCAAAACAATTTATAAATAAACCCTTTCTATAGAAGGACTACATAAAATGCCGGGGTATTGTCCGCTGAAGGATGGCCATTAATATCATACCAGGCTGTGTCTTCAGCCTAATTTGCACTATGGAAATGCTCGTGTTGTATAGGGCCCAGGTCTGGGCACCTCATCTGTACTCTAAAAGCATTCACTTCTAATAAATAACATGTTACCTGTTCTTCATTCCACTTAAGTGCATTGATGTCTTCGTCTCTCGAACACTGCGATGTTAAGGCACTTGTGCTTTTCACATTGCACCTCGTTTTCTCCTCACTGATGCTCCGTTTATAGAGTTCCTTTTGTTGGTTGGCTCTCAAACCTGACTAATCCTATAATACTTGATAATATAAAAGACACTCAGCAGAAATGTAAAGGCTCTGCTTACCACCTATTTGGTATAGTTGATGGAATATATTACTGTATTTTATAGCTCAGACAAAATAGTGATACAATATCCACCAGTGTCTCTGTGTCATGTGCACTGCATGAAATGAAGCCACAGGAATCATTGTGATGGAAGGTATGATGTGTTATTCCTCCATTAAGACAACATTTAGTTGTTAAATTAGTCCAGGGTTATTAATTACAGACCATTATCGTTTAGTGAGTCCCGGCTAATCTCTGCTGTTTAGTGTTGAAAATGACTGAAAAATACTTGAGTGCTGTAAATACTCCATGTTTCCTTTTGTATTTGTTCACTTTTGGTTGTTTATCTTTTTATATTAAAAGATATTAGTTAAAAGAAGCTGTTGCTCTGTCTTTACATCACGGCAGTAAGTAGATTTATTCGAGTACTGTACAAGTTTGAGATGTTTGTACTTCTCTTTAGTATTCACATTTCATGCTGCTGCACTACATTTATCTGACTGACCGTTATAGTTACTGGTCACTTGGCTCAGTGAGATTTTAACTACAAAATATTTGATCAGTGTATCAGTTACAGATTAAACTACCCAAGAGCATCAATTTTAAGATGGTTCAACTTAACGAAGGTTCCCCTGCGGCCTTAAAAATGTGCGTTAACTGAGCTCAGGGTGAATAAGTAGTTCAAAGTTGTTAAAATGTAAAAGTAACTAACAACAAAAAAGAGAATTTTAACCCTCAAACAATGCATGCTGGGAAGTCCTCTAATATGCTGATCATTTCTATCAGGACTTTGAGGAGTTGAAACTTCCAAGTCAGAACAGCTGATGTAATGAAGTGCTCTCAGAATTTACTTAAAATGAATAAAATGTACTTTTACTTTTGATACTCAAAGAACATTTTGGTGATGATACTTTCATTTTAGGACTTATTAGGAGTATTTTTACACAGTTGCATTGCTGCTTTTTGCTCCCGTAAAGGATCTGGTTACTTCCTCCACCTCTGCTGCACAAATGGTTTTTGACAGTGTGACAGCTTTTGCTCCGTACAGTGCCGGGCCTCTTGCAGTCTATATGTCTCTTTTTAACAGCAGGTGCAGCGGCCGTAATTCTCCTTTCTTCAGCAGATGTGTAAATTGAGAAAAAATGGGAGAGAAATGCTAAACTGAGAGGCCCATCCTTTCTTCGGTGTGTTTGCCTGTTAAGCTCCTCCTGTCACATGTCAGTATGCATTTCCCCAGGCCGGTCCACAGACCCCAGGTATTAAAAGAGCCAGTTAGCTGGGATCAATACCTACACAATGTTCCAGTGACAGGGAGGGGGGCTTCCTAGTGTTTATTGAGTGTTGCAGAGATTTTGAACATGTGGAGCAAAGCAGCTTAGAGGGGTCGTCTTCATTATCAAATTCGATCAGTGCCTCTCTTTCTCTCGTCCCCTGTGATCACCTTTGACTAGCGGGGGGGGTCACGAGGGGGAAGCTGCAGGCCGGGCTCCGAAACTGGCCCCATGCTGAGAGATGAAGAGCTGCATTATCTCAGCAAGAGCCAGAGCAAATAAACACTTTACTGCCTGCAGACTGGAACAATCAGTCGGTTAACTGATTCGTCCCTCTACAGAAAATGAATCGGCAACTATTTTGATTATTGATTAATTGTTTTCGTCATTTATTTCAGCACAAATACCAGAAGTCCACTGGCTACACCTTTTTGTCCTCTTTCCACATGGGAATATTTGTTGGTCTTCTTATTCTGCTATAATTATAACTTGAACATCTTTGAGTTTTGGACTTTTAATCAGACAAAACAAGACATTTGAAGATGTCAACTTGGACCCAAATCTGGGATTTTTAAAAAGTTATTGTTAAGGCCAAGCAATTAATCAAGAAAATAGTGCTTAAGAATAATCATTAGTTCCATCTCATGGTATTTAGGGCTGCAGATACATTTTTTTTTTTTTCAAACTATTTTCTTGATTTGCTTTTTTTTCTTAAAGATAAAAATGAAAAATGTCCGTTACAACATCCCAGAATCTTAAGTGACTCGTTCAGATGTCTTGTTTTGTCTACACATCAGTTAAAAACTCAAAGATATTCAATTTACTATCATACATAACAAAGAAAAGAAGCAAATCCTCTGAAGGTATTTTAAAGGTTCACAAGCGGTTGTATCCCGAAACAACTGATCTGCAGCTCTAAAGGTGACATATTCTGATGTAACAACAAACTCAATGGGACGATATGAAAATATGTCACGGTTGTCGTGGTCATAATAATTACAAATCATGATATTATCCCGAACAAACAATCAAAACACTTCAGACAGAGGACTTAAAAGACATGATGCATGTGTAAAGGGCAAACGAGTCATAATACACAGAAAAGAGGAAAAGTGATAACATTCAAAATGCTAAATGTGTGCATAAATACGGGCACTTCATGCCATTGAATGTCTGTTTTTGTGCACATATTTAGTGTCCATACTTCCCTGCACTCGTTGGCTCCTCTCCTATCTGTTGTGTAACTTCATTCCTCTTCAGTTTGGATAAGGCTCAAACCTAAATCTTTGTTTACACAGTTTGTATTATCCTTGGGTCTTAAAAGATGGTGCTGAAAAGACGATGGCTTAAACAGGTCAGGGTCTGTTTTCTCTCTCTGTTGGTCTGAGTTCACCCCTTGCATCCCAGTGTGGCCCACGTTGGGTGCCCTTGACTCTCGGGACACCCACCTGCCTGTCCCCCTCTCTCACTCTCTTTAATATATAGCACTCGCCCAATTAAGGGTCTGCTATTTACTCAGTCCCTCATATTGAGCTGCTTATTGCAGCGCTCCCAGGGGCTACACAGGAGATCATAAGAAGCTAATTGCAGCGTCATAAGTCTCGAGGTCTTATAAAGGGGGAATTATTAGAGTCTAATGCGTTTCTCAGACTCATTTCAGATCAATAAAATAAACCACAGCCACGTATGTGTGTGTGTATGTGTGTGTGTGTGTGTTTGGGATTTTTGTGTTTGTACTTGGTGTGTTTGCAGCCAGGTCAATGTCACTCTAAGCCCTGAGTGTGTCATAGCCAGTGTCAGGCCTCACAGCTTGATCCTGGGGCTTAAGAAGAGCGATTGACCCACCGCTAGCTCGCGTTGTCTCCCTCAGGTCAAAGGCCAGCCGGCCCTATCGATTCCCCTCGATGAAGAAGCCTTTAGCTCTCCCCTCTTCGGTCCACATGCTCCCGGACTATGATCGAGGCCCCCGAAGGCCTCTCAATTGTGTTCTGCATGCCGATCGATCCAGTTGGTGTCTGAGGGGGGCCTTCCTTTGAGATAACTGACAACTACAAAGGTCCCCTCCTGACAGGCTCTTGTCAATACAAATTCCCACTATTGATAAGTAATTAAAGAAAGCTTGAACATAAGGGGAGGACTGCTTTCTGAAACATCTGTTAAACAGGAGACATTAACAAAAACCTCTTAGTGGCAAAAAAAGAAGAAAGGAAGAAGATGAACTGCCCCCCCCCCCCGCCCCCCCGCCCTCATTTACTTCAACTGCCTCACTCAAATGGCCATAACATTCAAATGTTCCAGCTTCTATCTAAAATGACAACATTTGCTGTTGTTTTAAGTCTCCTCTAATAATGAATAATGATGAAAATATCTTTATCTGGACTGTTTGGCTTTATGAATCTGGGATGAGCCTAAATGATTTCTCAAGAAAATAATCGGCAGTTTAATCAATAATGAAAATAATCGATAGTTGCGAGCCATGATTGAGTCAATTTGTGTGTTTTGCTTATTCAATATCAGGTTATGGATCTTTTTTGCAGGCTTTTGAATCCAACAAAATATTTTGCATCACAGCTTTTGGTACCATCTTCTGATAAACTACTCTTTTTAAAATGTTTATAAATTATAACGTTCTTAACGGTTGATAAATAGATCAGTTATAATCCAAGTTGTTGTCGGCAGCTGTTTATCCTTTCCATTTAGTAATGCAGTAATAAATGTTGGTGCCCTTTAATGAATACTTGTTGGTTTCTCCCTTTCTAATAAGTCATTAAGGCCATTAAGTAAGTCATTAACAAAGAGGTTTTTTCATCAAGTCTGCAGTTTTGAGTGTTCATTTATTATTAGGAGCCCTTACTTTAGAGAACAAGTGGTCAAACTAATCAAAGGGATCTTTCCCAACCAGGCAACATAAAAGTTGTTCTTGATAATGGTTAAGTGATTTATTAACCATTGTTAATGAAGGTATCACCTGCTATCAACCAATGTTTGCAGCAGTACAGGAAAACATGTGATAGGGCTTTTGTTAGCTGAACTTTAATAACTTCATGTTATTTGCCATCAAGTGGGATGAAGACGAGATGCTTTGACAGTCACTCACTATTCACGTTGTCATTTTCTTACTGTAATTCCATCTTTTCTTGCTGTGTGACAACAGTTATTAAACCGGCGCGGGTTTCCACCTGCTCGGCGCTGAGACTGTTGTCAGTGATGTGACTCAGCCTTTTGTCTTTTATTCACTGTAATCCATGCATGTGTAAGTGGATCCTCTCAGAGCAGGATAACTCCCTTTAAGCGGGTTTTAAACACTACAGGAGGGACTCGCATCCAGCAACTTCTCATTTACCTCTGCACCGAAGTCTTTAATGCAAAACACTCACATCCTGGTGATTAGACCTGCTGCACCAGGGCCTTTTACAACACTGCTGATTACCTTAAAGGAATACGATGTTAGCGTTGTGTGGAGCTCACAGAGTGAGTCAGTCAGCACGTTTTGGATGACAGGAGGCCATTTAGACTGAACCCTGGTTGTCTTGATGGGTAGGAGGTGAAGCCCTGCCTGGCCCATAGAAAGGGGAAATGATCCAGAGAGGAGGGGGTGTTGAGTGAGTCAGTGGTGGCAGCTCTGGGATGGGGAGGGTCACACACAACCACACTCTTTGTGTGTCTCTAATCCCCCCAGCCAACACAGCTTTGGCCAGGTTTCATCATGAAAGTGCCATGAAATAACTACTTTTTTTCTCTCCTCGCAGTAAATCTCCCCTAATCCTGTGGGCTGCGGAGACAAAGACCTCTGGGACCTAATCCTGGAGCTTTTAGTGGGGCTGAGGGGCTGGCCGACAGAGCCTCTTCTAAATGACTTATTTCTATCGGACACTAATATAGCTTGACAGCCAAGAACGGCAAAGGGAGGAGGAAGAAATAAAAATGTGAAAAAAAGAGCACAAACATTTTCACATATTTTGGAAGTCTGAGCAGTTTGAGAGGAAGAAGTGAACCAGGAATATTTGTGCACAAGTACATAACTATCAAGACATCCCGCATGTTTATCTGTGATTATTAATACAAAAATGATCCGTGCCTTTATCGGCTGGAGGAATGTACTATTATTTATGTTGTAACTGAAATTGAACGCAGGGAAGCGGCTCTGCAGTACTTAATGATATGCAACAAGTTGTACTCGCAGCAAAACATTAGTTTAGAGAATTCTTCACTCAGGAAGTTTATTTTGATGTTGCAAACTAAAACAAATAGTAAATACTATTACATTTTAAACTAACTTCAAGAAAATATACTTTGAAACTAATAATTGCGCTTCTGTCTCCTACATTTTTAACTATGATCGAGTTGTCAGATTTTAAAGCGCTTTTATAATGTGGAGTTTTGTCTTATCCAAATGGAGGATGTAAATATAGACAGTGATGTATGTTGTTGGGCTATAAATAAAATGGACTAATACCACAGTTTAGAAATACTCTAGAGAGTACCACAAGTAAAAATACTCATTATACAGAATGGACCTTTTCAGAGTGATATTATATTATATTTACATATATAGTTTAATAGTATTGATTATAATTATTGATGCATTGATTTGTTCATCAATTTAATGTTGAGTACTTGAGTAGATGCTTGATATAAATATAATGTATTTCGTTAGAGTGATGGGATTTTTTCCTACAAGCTACTTTGCATCAGATTATTACCAATGCATTCACGTATAAACAGTATTTTAATTAGCAAAACAATCGCAGACAAGATCCATTTAGTAGCTGTTCTGGAGCGTTACATCGTATCACATGATCTTCCTCAGCAGATGGAGGTGGCAGTTGTCATTGCAGAAGTTCATGTTTCCATTTTTTTGTGAGCATTTTAAAGTCCATGTTGGCTCATCTCAACTGGTAAACATAGACAAGAAGTCCTCCATCGAAAGCTCCAGTGCAGCTACACAGCACTAAATGGATCGGCAACTTTTAACTACCTACTGCTGGGTAGTACAATTTACACCAATACGTCACAGTTTATAAGCTTTATAGGTCAAATCTGAATCTATAAAGTAATCAATAACTACAGCTGTCAAATAGTAAAAAGTCTTTACCTTTAGAATGTAGTTGAGTAAAAGTATAAAGTGGCATCAAATGGAAATACTTAACTTAAAAACTGTAAGTAAGTCAAGTATTTGAGTAACAACATAATATTTTACTACAAACCCTCTATTGAGTATTCATAAGCAGTACGCAAACATCTAATAAATGGATTACAACACATTATACTGTAATTGTAAACAGATATACATGTTTTTTGAATGTATTTGTCTACAACTTTAACTCCTTCTGTGGACTCAGAGGCTGATTTATAAACAGATAATGAATAAAACACAGTTGGAATATTATAAAGTAGAAGAAGTTATAATTGTTGACAAACCCATGTGCATAAATAAAAAAGGTGAATGCCCTTAGCTGCATATACTACATTACACTGTGTAAATGAATGTTGGGTGGGTAAAATTTAAATTAGCAAAGTAATAAGTAATAAGTAATAAGTACTAGTCAATTAATTGTAGTAAAATTACTTAATTTGCAGTATAAAGTGGCATAAAATAGAATACTCAACCTAAAAACCGTAACTAAACTCCACCATGTACCAGAAGTGATGGTGATAAAAGTGTTGATGACAAATTGCCCGTTAGACTTCATGTTGTTAAGTTCTTTTTCCTGTTTTCTGTTCCTGGGAAGACTTCTAATTTAGCTCAGCTGGATCTTTAAAGAAATAGTTCTCATTGAGGAGGTTCGGATTAACTTCACACGGTGACAGTTTATGGGCAAAATATGGTGCCTGTTAGCAAAACAAACCCTTAGAGAAAAAAAAAAAACCCTCTGAGGGGAGACTGTCAAAGCCAGCGGTCTGGGAGAAAGAGGACTGGGAGGGAGAGCACAATCAAAGGCTGTTATTTTAATCTGTCCTGCCTCGGAGATTAGCCGGCATTGTTTTAATTGTTTTAACGGGAGGGAATGAAACGCTCGCTTATAGGGGGATCCTTGGCATCAATCTCTCAAGTTCAATAGTTTCAAAAACTTGAGCTCCTTGCAACCCCCCTCTCTCCCCTCATCCCACCTAATCCCGGCTAATACCTTTCTTTCTATTGGCTAATGGCTGAGGGGAGCCTGGGTAAATGCTTCTTAAATTGTCGTGGGTGAGAATGGTTTCAGAGAATTAGATTGGTGCCACGACAAAGAGCGCTGGTGTGCGAGGATTTAAGGCCCAAACTGGACTAAGAAATACTGGACTGCACAGCTCACCAGATTCTGATCCACACGCTGGATCTCAGGTAAACAGCCAAGGACCCTAAAAAACTGAAGGTTTTAACGACGTTTTCATCTCTGAATTGAAAGGTAAATTTTTGTGTCTTAATTGTTAAATGGATAAAAGGAATCTGTTTTTTTAGTTGTAGTTGTTTGAGTTAAAAATGTTGCTTTTATTGAAATAAGATGCAAAATAGGTGTACAAATTTGGTCTTCTTGTAAAATAAAACAATGTTTTTTTTTACTTACAATGTTGAATCTCCCAACCGAATTGTTACCAATTCATACAACTGTATTAAGTAACTTATAAAATACAGCGTTCACAATCTGAACAGTGAATAAAGATATGCCAAGGAAGGAGAAAAGGAGGCAAGTAGCCTAATAATAATAATATAAGCAGCACTGAGGGATAATGTTAGTCCCTCTAGTAATAACTAATGTTCTGTCGTAGATGTGTATTGTTGGCTTCTCACTCGAACAATTTGATCAAATTAACAGATAATAACATTTTTTTATAGTCTTTCTGCAGTAATTGCTCCCTTTATCCTTTAACAGCCAAGGCAAGTTTATTTATGCAACATATTTCAGCAACAAGGCAATTCAAAGTGCTTTACCTAAAACATCAGAAGCAAGTTTACAACATTTAGTTGACTTTGCCTAAGGTGGGAGAGTACTCAAGTATATTATAATGCTATCCATATAAAAATACACACGTTGGTAAGTTAAAGACGTTTTTCTGCTTCCTTAGATTTAATATGAACTCCTTGAATTTCTGCGGGACGTCCAGCGGTGGCGGTGTGTATCCCCTCCACGGTGTTCACTCCATGCTGTTCGACCTGCACCACCAGATGGCGGAGCAGTACCACGTTTACTCTGCAGCCAGCCCCACAGTGCACACCCTCTCTGTGGCTGAGAGACTGGCAGGTGGGTCATCGAAGTTTAAAATGATTTTCTCTTCTCCAGAACTATGTTGCTATGTAATGTTTAAAAATGTATGTAACTAATTAATACACAAGGATGTTGTGATTACCAAGAGGGTTAACGGTGTCCGGTTGATGATCATAATAGGGATAAACAATAGATTATGAACAACAGAAACTTTAATGAACAGTGATTCGTTTTGGGGACATTTACACAAGTAGCTCTAATTCAGTACAATGTTGTTCCATTTTCTGTTGTTCCATTTTCTGATACTTTGTACTTCTACTCCACTGGCAAATACTTTACGTTTTACTTCACTACATTTATTTGAGAGCAATAGTTCCTAGTTACTTGACAGATTACTTCGGTATATTTTGATGCCAATACTTGTGTACTTTGTACTTAGTAAACATTTGAATGCATGAGTTTTACTTGTTACAGAGTATTTCTACACTGTAGTATTGCAACTTTTACTTAAATAAAAATCAGAGTACTTCTTTCACCAATGGTTACTTTGCAAATAAAGATTTTGCACATCAAAATATATATTTTTTAAAGGATCTAAGTGCACTACTAGCATTGCAGTGCTACTTACACATGAATGCATTTTGTTGCATTATGTTGTTGGTACTGCTTATTTACTTAAGTGAAATGATGACGGTATGACTTGTAATGGAGTATTTTTAAAGTGTGGTATTGCTGCTTTGACTTCAGTGAAGAATCTTTATACTTCTTCCAACACTGTATATATCAACCTGCACAACTTCCACTTGTGCAAAGCTTACTATGAAGTGATACTTTACAGATTTACGTGAGCCTGAAAAGAGAAGAAAAGAGGAAACTCTTTCAAATAAAACTTTGAAATCAGGTCAATATATTTACTGCATCGCTGATAAGAAAGAGAAACAACATCAAAATATGGAAGAAAAAAAGCAAACTACTTCCCTGCCATGCTCCTAATTACAGAAAGTTAAAGAGAACTTACTGCTGACTATATTTTGGTGATGACTTTTTGTTTTCTTCTGTCCTGCCAGAGCTCATTCTGGAGGCTCGATATGGCAACCAGCAGAAGCAGCGCCGCAGCCGAACGGCCTTCACGGTGTCGCAGCTGCAGGCTCTGGAGAAAGCTTTCCAGCAGACTCAGTACCCAGATGTCGGCATGAGAGAGAGACTGGCTGTCTGCATCAACCTGCCTGAGGCCCGCATTCAGGTGAGCGCACACTACGCCCAACACCTGACTGTAAACCTTCTGAAACCAATACTGTTTGTGGTGTATTATTTAAGGTGAACATTTAGCTGGAAAGCACGAATAAAACCCTGCTGCATTTAACTTTTTATATTAATATTTATTCTCAGACATGCAACTTTAAGGAGGGAAAGAAAATAGAAACTTACTTCTCATCTGTCTAAAATGTGCTCTTTTGTTTTACAATTTCTCATATACGAAAAAAAAAAGATTACTGCCAACGGCTTTCGTTTATGTCTTTACCTTCATTATCAGGATTACCTTTAAATTTCTAGGCATGTTAACATAGGCCTACCTTTGCTGTTTACTCTCTCTCATGCAGGTGTGGTTTAAGAACAGGAGGGCAAAGTTTCGTAAAGGTCAGAGGTGCTCCCCCTTCTCCCAAGACCACAGTCTGGAGGAGGCATCACATTGCAGCAAGGTGGAACAGGAGGAGGTCGGGCCCGAAGACAAAAAGGACATCACCCCATCACATACTGACAGAAGCATCCGTCCTTGTCTCTGCCCTCCTCCTCATGTGGATAAAACGAGGGATGTTTACTCACCTCTCGCTTCTTCAGACTCTGATGTTTCACGGTGCCCCCTCAGACTTCACTCTCCTCCACTTTTCCCCTTCATGACAGGGGAGCGCTACAGCCACCCGCCTCACCAGCCCATTGTAGGAGTGCTGTCCACCGAGCTCAGCCTTCCCCCGGTGTTCTGGCCCATCATACAGCAGCACAGTCCCACCCTGGAGGTTCATCCATCGCCAGTTACTAAAAACTGTAGCCTCTCCCTTCAGACTGCTTGTTACAGTAAAGCTGTGCCACACCCTCACCTGCGGCTGCAACTGTAGTCCTGCTCTCCAACAGCAAGAGATCTCTGCTCCTTGTGGACTCAGGTACACCTGAAGCAACCCTGTGTGGGAAAAGAAAAGAGGGAGAAGCACTTACTGCCTTGTTTGTGTAAACCTGACTACAGATAGAATGTGAATTTATTTAGAAAGCTTTATTGACTGTCTGCCTGTCTGTCTGAAGGGATGTGCAGCTGTACAGTCATATACTTCCAGGACTAATTTGGGTCTGCTTTAATCACTAACATCTACAGGTTGCTTTACGTTAGCCAGTGAGTTTGCTTGAAAGAGGTTGTTGTTTAATCCATCACCAGCAGTGTAAACACCATTTAAAAATATCATTGTCTCCTTCAGCATTATTTCAATGGTTACACAGCCAAGTAGATACACAGTTATAATGATGGTAAAACCATTTCAGATAAGTTCCTAATTGTAACTAGGTATTGCAACATAGAAATGTAAAATAAAATCTGTTGTACCTGACATTTTTTTTTGTGATAAATGACTTGTTGATGATTCAATTTTAACATTTATTAACAGTGGAATTAAGATGACGTGATTTTTTTAGATTTTTTACATATTTTGATTTATTGAGTATATAAACTGTTGGAAAAAAGTGAAACAATGCTCATTAAAAATTCCCCAGAGCCCAAGAAAACATATTAAAATGACTTGTTTTGTCTTCCCAACAGTCACATTTTATGCTACTTAATCATGTGCTACTAACATCACTACAATTCAAAGGGAAAAATTTTACTTTTTACTCCAATACATTTATTTTATGACTTTAATAATCTTTACTTAACACATTCAGATGAATAATAAAAAATATAATCAACAAATAAATTATAATTTAGTATCATGGATTGAGAAAAACATTATTGATGCCCAAGTGAAGTTCACAAGCCACCCATCAGTGTATAGAATAGTTCAAATGTAGCCACACCTTTCACTATTGAATTTATGCAAACATTAATACATTATTATAATCCACTAATATAATAAACATAATTCTGAAATGGGCCATTCTGCATAATGAGTACTTTTTTTGGTACTTGAAGCCAATAATACTTTAACTTAAGTAAAGGTTTGAATGGACTACTTTTACTTGTAACAGAGTATTTCTACATTTGGGTATTACTTTAAGTACAACATTTTAATACTCCTTTGAGCTCTGATGACTTAAAAGATTGACTGCGGTCACACTTAAGTATAGGCTACAAATGTCAAAGAATCATGTTTGACATTATTATATTTAGGACAATAACCCCCTGAGTTGTGGTAAATATATAAATATATAAACATATAACTGTGTTACACGTTTACCAGGTCGTAGATGTTTGAATGTCTTCACACCATCTTATCTTCAGTCTATCTCAGTTATATTATAAGTGTAAATATGTCAACTAAATCGACCAGTTTTGGTGCAGTTCCCCGATAAGATACGCACGCCTGATGTTTTTCTGTATTCCTCAAACCATTTGCGCACGTTCCTCAGCGTAGCGCAGAGTGAGCCGGCGTGACGCGGTGCCTGTCGGGGTATCGGCGGCTGAGATAGGCTTAAAGAGACAACAGCGAAATCATAGCAACTTGAGGGCAAGAGTAACGCAATGAGAACGAAACCCACACACGAAGAACCATGACTTCGACTGCGTTTCGATAGCTGACATGTAAAGGTAACCCGCTCTCCTTTGGCGACAGAGACGTATTCGTAACCGTTGTTTTTAAGACACCGTCTCGCGGTACGTTAACGTTCGTGCTAATATGTCGTGTGTTAGCGTTAGCTTGCTAAGTAGCTAGCTAGTGAGCTAAGCGGTAAGAGATCCCAGGCTGCCGTCGGTTGTTCAGGATTAAGGAGTTGCCCAGCAGTGGTCAGGGTAATGGCTATAGCTGGAATCTGAACTCTGAAAACGAAACTCTTTGGTGAAACAACTACCGCTTGTATCATAACGTTACTCCAGTCAGGGACATTAATTAGTTACAACGTCGCTTGGGACGTTATTTGTCAGTTATTAAGCATTTACTAACTAACAGGTTAATGTTGCACAATGAATATTTTATGTTCTGTCCGGGTTTGACTTGTTCAATTGACATGGTTTCGTTAACGGTTAATAGATTGTGTGGTTATGGTACAGTGTTGTAAACAGACTAGCTGACGTTATATCGTAAGGTGTGTTTTTTATCAGGCGTTGGGCCAAGAGGAACGGTGTTTCTGGTGCTAGCTAGGTTAGCTTATTACTGCTACGGGACATTTCTATTTAGCGTTAGCAGCAACGTCAAGATAAACTTCTAACGTTACTCTGTTCATTTACTTAGTTAATGCTGTTTCTACCTAGTTCTAGAAAATAGTAGAACAGGCTTGAAGATATCAAGCTAGCTCGAGCTAACTAACGCTATAAGATAGCTTCACAGTATCTGGCCTTGTCCACCAGATAGTAACGTTAACCTGGGTTCATGACACTGGTCGACGGTTATTCTCATATTGTATTGTAAAACACACTTTGTGCGATCAAAGAGAGGACGCGGTTACCTTGAAACACCCTAAACTAACTGTTAGCGTAAAATGACAGCCGCTACCATTATGTTACTAAGCCAGTTACTGTTAGCATTATTAGCTATTAGCATTAATATAAACTCTAAAAGGCAGATCTTTTTTTTTTTTTTACCACGGGAGAAGAACATTTGTCAATCTGGTGCAGGTGCCAGTGTTCATTGTCTATTTGAGTTTTTTTGTTGGGAGCTAGTTGAATTCATATTTCTAATGCTTTGAAATTGTCTTGCGTCGTGTTATTATTAACTGAACTGAACTGACTACAACATGAACTTGTAGTATGCTGAAGTTAGGTTTCGGTGAGATCATTCACAGTTTTGTTTGTCTTTGTATTGCATGTGCCTCCTACTACTCAGTCAGTTGACATGAAAAACAATGCATAACTTCCTGAAATGAGAGTCTTTTTATGTAGGCCAAGATGGCCAAAAAGTTACCTGAGACAGTAAGTTATTTAGATCTTGATCTATTTGTTGTTTTCTAGGGACACCTCTATCCTTTCTCATATTCAATGATTATCATATTTGTTTTTTAAAATAGTGCTTTTTTGTGTCGCCTTGATAAATGAAGTGCTTGTTGTAGTGCATTTTACCATTTAAATGGTTGTTGTGACCATTAGACTTTGCTTTTTACCTACCTCGTTTATTGTGCTTCCAAATCTTGTGACCAAGCAGGCTAGTCTCTTCTCATTTCTGACAGTAAGTATCGCCATGCAGCATGCTAGAAGGAAGACAGACATTGTAATGATTGATTGCATACCTGGCTTTACAAATGTGTTCCTTTTCTCAGGCGTGCCAACTGCACTGATGAAAGAGTACAGACATTCTCAAGCTTTTTATGGGATTTCATTGGGTTGTGTGTTGTTTAGTAACTCGCACCATAAAACATTTCAGGCTGTAGCTGGTTTAATTTTAATATAACCGTGTCTCAAGAAAATGTCATCCCTCCAATTGTTTGTGCAATAAACGTTCGGTAGAACAAATTAAAATCACAAAGGTATCATGTGTAAAGATTTTAATGAATATTTTACGGACAACAGCATTCACTTATCAGTATAATGTCTGATTGTACTGTATTTTAATCCTGTGATGGCTGTGTTAGTTCACACACAGCTGAACTAGCTGTAGTGTAGGCCGTATCCAAATCTCCCTTTTAATATGCTTCCCAATGATGCAAATCTAATGATGAGTCGAAACATTACAGCAGTCATTGATCCGTGTAAGTGCCTTTCCATAGGAAAGAGTAGCTGCCAATTGCTAGTGCCTGAATTACCTGTTCTCTGGGCAGAGTCGTCCACATGTGATTGTTGGCAAAACGCGGCACAGAGATGGTGTAGTTACACCACCGATGATAACTGAAATGATTGGCTATTATTGAAGTTTGTGCCTCAAATTGCGTCTGTTGTAGTGTATGGCGTATCTCCGAATCTTGTCATTTTTTTACTTTTTTAATCCTTACCTGTTGGATGTGTATTATTACTTATTACAAGAAGTGTGAAGATGTTTTTTCTTTCTTATTTTGTATTTATCTGAACATCTATACATCTGAAAAAGCTGTTTAGGATTGAGCCTAAAGGCTGAGGTCATTAGTGTTTCAACAACATTGGATACATTGGGCATCTACAGAATCCCTGTAAGGCACTGTGTTTTGGGCTTTCAAAGAATAGATTAATTGTAAAAGAGATCTTTTTTTATTTTCAAGCCTTAGGTCCTCCTTGGAATATATCCGCTAATATTGATTGCTTTATTGAATTTGCCTTGTGCCGGTCTGGAGCAAGATCTCATTTCAGCTGTAGTGAGGAACAGCCACAGTAGACATAATTTGATCTTCAAGTAAAAGGTTAATTTTTTAATCTCTTCATCAATCATGACCATGAAGTGTTATGAGAACAGATAATTAAGTTTTCCAATATTTTGGTTTTATTGATTGCTTCACACATTATGCTTTTAGTGCTTTTTAGCTTCTGGAGAGATGGCATCTCATCTGCAGTTAGTAAACATTGTTTTCTTCATAAAGAAAAAAAAAAGTTTAAACATAGGACTGGGTGATATGGAGAAAATCTGATATTTTTTAAATCAGGAAAAGAGACACTTGTGCCATGTTACAGCACTACAATTAGGGCTTCAACAAACGATTATTTTCATTATCGTATCCATGTTTTACCTACAGAAAATGGACTGATTTATATCTGTTTTTGCATTTTCAGATACCCAGCTAACATCAAACCCATTGGTTACCCATCTTTCTCGTCGCTGTTGTCTTTGACTCTGGGTTGCCACGTCTGATGCAGCCCTGCAGCATGGAGAGTGTTCACTGTGTCACTGAAGGCTGACCAGAAGGAATGAGGAACTCCAGGAGATGTTCCAACGTGGCCTTGTGGATTCAGTAGCTGGCTTTCGGAGTGCTTTTTTATGACTAGTATTGTATGTGTGTCTGTGGGCACGTCCTCGCACAACCTGCCTATTGTTCAGGCAGGGACATGCTACTCTGAGACTGGAGCTGGAGCCCCTCTAGTAAACAAGGAACACAAAGTAAAAAAGGGAAGCACTCTCCAGAAGAGCTGTCGGATTGACACACAGCGCACTTCAGCTCATTCAAGTGTCTTCTGAACCATTGCACATTTTAACAGCAACACCTTTCCTCTGTCCTGTGAGGTTCTGTCTCCCTACCCCTCCCTAAAGTATCCTCTGTCGTTACTGGAGTTTCTATGGTTTGCATGGCTGGAGAATAACCGTGGAGAGGCCAGGGTATCACAAGCTTATGGATTTTGATAAGAGAGGGGGCAAGGGAGAGACAGAGGAAGGGAAAAAGATGTCTAAGACAACAGGCAGCAGGACTGGACATGGGGGCCGGAGTTCGGGGACCAATTCTGGAGTTCTTATGGTTGGCCCAAACTTCCGTGTGGGTAAAAAAATTGGCTGCGGGAACTTTGGAGAGCTGCGGTTGGGGAAAAATCTCTATACTAATGAATATGTGGCCATCAAATTGGTAAGTGCATTCTCAGGGTTGGTGAAGTAACAGAAAAAAAATGAACTCACAATTTCACGTATTATGTACATTACATTACTGTTCTGGTATATTTTTAATATCAACCCACATCCTATGTGAAGACTCTTACTCTCCTAGTGCTGTGGACTCTTTGACCTAAGAGAGTCAAAGACAGGAAGTAAACTGTCAGCCACACCCTCCTCCCACAGGTTGGCCGCATGTACTGTTAATGAGTCAACCATTCTCTGCTTGTGTTTATCAAAGCGGTAAAGACGACTAGATTGGATAACATCTTAAATCATATCTTGACTGTTTCTTTTTCGAAGGGCTGGCAAGCTGAAATTAACTTTGCATTTTTTAGCTTTTAACGTTTTTTAGTTCCTCGAGGTGTTTGTAAACAAGTGTGGTATGACTTACTTGCTGTCCTCTGGACTGAAATTCATGCCTTGGAAGGTTTCTCAAATGTAAAAATAGTCTTTGTAAAAGCCAAAGCTTCAAGCTCCCTCTCTATCCTACAGTTATAGGGACTTAATGTCAATTCTTGTGAAAGCTCTCCCTCTAATATTCTCACACCAGGCCCTATGAGCAATCAATCATATACATAATATAACTCCCTTTTTTCAGAGCCACTGGTTAAGTAGTATTTAGACAGGCTGTGAGAAACCACATTAAATGTCAGGGCCTCTTTGTTTTCTGATTGTTAGATTCCAGGTAGTGACTACTCAACCATTTCCTCCGCACATCAACTTTTCTCTTCCTCAGATCTTTTCTTTGCCACTTGTAGCGTTTTGATCACTGGCAGATGTTTTTTTTTCTCTCTCTCTCTCTCGCAATGCCTTAATATAAGCACGGCATAACTCGGACTCAAGTTAAGTAGTCCTACTGGAGCTGAATGGTGGGCTTGGCGTCATCTCCACCACATCGTATCTCCCAGCAAGGTTATTATCTCTGAATGGGCATCCACTGAAGGCTTTGCTAACCACATAGAAGGCAGAGGTTAGCAAACAGCTGTAATTGCAGTTCGCCTCTCTAAAATCTCTAGTTTTGCTGGCTGCCTCTTCCCTGTTGCCTGTGAACCCTCCCATCTGTTTGGGTATTTTTATCCCCATGGTGTCCAGCTATATCTGGATCTGGCATTGGGGCCATAACATTGCTCCATGGATCCTGTAGCTTATTGGACCCAGCGTTTATTTGAATGTAAAAGTGACAATAGGAAGTGAGTTAATGGTGTCAACAAGCACGAAAAGCCCAGCTAGTAGTAGGGCAAGCACTCTGGATTAATTATGATTTCATTTTGAGGACTAATTTCAGGTGGTGATTAATGTTTTATTGTTACATTAATGACGCTAATTGCCTAATTTAATATACATATACATGGCTTCTATTTTCAAAACAAACGATACAAATTTGACTTATTTTCGAAGTAGTTTTCGACCCATGCGCTGGTGTTTTTACGCTTGGTATGGAGAGGTCTTCTCCCATGTCAATTCTTGGGCTAACACCAAAATGTCTGACAGTTGTCTGTCCATGTTTCTGTCTGTCCCTGAATACACAGCTCCCTGGGGTAAGCAAGTGAATGTCGCTGCCTGTCCAGTAGGGCTTGTGTTTAGTCAGAATCAGAGTGACTGTACTCTTCCTTATGGACTAACTAACACTCAAAACAGCTCTGCTATCTATGAGCATCTGCTAACACATGCTTGACATGAAGAGTTTCTGCTAAATTATTGGCAAAGTATAGGACAAGAACACCGGGGGGGGAGAAGAGGAGTGTCGCACCCTCTGGCTGCATATGCATCTCTATTGTGATAACAAACAAAAAAAAAAGTAAAAAATAATTGACGGGCCCTTTTAACATTGACTATACTTCCTCCAATATTCCCCTTGTCATTAAAATCAAGTAGATTCTTAACTGATAAACTTCTAAGGAAGTATGTCAATTATTACTTTGTGATTGGTGAAGTGTTGATCTACCAGGAAACTGTTTAGATGTCGAAGTGTGATTTGTTATCTGTCTTGTTGAAACTAGTTTAATCTTTCTCCTTTGTTGCAACAATTGTAGATGGCAGCCTCTGCAGGACAGCACATAATGATGACTCAGTGTTGAGCTGGTGCCTTTATGTGCTGAGTGTCCTGTGTACCAACTCTCAGAGCAGGGCCTGTGGGTGGAGCCTGCCTGCACCTGGGACAAAGGTGAAAGCCAGTGTCGCCCTGCTCCACCATGTGATAGCAGAGATAGAGACGTATGGCAGGCCAGTGCACAAGATCCTCTGTCAGTGGATCTGAAACTGCTGCGAATGCTGCTGCAGAAAGCAAGAGAGAAGGGGGGGAAACTGCAGAGTGCTGAAAGGTCTTCTTTGTTAGCAGGCCTTGTCGAGACACAGTGGTTCAGTCTTTGGTTCAGCTGGATGCTTTCTCACACTGACAAACACTTATGTGATGGAGGCAGGACCATATAGCCACTGCTGTATGTACACTGCAGGCTGTACTCTCAAGGGGAGATCCCAGTGTCTTAAAGAAACGGCAGCATTTAATGTCTGCTTTCTGTCGAGGCTTAACATAGAAACGAGCCACTATTGCCATCAATGCACTCCCCTGGCATGATGACATAACTGTCCACTGAGAAAATTATCATCTAATCCTCTTTTTCCCTGAAATGTTGATCTCATCACTGAATTATACTATTTTTATTTAAATGCTTTTGCTCTCTCTCTGTCTCTCTCTACCATTATCTTATCTTACAGCTTGTATTGTATCATAGCCCCATTGTATGTAGTTGGTCTTTGACAGACAGGAGGTGCCTGTGAGACATGCTGCTGGTACCATCAGTAATAAGTAATAAACCAATTGGAGGCCTCATTGTGTCGACAAACACTTTTGAGAATGACAAGTGGCTGTAATATCATCCCCATATGGGAGGAGTGTAATAAGTGAATGTTACAGTGTTGGGACGTATTGTACAAAATGCGCCTCCCATAGCTAAGGGAGGGTGGTCCGATATTGGAGTGACCATACAGGGAGACAAACACAGAGACCTACTGTGCATTGTGTGCCAGCCATGTACATACAGAGCAGTGTTTTACCTGATGTATGTTGGCTTGTTCAAAGCACAGATGGATTTCAGACTTGAAATTGCCCTTTGTCATCAAAAAATACAATGGTAGTCCGGGCTTCTTATTTTTAGCCTGTGAACTTGATGGTCCCGGCTGAAATGACGAGTGTTGCCTGTGGACTTTATCAGCTAAAGCAACAAGACTTTTTTATTCAAAAGAAACAAGACTGTTGTTTTCTTTTCAAAAAAGACAGAGGGTTGTTGTTATCTAAGGAAAGGAGCTGAGTGCATCATGTAAGTTAGAGACAATCCAGTTAGCTAGCTAGGTTTGTAGTCTAGTGTTAATAAAAACTGGTGCATAGTAAAAAAGTGAATGGAATTTCAGTTAAATCTTTAAAGCTGCACAAATGATAACCCACAGACAATTATCACCGGATTCCGTAGTTCCCCTCAGCTCTACAGCTTGTTTTAGCATCTTTGTGCTTATTCTTTTGCTTTACCAGACTGCAAATGTACTGTTGGATTCAGTCTCACTGCTCTCATCAGTGTTGTTTACAGTTGCACCAGGCAGCTGTTTCAAAAAAAAAAAAACATGACAAAAACTCAAACTTGGTAAAGAACCAAACCGAGTTATAAGGAGAGTAAATGATGGGATTACACATTGCCAGATATCTGATCCTGATGATTGTTGATATAGCTGCATGTCTGCTAGATGTGTTGATTGGCAGATAACATGTGGGCCAAAACAATGTTTTGAGGCAATCATGTGAGCTTGTTGTGGAGTACTGCTCCCAAGGGGGCAAAAGAAAGATAAATGATGCTTGTAGTATTTCATAAATAAACGTTGTGTATTGCTCTCAAAGAGCACCTATATACTGTATGGGGGACGTTGGAATGCGTCAGGCAGACTTTTTTTTATTTTTGCTGGCTGAGTCACTGATGCAGAGGCACAAGAGTCAGGTTGTTAATGTGAGTGAAGCCATTTGCGGTGCCGGTCAGTCGTGATACTCTGAAAGAAATCTGAGATGTTGTACTGAACTCCCCTGACTGCCTCCCACTGAAGCATGATAAGCAACTCTTGTTGCAGTCTACCTCAGCAGCTTACACCAGTCGGCAATGAGGCAGTTGTCAAAGAACTTCGAAGGCACAAAAGCGCCGACAGCATGTTTGGCTGGAATTAAAGTGACATTTTGACGATTTAAGTTCTTCCATACTCTGCTCGGGCTCTCCAGAGAGCATTTTGGGCAGGCTGCATGAATAAATCCTTTGATGTCAGCAGCATGTAAAAGCCTACCTTCAGTCAACTAGCTAATCCTCTGAATCAGTAGCCATTACAACACAGTATGTTCACACAGACACGTTTTTGCTTTATGGATGATTTAGTATCAGTCACAAAACCTGCACAGGATAGTCTAAATGTTGCTGACTTCTGAGTAGCAACAACAACAACAACAAACAGTGCAAATTGTGACCGAACACACAATAGGTTTGAATAAGGGGGGGCGTGCCTGTAGAGCAGTAAGCGCTGTGTAATTATACCTTGTAAGTGTACATCGTAGTTCATGGCAAAGCTCATCACATTTTCCATTTAAGAGTTAAGTTTCTCACACATTCTCTATTGTGATTGAGGTGACTGCCATGAGTTTACACTGTCCTTTCATAACGGTCTTTAAAGCGTCATAATTAAAGTGGCAAACAAGAGCCAAAATAACCAAATCAGATGATTTTTGATAAAATCCCCAACTGTCAGGACCCAATAGAAAATATTTATATTATGTACAAGCTCAAAGTTAAACAAATGAGTACGACACAATACAATACAAACTTATGCCACGCCTCGTTCCAGTATTCAGTGACACAGGAGAGTTGCCTCTTGTGTTCACAAGAGTGGAACTTCCCCTGCCTGTTTGTTTAGATCTCTGGCAACACTGTGCTGTGTTTGCCTTCCACG